TTAAAGTATTACATAGAAATGTATAGAACAAATCTTTAAAAATCTTCTTCTCAAGAACCACTGGGCCAGGAAAGCTGAAACTTATGTGGAAGCATCCTTGGTTAGTGTAGATATTAAATTGTTAAAACCATGGACCCCGGGGGTTGGGCGTGGCCACAATAGGGAATTCAAGTTTTACATAGAAATGTATTGAACAAATCTTTAAAAATCTTCTTCTCAAGAACCACTGGGCCAGGAAAGCTGAAACTGATGTGGAAGCACCTTGGGGTAGTGTAGATTCTAAATTGTTCAAATCATGACCCCCGGGGGTAGAGCGGGCCACAATAGGGAATACAAGTTTTACATAGAAATATATAGAACTAATCTTTAAAAATCTTCTTCTCAAGAACCACTGGGCCAGGAAAGCTGAAATTTATGTGTAAGCAGCCTGGGGTAGAGTAGATATTAAATTATTAAAATCATGACCCCCAGGGGTAGGGCGGGGCCACAATAGGGAATCCAAGTCTTACATAGATATATTTAGGAAAAACCTTTTAAGAATTTTTTTCTCAAAAACTACTTGGCCAGGAAAGCTGAAACTTATGTGTAAGCATCCTGGGGTAGAGTAGATATTTAATTGTTAAAATCATAACCCCCAGGGGTAGGGCGGGGCCACAATAGGGAATCCAAGTTTTACAAAGATAAATTAGGAAAAATCTTTTAAGAATCTTTTTCTCAAAAACCACTTGGCCAGGAAAGCTGAAACTTATGTGAAAGCATCCTTGCTAGTGTAGATTCTAAAGTATTAAAATCATGAAAGGGGAGGGGGTAGGGGGGCATGATAGGTATAGCAAGAGGGGAAATCGGGTAAAGAACTTCATCACCCAAGTTACTCAGGTGAGCGATGTGGCCCATGGGCCTCTTGTTTTAAAATGACGTACTTGTATTTTCTAAATTGTTTTATCGATAAGACTTTATAGACAAAGGCATTGCAACTAAATGTATAAAATAACATTGACTTGATATTCATAATATTGGTGTGAAGAATTCATCCTATGAAATAACGATTTTTCAGCGATAACTGGCGAGTATTATTATGTCTTATAAGCACCATTCTGTCTTATTTATTGGTTTTGGTGGTTTAAAGATTAACACATTTTTGAAAAATAAACATAGTCCGCAAAATAACACCACCGTAATTTTTTGCATAAAGAATGCTTCTGCATCAATATGCCATCTGAGAAAATTTCAAAGTGGTGTTATGATGCGGACCTATTGAAAAATGCTTTCAAGTAGTTGATTTTTAACGATTTTTCCGGAAATACGCATTCCATGCATGTTTTGACCGCCATAAAATAGTTAAACGGGGACACATTCTAAAAATTTTGGTTTATATTTTAAGCAAGCATATATCCAACATTTATTTCCACTATAGAGTTTTGATTCAGTTGAAACTTAAATAAGCGGAAATTCTCGGGGCCAAATATAATAAGAAGTGAATTTTATTCTTTTCCAAGAGGTGTGTACATGTAAACATGTAAAGTTCAAGAACAAATTTTAATAAATTAATTAATAACAAACTATGTTTAAACATAGCTTTTCCATCTATAAGTGTAGCCTATTTAAAAAAAAACCTACGTTTCGTGAGATCGAGGGTGTGTATGTGTATGGTGTTGGGGGGGGGGGCATTTTTTAATTTAAAAAGGTTCCAATTATGAGCAAAACGTTCACACCATTAATTAGATTCTATTTTTCAAGCACATAGGCGTCGGAGCCGGGAGGGTGGGGGGGTAGGGGTTGCTTTAAACCTCCTCCCTTTTTTGCAAAGATAGACATTTTCTATGTATTGAAAATTGGGGTTTACCTTTTTTTGTTGGTCTAGCCCCCCCCCCCCTTTCAATTAGCCCCCCCCCCCACTTTCAATTTCCTTCCGATGCCTAAAAAGTTTATAAAATACTGAGTCATAAGTCACAGGGTCTGAGAATGTTTTACTCTATGTGACAAATACATGTACTGTGTAAATTATAGAATTATTTTGACTTTTCCTTGGAAAGCCCAATATGTACGGGTGTGTTTTAGAGGCAAACATATTAGTGCGGGTATTACTGTCTCATTACAGCATTTAGTAATTGAATTATATTTCATGAGGTTGACAGGACAGGACTTATGATAGTCGGTTAGTACACGTTTAAGTATAGATTGGGAAAGATAAACCGAAATGAAAAAAGGTTAGATTAAAGTTAAAAAAGGGTCAAAGATCATCGCTTGCCACAATAGACAATTTTCCCATTGTGAAGTCATCTCCTGTTGTCGACATGAGATTCAATTACAGGCACAGATCCAGAATTTTTTTTCGGGGGGGGGGGGTGTCAAACCTCAGTCAAAAAATTCCAGCCAAGAATTTCCTAAGATGCAAAAAATAAACAAATAAACAAAATAAAAACAATGATGGTGGGGTCCATGCGTGAAAGACGTCCAAAATTTTTTTTTGTTTTGTTTTTACTTCAGTATACAGTCGAATTTAAATAACTCTGCAAATTCCAGAAGGGGGGGGGGGGGGTCCGAACTCCTTAACCACTCCTTGAAATGATAAATGATCGTTTGACTCCGAAATAGTGGAATTTTTTCCCATTTGACTCTAGGCCTCTACATATTTTAATTGTTTCTCGTGTTTATATTATGTCTGTTTCTTCTAAGTTGGGCTAAACACATGGCTTCAATATTTCATAGGCAAATTCCTTGCAACACGACCTTTTGACTGGGTACCACCAATTTTGACCTCTTGATCTCTTGATCTTGGAGTTTGACCCACTTTTACAAGAAAAATACCAAACTTTAAACTTAGCCTAAAATTTGAACAGTTGATGCTAGGGCTCTCATGCTTAACATGTGTATTCATTATGAACTTTCAACAGGTATGAATTTCTTTAACCTTGACCCCAGAGTTTGAACATGTGTATTCATTGTGAACTTTCAACAGGTATTTTTTTTTACCTTGACCCAAGAGTTTGACCTACTTTAAAACTTCTTAAAACTTGGCAATAACTCTGGAACAGGAAGTACTAAAGATTTATATTTTATTTTACATGTGTGTATTCCTTGTGACAAGATTTTCGTTTTGATAGCAACAATTTTTACGCTTTGACCTTGGAATTTTACTTACATTTGAAAAACTTCAACCTTCACTAAAAACTGCCATACAGGGGCATAAGTGTTTCAGAAACACATCTTGTTTTCGTTATTTTTAAGTGATGGTGTCTCTATATGAGTGAAAAATTCCCGAAAGACATGTTTGAACAACAAACAAACAAATTACTTAAAAAAACACAGTTTTCATTACTGAATATGTTTTATAATATTAATCAACAGATACATGTATACTTCTGGTCATATCTCTAGTTCCCCCTTTGCATCAGGAATGATGATATAAATATTTTAAAAATAATCATTATAAGAGTTGAAAAGATTGTGCATATTAAAATTGATAAAGATCTGCAGTTGAATTAGCTATACCAGTTTAGCTTTATTTTGCTTCTCAAAGCACCTTGATTAACTATTTTCAATCATACTGTTTTCAGAAATGTGCATATTTTTCAACAAGGATACATATCATACATTATCAGCTTCTAAAAAAATACATGAAAAAACAGCTTTTCAGAAACTGTAATCCTTTCCAAATATTTGCGAATCATACGTTTTTAGCTCATTTGAGCTTTTCTGGTTTCCTGATCATATTTTGTTTGTCGTCCATCTGTTTGTCTGCAAACTTTTTTTTTACATTTTTAACTTAATCTCTAGAACCATTGGGCCAATTTCAACCAATTTACATAGAAATATGCAGGGTACTTCTTCCATCATAAATCTTCTTCTCACGAACTGAAAGGACATTTATTGTCCCCCATTTTCGCAAAAGATAGGGGATATTAAATCTCATTTGTATGTCAGTCTGTCCGTCTGTCACAGTAAAATTAACCATGATCATCATGGTCAGATATATATATTTAAATGCACTTTTTAAGTTGTTACCAAATATTGCTCACGTATTTTCCTGAGGTATATTCGTTATCATATACGCTTAACCAGGCGTTAAAAGTATAAGAATTGTTAAAACGTATTTAAAGAGACTTAGTGTACAATGTAAAATTAGTGTCACACTACAAATAATAATTTACAAGTGAACTTTCATTCGGCAAAATGTGTTATACTTTGCTGTTTTTTTTTTGCTATCAGTTACGATTTAAATAAATATACTTTTAATATTTTACAAGTTAACAAAACTGTGTTGCTTGGGCAAAAATTTGAAATAGGATTCGATAAGAGTTATTCCTCTTTATTAATACAAATATAAGCCGCTACTTCTTTATAGCTGCAGAAATTTGGCTTTGACTGATAGAAATGCTTAATCAGAAGTGTTCAGGAAAAACAAAACATTTATATCTACTACTGAATGCCAGATGTGATAAAAAAAAATATTTTTCTGGTAATGCATTTTGAAAATACTTTGAAGAGTTCAAAAAAATACGATGACATTTTATGAAATCAGTATTTAATTTTTAACCTTAAAATAAGTTATTTATTGAAACGTCCCTATGAAAAATTGATGATGCTAGATTCTTTTACAAATTCTGCATCGTACGTGATCAACAACCAAAACATTTTTTTTTTTCATTTTTCATACATAGTTCTTAGTGCAAGATAGGTCCATGTTTGGAATATTATAAAACTCCTCATTCAATTTCTTGCTAAATGATTAATGGCGATGAATTTGCAAACGTGGAAAATATCTGAAAACATTTGGTTGACCTTAATATTAATTCATGTATATAAAAAATACACTTTAATCATAACAAAACATGTAAAGCAGTGCATTGAAGAAAGTAAAACAAACTTGGTCATACCTTAACTTATCGTCTTTACCACTAACAACAGCAGAATGATATGTTATGTACATGTAATACAGCTGTAATGAAACACACAGCGAAAGGTGATAGTTTTATTTAATATATAATACACCAGATTGCTTTCTCTCTCTTTAACCTGTAATTGTTCCATTGTTGAAGTCCGAGAGAGTCATATCTGTTAAAATGTAATCATGATTTATTAGGGAAAAAGAAACAAATATAGAAATAATGATTAATAGAATAAAAATATAAATAATATTATATAACAAAATTAGATGACTTTTGATTGAGAATACTTTTTCGTTTTGATAAAAAATGGATTTTTTTTGTTTTGTAGTGAATTTCTAAGAATTATACATGTATATTTAAAGAAAATTACCACGTTTTACATGTAATAAGAATGTAGAGATATTCCCGAGGACAAAATAGTGTTATGTTATAAAACATGATCTCTTTGTCGAAATAATACCACCACCCACAGACTTATATAAGTTATTCAGAATCATCTCAGGCGCAATGTTATGATCCTACTGATGTATGACAGTACTTCTCAAGAGAATATTTGGGAAAAAATTTGAACGTTTGTAATCAAAAGATTTAAACAATTTGGTCCTTACTTGCTTTGACTTGGAAACAGTCTGCGACGTTACATTTGTTTCCTTTACAACAAGCATCACAGATTGGCATGCCTTGATCACCGTGAATAACTCTACCAGGTCGATGGAGTGAATCGGTTTTATTGTTATTTGCTACCATTGCATAACACACCTAAAAGAGGGATAAAACAATTCAGTTTGTAACATCGTTATTTAAGTTTAAAGTAGGAAAATTAATTTTGTAGATCAGTTGCAAGCGTAATAACGAGAAGAAATTAAAAAACTGAAATTATTAAACACAATATATAGCATGCAGTTTTCACGACCGTGAACAAAACTAAATTGGTAAGTGATTTTTCAATCGTAATCAATAGTTTAGAGGTGTTAATTATATACTAAGTTCAATCTATTTAAACAGTTAAATCAATAACCTGTGATTTGTTTAACATAATTTTTGTACAAAAAAAAAACCCAGTGTCACACTTGTAGGCTAGTACTACTTATACCAACGGGAAGTCCTACAAATGTACTTAAAACGAACCTTTTACTTCCTTTGGGTTAGTCAACTTAGTAACTGCCAATAAGATTTTAGTACAAGTATATACAGATATTTCCAATATTTCTCAAATATTTTTTCAAAGAGATGAACAATATGGACAATGAATGCTAAATCTGAATATTTCATTTCCGTTTAAAAACCGTCATATCCTTAAATTCAGTTTTGAAGTCTGAATTGCCATTAAATGAAAAGCATAGTTTTTATTCATATTAAAAAAATTCTTGAAAGTTATTGAACCTTAAAGAGACACCGTGACGCACAAAAGGAAAAATTGACAAACGTATAATTTTTGCATGACCCGAGTAAATTTTTTTCAATTTCTAAAAGTATTAGGTTTCAGAAAATTACAGGTCTCAGAACCTATAAAAATCTATTTTATGGAGAAAAATTAAAGTAAAAATAATTTCAGTATGCCCCATAATGAAAATATTGCTAAATACTTCTTCCTCCCCTTGTACGCGTGCGAAGAAAAGTTGAATAAGTTACCATAGTTACCATGGTCTCAAGTACCAGAAATGAATGTATGTAGACCAAATTTTTTTTTAAAATAGTTGTTAGAATATATCTCTCACCTTTGCATGTTCCAATTATATGTTGTTTACAAGTTTGAGCTAAAAAATAAAGTGGCGTGACCTTGACATACAAAACTACGAAACGGTAAATACAACCTTTGTTTTCCGGCACTTGTATTGTGCAGGCTTTTCTTGCTTTACAGACCGTCTTAAATGTTTAAAATTAGGCATCAAACTTGGGGATAACGAATTGGAATTTTTCTTGTATATGCATATTTCCTATACATACAATGATGAAATCCAACTATATTTTTGCCTTTTCACTTCATAATAATTTATTTTCCTTTCTAACTTATCAATTAAGAATAATGGCACATCAGTATTCGTTATTTTCACCGTTATCATTGAATGTAGAGAAAGGAAGATATTGTTATCCTGCCATTTCTGAAGAGATTAAAACTTTTTTCATAAAGAAATATTGTTAAAATATATTGTTAATGAAAAGGAAAATCCAAATTAAAACCTGGATTGTTCCGTGTATGATTATATATATAAAAAAAACCAAACAGAATAACGAGATGTTAAGGACAGACGAGACGTTCCTTAATAATAGATAAAGAAGATGGGCGCATTTGGCGTGTGATCTGCAGGAATTAGTTGTACGAAACATTTATGGTTTAAATGTCCATGATTTGGTTGGCTGAACATAGCTGGTCAGATTTTACAAACGCGTCCAAAGGTTTTTTTTTTATAATTTAGTTTGAAAGTGTGTGATTGTAACATTTTGTCCGTTTTCCTAGGGGATACTATAACATAGTACTTAATGTTTCACAAAAAAATAAACACCTAAAATATTTAATGCATATTGATGAATGATACGTGAACATGTACATTATATAGAATAGAAGATTATTATTGATTTCGCTCGAGAACCAAACTGAACCAAAATTTATCTAATTCAAAATTTTAATACATCAGTACATAAAACGAAACTGACAAAATAAATGGTTGTTTGCATGAAAAAAAATTAACGCCCCATGCAAGGCTCGAACCCAAAACTTTTCTATTCGAGTGCAGCGCACAGGTATCCCAACTTACTGAGCTCTCACAGCTACACATAGACAAACGATTTTAAAAGGACAAAGAAGCACCACATTCACACATTTGGATTTTTTGTGAAAAGTTCGTTTTTCGTTGTCTCTGGGTTTTCTCTCCATTTTTTAAAAAGTGTATTCGTTTCTTTGAATTAAAATACACACTTTTCAATTACGCCCAGATTCCTGCCGAATGCCAATCAAATGCGCCATCGTTCTTTTTCTAAGAGTTTGTCATTGAAGTATTGCTACTTAAACATGTTTACTCACAAAAAATTGAGGTACCTTACCAGGCATTTCTGCAAGATACCAGGGGTAGTTTTTCTTATATAATCCTTTGGGGAAGAAAAATAATTTTTCAATTTCAAATGTTTAAGTGTTTGGATTTTTTAAAAATGTTTAGAAACTGGTTTAGAAATCATAATGTACGAATATTTTACATACATTACGAAGATATACAAAACAGATTTTGAGGAACGTCTCGTCTGACCTTAATATCTTAACTTGTCTTAATTACTTTATCTAAATAACCTTTTATTTAAGAACAATTTGTCGATAAATCCCAGACTGCTTTAATTCATGAAGTTCAACAAACTATTTTGATGTAACATTAATTTGTTCATTAATTTTTAACTTAGGGCTATATTTCAAAACACTACAATTTATAATACAAATTAAAAAAACTACAAAGATATAGTTTCTTTTTCATATTTATTGAGACTTTTAACGAGATTTTCTGTAATATAGACCATATCAAATGAATTGAAAACATTCATATTCCATATTCTAATTATTTTACTTAAAATTTTATTTCGTAAGTAAACGTAAAGCGCAACTTACGCGTTCTTCATAACATCCAAAGACATAACGCACTCTCGTGCCAACAATGCGAATTCCCGTGAAGCAAACCTACAAGAGTTAATAAATGATTCTTTTTTAATTCACTATGTTATATTAACAAAGAAAATTCTTAAAACAGAGAAAGGATTTGAATATAAAAACTCTGTGTACCAGAAAAAAAGGAAAATTTGAAATGACAATTGTAGCTATATATATGAGTGTCGTTCAATATAGTTTGTCATAATAAATGTAAATGTTTAAAATTTATTTAATCACAGTCGAAAAGTCCTATTAAAGAATTTCTAATCACAGAAAAGTCCATGATTTTCCAATTCTTTTTGCAAACAAAATTCACTTTTAAAGTAAATATGGTCACTACACTGAGCTGAAATGAACCAAGAGGATGAAAATAATAGCGTGAAAGTGAAGCCTTATCATGCTTTTGTATCTCCTCTGAAAAACGGATGAAAATGTTACAATCTGAGAAGATATTTCAAGGTAAATGGAAAACAAAATCTTATGGCTGTGTTTCTAAAATTTGACCAGCTATGGTCAGCCAACTAATTAATAGATATTTAAATCGTAGAAAGCAATTACAGTTTTGGGGGCACATCCAAACAATTTCAGTTGCGTTGCATGGATTACTATAAATTACCACAATTCCTTGACAAGCAAAAAAGGTCAATAAACGTTTTTATTGAGAGGGAATAAGCATATAGTAAGTAACTTTTCAGTGCTTCTTGGAAAAGTCCAGTATGACAATATGAAATATAAAAGTGCATTGAAAAAAGTTTTAAGTGAGATACAAACTCAGACGGTCACTGCACCTCGTCTAAGTCCCGTATCTGACGTTTTAAGCAATGTTCGTCTTGTTTCCTTAACATATACTGATTATACTCGCCTCATTCGGCGGACAGGTAGCTAGTGTATTACAAGATTGGACGTCAGCATGTACTCCATCGCAGACAGCACAGGTGTCCGGCATCTGAGGTGGGGCTTTAAAAATTAAAGGATTGCTTTAATTAGTACAGGTAGCAGTTTTAATATTACCGATCGGGATATACTTTTTCCTCACTTCTGCTTGCTCTAATTCGATGGTATTTTCAAGTTTAAAGCTAAAGACTTTGATATTGTTGTCATTGACAATAAACATTAAACGAAAGGTACAACTTGACTTCCTGGCCTTTGCATTTTATAACATTTTTCTTGTTTTCAGGTCAGTTGAGCTGTCAAAACTTCGCTTTATCCACATTTCACATAAATCTTTTGTTCTTAAAAGAAACATAATTTTGACTAAATTTGCGACTTCAGGCAAAAGTACGGAATCCCAATAGTGCAAACCAAAAATAAAAGAAAAACGAAATTATTAAATAAATCATTTCGTTTTTCTTTGTTTAATAATTTCGTTTTTCTTTATTTAATAATTTCGTTTTCTACTTTTAATAATTTCGTTTTACTGTATATATTAATTTCGTTTTTCAAGTAGAAAACTGAAACTAAAATACTGAATTTACAGATGTGCATGGTAAGGGCCTGAACCCATAAATCATTAGCGCACGCGTCTGTTAGACCTGATTTTGTTTCGACAATAAACAAGTGTGATGTTTGCCTTTGCATTCACCGACTCCCTTATCGAATATATAACCATTACAATACATGAATGGGGGAGAATTTAACCTTTGGTATCTAATAATAATATTGTGTAGATTTATGTTTTTATCTTGCATTAACATAATTAATGTGAACTTTAACCAGTCTGATAATTTGGCCAGTAATTCGGTGAGATGTTGACGTTAACAACTGGTAACATTAGCTTTCTTAAACCCTCTGCTCGAAAGGTCTAATGATCAGCAAATAATGAACAGGGGTGTGCAATTAGAAAAAATCAATAACTAGCCCACGGGCTAGTGGCAGCTATAAAGTTACTAGCCCCAAGTGAAAAGTTACTAGCCCAAATATAGGGGCACAAATTAAAATAAAAAAATATACGTTGAAAAGAAATTAATTGTTGAAAAAGTCAGGGTACTGAGGTCATTCTTTTTAAGATTAAAGTTTAATTCTCACTATGAAATTAAATCATGTATAAATAATAATGAAAGAAAATTAAAATGAATTTAAATAAATTATCTTCCCTTTCTCTGAACATTGCACCACAGGTGCTTGAGGACAGGACCCCCCCCCCCCCCCCTCAAATATAGACTTCTTGTATCCCGGCCTTTTCGATTTTTTTTTTCTTAAACTATCCTTAAGTGACATATTTGTGATGTAATCCATACCATCAAACCGAAAAAATACGAAAAACAAACAGTTTATAAAAATTCGTAACCCACTATATATAAAAATAACTGTTATTTTTATATATAGTGGGTTACGAAGTTTTATAAACTGTTTGTTTTTCGTATTTTTTCGGTTTGATGGTATGGATTACATCACAAATATGTCACTTAAGGATAGTTTAAGAAAAAAAATCGAAAAGGCCCGGGGTCCTGTCCTCAAGCACCTGTGCATTGCACTAGCTCATTTAGAATGAAATTTAATTCATTTTGTTTTCATCTTAAATCATTAAATACAATATAAATATATTTTATGTGAGTCATAAAACACTTATCTTTCAGTTGATTGAGTGATCGTAAATAATTCAATGAGATATCTGTATGTATTTACCAAAAACGAAAGAATAGAGGAAATTCGGATTAGGGAAAAAACGATCGTTTTTGGAAGTAAATAAGTCAGGTAGTGCTGCAAAACAGATAAGATTATAGAGATTTATTGAGAGTAGGAGCATGTTATCAGAAAAATTTTTACTGGTTGGGAATTTGATAGCAAAAACGAGTGAAAATACAGTTTGTGCTTTTCATGTATTGCGTGTGTAGTTTTAATTTTTACTAGCCCGACGGGCTACCTCCATGCAGAAAATCACTAGTCCGACCCCAAAAAGTGGTAGCCCCGGGCGTCGGGCGATATTAGTTGCACATCCCTGAATGAATCTGGACATGCAAATAATGACTATGGACATGAAACGTTAAAGAGATTATCCTAATAAATTACACAAATATTTAAGATAAACATGAAGGTTTACATTCCGTTGTTTACAACATGTACTGTTGAATTCTCAACATTTAGGAAATTCCCATGGCTTTACAGTACATGCATTAGAAAATGCCGTAAAATAATACGTTACCGATCGAACTTTGTGGGTTTGTTTAACATTGTAAAAAAAATATTTAAAGAGAACAAGTGCAAAAATTAAAACAAGTCAAAGTGGTTACAATAAGTAGGTTTTAATGATTGCTTACTATATTAGAAATAAAGCAAAACACTTCTGATTTCTTGTTGTTAATAAATGTCAAACTCTCAATCTGTACTATTTATAAGTCAGTGGTACTGCATGACTACTATAGTACTTGATTTCACATATTCTTAATCACAAACTCTCAATCTGTATTTATAAGTCAGTGATATTTGTGCACAAACAATGTACACACTTGCACAAAACAAATCCCACAAAGTAATCAAATCACTTTTCTCTTTATAGTTTCAACAACGTAGGATTCATGGGTACACAGATAGGACGCTAGGTTAAGTTCGGGGGAATTCAGTAATACGATACTTAAGGTCTTGACCTTCTCGCGATTCATGAGCTTTATTTGAAATGTTATTAATTTTATGCAAACAGAAACAGCCATCCTCGCTAAGTCCAGGCTTACAGACTCCAACAATGATGTGGGGATATGACACAGCAACAAATTCCCGTAAACAAAATTGAATAGTTTATGAATTGTTTACGGAAATGGGAATTTTAGGCTGTGCGCACATATTTTTTCTACGTTTGTTAATTTGATATTTAGATCTTCTTTAATTTTTCATTGCCATGCACCACACACTTGTAATTTCGATATAAGGCGTAAAGAGTTACGAGGTGATGCTTTATTACACATGCGCTTTATGGAATTATTCATGGGTTCAGGCTCTTACTATGCACATCTATAAATTCCGTATTTTAGTTTCAGTTTTCTACTTGAAAACGAAATAAATATATAAAGAAAAAAGAATCTAATATATAAAGAAAAACGAAATTATTAAAAGTAGAAAACGAAATTATTAAATAAAGAAAAAACAAAATTATTAAATAAAGAGAAACGAAATTAATATATAAAGAAAAAACGAAAATAATATATAAAGAAAAACGAAATTATTAAAAAAACGAAAAACGAAAAGATTTACCGTATAAGTGGAAATCCTAGCGAGACGCAAATTTAGCGATTTCTCCTTTAAAATTTGTACTTTATTTTTAGCGATATGTAATTTTAGCGATATTGAAAACTTCATTAAAGAAGCTATTTAAAAAAAGTGGAACTGAATTTAAGCGATATTCAATTTTAGCGATCTCGTCACCCTCGCTAATAATGCCAAAATTAAATCCTCGCTAACAATTTTGCTTATACGGTATTTAATTTCGTTTTTCTTTATTTAATAATTTCGTTTTTCTTTATTTAATAATTTCGTTTCTCTTTATTTAATAATGTCGTTTTTCATTATATATTAATTTCATTTCTCTGTATACATTAATTTCGTTTTTCTTTATCTAATAATTTCGTTTTTCTTTATTTAATAATTTCGATTTCTTTATTTAATGATTTCGTTTTTCTTTATTTATTTTTCGTTTGCACTTTTGGGCTTCCGTACAAAATTAATGGTAAGAAAAAATGTTTCCAGAGTACCAAAATGTGTGAAATACCCCAGAGGGGGTCTACTGATTTTAGAGAATTTGATTGAATAAAATGCAATAGTTTATGATGGTTATAGTTAACGTTGAAAGCCAGTCTGATTAAAAGCAGATCCTTTGATTTGCTCACACGAGATTGCTACTCAAGGTTAGCCATCTTTGTGAGCGGATCAAAGGATCTGATTTAATCAGATTGCATTGAGAGCATGGGAAAGATAAAGAGATTTTTGAGTGATAATTTTATAATAAAATGTAAAATGTGAAACAATTTCGTGATCGTATGGCATTTGCAATTACTTATAACCTATGATGATTTACACTCACTAAGTCCACACAGTTGTGCGTTGCATGGACCGTTACTGTCTGGGGCATCGGAACAACAATCAGCGCAGTTCACCAGCCGCCGTCGTCTTCCTGGAGTGCCACTCATTGCCCTCATTATCATGCACACCTACCGGTAAATAATAGAAACGCCTTTTATATTGAAAGAATAACGATCGGTACTGAGAATAGTCGCACTATATTAAAAGTTCTTTACATACATGAATTCAAAAGCGGTGGTATCATCTGTTCCAGTTTACATAGCTTAAAAGAAAGACTCTTTTGGGTGAAAAAGGTAAGCGTGATCTTAGGCTAATTATATCATTCAAAACATTCTTCACACCGGAGAGATTTAATGAACATCTATTAAATGAAAAAAAAATCATGGCCTTGTTTCAATTATTTTATCTTTTTCATCGTTAACAACTTAGAAGTTCTGAAACCAGATTCTCGTATATGTAGACAAGATATCATCATGCTAGCCCCTTAATAACATATGTTCTTTTCAATCTATGCAAATGAAAATATTAGATTTTGACTTTAAAGGTGCTTGGACACAGATTTGAAGTTAATTTTTTCTGTATAATATCACGAATTGTATATTTTAATACCATTTCACACAAAAATTAATTAAAAATCTTATTTCATTTGAAAGATATTAAAACTTTTAATTTTTTGGCGGGTTTGATTGACACATCCTTTCACTTCCACAAATTTTAACTTTATTCTTAATCCTTAGGGAAAGTGGCAATCTTGTTGTGTATTAATGAGAAATATTAAATTTTTAATCCAGAAAAATAATTTCATTCAGAGTAGAAATGTTCGAAAGCAAAACTCCTTCACAAGTATCGTCATTCCGTTGTGTACAGAGTTTAGCAAATCGAGCACACTCGTGTTATGTGTACAGTTTTTGTAAACAGGGCGAAAGATCTGTTATTGTTTGGTGTTTTGGTTCACCGGGTGCGTTCAATCGCCAAAGTCTGCTCACCACAACTGCACGGACTGACAATATATTGTGTGTTTGTTTTACTTTCGAACATGTCCACTCTGAATTTTCTGGATTATAGTATTAATATTTTTCATTAATACACAACAAGACTGCCACTTTTCCTAAGGATTAAGAATAAAGTTAAAATTTGTGAAAGTGCAAGGATGTGTCAATCAAACCCGCCAAAAAAATTAAAATTTTAATAACTTTTAAATGAAATAAGATTTTTTATTAATTTTTGTGTGAATAGCTATTAAAATATATAAGTCGTAATATTATAGAGAAAACATTAACTTCAAATCTGTGTCCAAGTACCTTTAACAGATTTGTTAATATTTTTGCAGACTAAAGTTGACGCTCGTGTCTATAGTTATACAGTGTACTTCTGTTTTAACATTGTACATATATTACATGGCTTCGATGGCAGCATACAAGAATATTTGCCCCAAGGTGACAGGAAAGCCCAATCTCCCATGCAGAGTTGTCGTTCGTTCCTCTCTCAAACACCTCTGCACTGGGATCAAGTCAAGATTTTTGACATAACGTATAAAACGAGATATATGAAGGGTTGTTTCAAATTAAATTAATAGTTCTGGATTGATTTAGTAAATATCTACCTCAAAACTCAAACATAAGCATAGAAATTGAATTATAATGAATTAAAATAAACTATTTCTCGTGTTTATCACTGTGATATACGCGAGCCAATGACAGAGGTGAATGTATGAGCCGATGGTAGAGAGTGATGAAAGCCTTGGAGTGTTATGTCGCCCGAGGGCTTCTGAGGAAGTTTTGCCTCGAAATTTGGCGACATAACACTCCACGGATTTCCTGTCATCGAGTGGCAAATTTTCTGGTATTGCTGCCCGAGAATTAAGCCATGTAATATTTATTATCCTTTCATTTTAAATACTAAAATCTGATTGGTTTAGACGCAGTTAACAATCTGTTCTATCCCTAACAAAAAATACTATAGTAAACTATAGTTAACTATAATTTACTATAGTTAACTATAGTGGAAAGTTATAACTTTGGAACTTTGATTTACTATGGTGAAAACTTTGGAACTTTGATTTACTATGGTGAAAACTTTGGAATAAACTTTGATTTACTATGGTGAAAACTTTGGAACTTTGATTTACTATGGTGAAAACTTTGGAACTTTGATTTACTATGGTGAAAACTTTGGAACTTTGATTTACTATGGTGAAAACTTTGGAACTTTGATTTACTATAGTAAAAACTTTGGAACTTTGATTTACTATGGGGAAAACTTGGGACTTTGATTTACTATGGTGAAAACTTTGGAACTTTGATTTACTATGGTGAAAACTTTGGAACTTTGATTTACTATAGAGAAAACTTTGGAACTTTGATTAAGCACTATAAACCCTTAAGATTATGGTTTTGCTTCCCATTCTGTACATTATATAAATTTCAAGTTTAAAATTCATTAAAGCTTCAGAATTTTTTTTCAAAAACCCAAATCGTCCCCCAAATAGAACAAAGTACAAGAAATTGTTTTAATGTAAAAATAGTCTGTTTCACCGATAAATAAGCTGTATTTATATAAATATATTTAATTTCAACTATAAATAATTATTAATATTTAAAATATTTTAGTTGTTAAAGTAAGTACAAAAAACATTGGAACTTTAATTTACTATAGTAAAAACTCTGGAACTTTGTTTAGCTATAGTAAAAAATTTGGAACTTTGAAAAACTATGGTATAAACTTTGGAACTTTGTTTAGTATCGCGTAACTTTAGAACTTTGATTTACTATGGCGAAAACTTTGGAACTTTGATTTACTATGGCAAAAACTTTGGAACTTTGATTTACTATGGTGAAAACTTTGGAACTTTGTATTACTATAGTAAAAACTTTGGAACTTTGATTTACTATGGGGAAAACTTTGGAACTTTGGAACTTTGATTTACTATAGTAAACTATAGTAAACTATAGTTAACTATAGTTTACTATAGTATTTTTTTGTTAGGGATTACCCTCAGCCTTAGCAACACGCGTGACAACGGGTAACACAACGGTAATGCCACATGCGTGGAAATTATGCGCGTACGGTTCACCGTAGAATTCTCAAAACGTCAGTTGCGCATTTGAAAGAACCGGAATAAACTTGACGTCAATAAAAGCTTGCGTCCGATGTAGCTTACTTGAAAACAACAAACGACAGACGAAACATGCTTGCAAGTGCAGAAATAACGAAACTTTAGATGATAAAGGACTCTTAGAGTATCAAATAAACAATAAAGAGGTCAGAAAATCTTTTTCGAAGTAGCGGGGAGTTTGAAAGCTTTCTAAACGTGAACGATTTGTATTGCTGACATTGTAAATCTAGAAGACATTCAGTATAATAAAATAAATGGTGCCTGTTTTGGAGGGTAACAGTTGAAATTGACACCCCTCGGAAAACCATTGTCAACCTCCGCTGACGCGTCGGTTGACACATGGTTTTCTTTGGGTGAAAATTTAACAAAAAAATGTGCAAAACGGGTAGCACACATTTATATAATGGTACATATAAAATTTTTAAACATTGAACCGAAATCGGTCATCGAACATATTTATCGAACACTGTACACATGTACGTTGAGTATAATTCCGAAATATCCTGTCATGTTTCATGGCAGAATGTTTTCAGTATGCTGACACTTGTGTTGATATTATACATATATTACATTTTGGTAAAGGCAAACGATGGCAGCCTCCGATGGAGAGAATATATTGCCCGAAATCGAATGGAAACCAAAAGATGCACACAACCAGTGATACTTTGACCTGGAAACAGAGAATAGTAAGCGTAAAAAGAAACTCCAAACTCTGATCCCCTCAAAACGACAAATACAGATATTTCAAATTCAAACCGGAAATGTGTTTTTTTTATCCGAATTCAGTTTTTGGGATATATTAATTCAGCTGTGTATTGTTGGATAGCCGAGAATTGAAAGCCATGTAAATATATGGTATATAATGTTTTTTATAACATTGAACCGAAAATTCGATGTAGTTTTAATGGTGTAAACATTTTTATGGGTGACACTAATATGTACACATCAGTGTACATTGAGTATAATTCCGAACAAATATCCCGTCCTTTCACGGCAGAATGTTTTCAGTATACTCAACCTTGTGTAGATAACCTAATTCCTTTGTTGTATTTAAGGATTTTTTTTCTCCCTAATTAAATTATCTAATTCCTCTGAATTCAGATAAACAAATCGCAGACGATGTCCCGACTTTATTAATTTTAGCGGAACTGTTTACGTTTGCTTAGCAACTGCCTCTGTGAATTTCAAACCCGGCATATTTAATATGCAGAATGATTGTTTTAACTGTTCATTCTGGGAACATAATTCTGTGTTCTTAAAAAGAAGGGCAATATAACTGTTTAATGGATTGTGGAATATAACTATATAGAATGGACAACACCAAAAGGCGTGATTAAGAAGCTTTATAGGGCATATGGATAAAATTGTTATATTTGTGATATAATGGGAAAACTTCTTCAAAAATGTTTTATACTTTGTTGTATTTAAGGAATTTCACTCCTCAGTTAAATTATCTAATTCGTCTTAATTCAAAAGGAGAGATCGCAGACGTTGTCCGGACATTTTTTTTTAATTTTCGAGGAACTGTTTACGTTTGCTTAGCAATTGCCTCTGTGAATTTTGAACCCGATGTAATTAATATGCAGAATGATTGCACGCGAAGGAACATAACTGTGTTCGGGGGGGGGGGGGCAATATAACTGTTTCCGGTAAAATTGAACTGTATCCGGCGTAATTAAGCAGTTTTTTGGGACATATGGATAAAAATATTATATTTGTGATATAATGGGAAAACTTCTTCAAAAATGTTATATAATAACCTGATGTGAACGACATCCTGCATTGTACACGATACTAAGGTCTTCTTCTGTGCTTTTCTCCAAATAACATTCCTAAAAGGAATATATTTTTCGTAAATAACATTTTTACAGTAACAACCTATATACAATGTATGTAAAACTTTCATATACATATGTGGAGGTTCTCAGAAATTTATGATTTTGCACTCACAATTTCTTTCTTTTTTGACTATAACCCATGCATATGTAGAAGGAATTATTTTTGGGGGGTCATTGTTACTCTTGAAACAGGGACAAAAAAAATTTCCTAACAACCGGTCAATTTTTCTTTTTGGATTGATGAAATTTCACTCATTTTGATGGCTCTGTACTAAAAGAGAATATCGATTTCTTTCTGATCTAGTGTAATAAGAAAGATACATTTTTGATGTGTTCAATGAACGCAATATAAATTAAGAAATTATGTTTAAAATATTTTCGCTATAAACACAGGAAAAGATAAGTATATTTCCCAATTTTTGCTGATTCAATATTTTGCTTGAATTTAGAAATAATCCAGTCTAAATAAATCATTTCACCATCTTAATACAATTGGTGCATCTATTTCACATAAAACCAGATGAAAGTCTTTTGTTTTTACTTCCATTCATATGTCGACTCAGTATATACCCTTGAAATTGAAATAAAATATGCTACATAATCAGCTGACATATCTGTTTCTTATTTTGATATTTTACTGAAAAAGACGTTAATTGTAACCTAGCAACAAAAGTTTTTGATAAAAGTGATGACTTAAACTTTTCTATCGTAAATTTCTCTTACTTATGTATAAATATACTCTAATCATCATTATTTATGTTTCCTAATTGTTTCGATTCGAAAAAGCAAGCTCTACGTGCGAACAATTTCTAAAATGAGGCAAGCTATTTCAAAAAGTCGGAAAGCCCAAGACATCAACAGTCTCGTTTTTGATAAAATCTTACCATTACATATGTATGTGGCTTGCTTGGCCAAACAAAGTCGTTTAACTATATATCATCTTTTTTCAGTGAGAGATGTTTTAGTAAGATATTTACAGTAATTTTGGGTGAGCCAAGCAAATTTCAGTAATTCATGCTTAATTAAATAGATTTTTCAATTCTGACTTTTTCAGTGTTAAACCAGTACCTTTTTATGTTTCATATAAAGTAATTAAGAACTCGCGAATGTAAAAAAGTATTTTTTCCTTGTCTGAAAATTTCCATATCTTATTTTAAGTTTACACTACTTGTAAAGTCAGAAAATCCTCTTACATGATGAATCATTATTTTCAGGTATTATCTCCTCCATGGCACCTGATCCCACCTCTGATGTTTCGGGGGTCCGTGTTTGCTCTGCCCCTGTTTTGTATTGTTTTATGGACTTTGAGATTGAATACTGTTCGTTATCTCCATATCCTTCTCCCAAAGCACATTAAATTGAAGGAAATTCAGAATAAAAACAGAATGAATCAGACAAATATTTAAAATCCTTCTACACCAGTGTTGATAGCCATTCTTCTACTGTATCATTCCTGAAAGGATTTTATAAATAAATAGCTTTCATTAAAAAGGTGCTATATGCTTCCTTAAATTTTACCTCATTGTCGCCACAAACAGCCAAATTTGTGAAACATTCTGTTATATCTGGAGCATCAGTGCATCGCATACAGGTTGGTCCAGCACGAATCAACCCTGATAAACATGTTTAAGACAAAGTTGTTTGTCAAATACGGTAAAAATCTTTCTGTCAATGTAGCATTTTTGAATCATTAAGTTATTCAAGTATGATTTTTTTTTTATCTTTTACAGGATTAATATACTTATGAATTCTTATGAGAATTTGTTTTAATAAACGTAGTAAATTTAACAATTAATACATATTAAACAATTTTATAATAGTCAACGCCATTTTTATTTACCGTATACAGATAAGCTGATGTATACAACTGAAATTAAAAAGATATAAAGATTGATATTTCTACAATATAATGCTTTCTTCATTCGTTAAGTTTAAAAGTTGTACCATTTCAAAAGTCATCTAAGCCGTTTTTGCATTCTTGTCTATATTGAATTGTGTGAAATGCGAAGAATGTGTGATTGATAAGATTGTTAATAAATAGCCACGAAACAGTGGGCACATGGCACTTCTTTAAAAGAGTTCTCCTAAATGGTCTGCAAACGAGTTTACTGATTCATTCATGTAATAAACGATCAGTGTTTTATAAGTAATAAGAGAGAAAATATTAAATCGATGTTAATATATGATCAAAATATGTACTGAATTTTGAGAAAATTAAAACGGTATATTGTATATATTATAAATCAAACGAAATACTCACATAGAAATGGCGATTTCATTCCTTTAATGAAAAGTTAATTAAATAACTATGAACTGAATAATTCATGTTCAACAAGCATCATATGTGACAAACTCTTTACTGCAAAATATTGGTTTCTAAAAGGTCAAGAGGGGTCACACTGCTCAACTGAATCAACTTCAGTGTACCTGCTTGCTCTCCATCATAATTTCAAATAAATAACTTATCAATCGATATAGCAACGGGGCCTTAACTTAAACGTGAATCTTCTCTGCATTGAGATACTATTAAATTAAATTTTAAAAAAAATGTTGCACTGCTTTATTAAAAAGCAGAATACGAAATTCTTTGTTTTTATCTTTTTATATTCTCAAATATAATTGGTCAATTTTTACTTCGTGGTATAAATAATCTTGACAGACTTAAAACTATTTTATTTGAAGATGCTTCAAATTAAAACAGAAATTTTATTAATAGTTTCTGATACAGGAGCAAGGGCCTATTCAATTAGTAAACTTTCTTTCTATTTTAAACTACAATTCTCTGTTGCCTTTCACCCACCTACCCAGCTGCCTCACCCCGTGGGAAAAAAGGTAATTTTATATGACCTTGCAAGTACCATAGCATACATGACCGGAACTTTGAACGGTATAGAGAAAACAGTCTTAACATCCAATTGTTTGGCACAGCTAATTAAGTCTATTCTATGATTTTGGTATTTCATCAAAGAGATCAATAAAAAAGAATTTTATTTGAAATTTTCCATGCGAAAGAATTAATTTTTACAGCCAAAAGTGTCAATAAGCAAATGAATTTTTTTCCATTCAAAGCATTGGAACTGATTTCAAATAAATGTTAATGAAAAGAATCAGAATTCGTTAATTTCACATATATGTTATATAATTTTACTACAAATCTACAATTACCATAAGTTACTTGTATGTATATTTGATATAAAATAAATTCATGATAAAACCATCACTTCAAGATATCCATTTGCAAACCAATCCTTTCGAACAAAAAAAGGAACTGATCTAATAAAGATTTTAAAGCATGTTAAATAAAATATGATCATCTAAATCCGAAAGAACTCTTAAATACTATGACGTTTTGAGACTAATAGATCAAATTTGAAGATGCCTTTAAACTAGATTTCCTAACAATACATTTAGTTTGTGTTTATAATATATAAAAACATATTTATCAGAAGCATATCATTCTGTTTTTGAGATGGAGATTTTAAATTACTTAAATAATCTATTCTGGCCAAACCCCGTTCGTAATGGCAATTATGTGAACAAATGTATGTTTGCACTCATTTTAGAGGCGCACTATTTTACCTTGTTCCTATAATTCTTGATAAGATTTTAGGGGGGCGGCTGGAGGTTTTATTGCATAATACTTTTCGCGCGCAAAAAAAGGAAATATACATAGTTTCACAGTTTTTAAGCTTTAACTCAACAAAATTATTCAACTTGAACAAAATTCAATCAAATATTTGCAGCAATTTGAGCTTTTAACTAATTGGTAGATGAAAATAATAAAAACATTGTTTGGGACGTTCTGATAAATAGACATTTTTTTAGAGTGTTCATAAAGTCTTTTAGAAGGTGAAGTATTAAATGAATATATGCTCTTGAAATTTTTAACACAGGGATTTAAAATTCCACAACTACTATTTGATTTTTTCTGTTGTGTCTGTCGTATTTTGTTTTCTGGCCTGTTCGCTGAAGCCAGTTCAGGGGACAGTTGCTATAAAAGTAAACGAGTGATTTTTTACACAATAAAACCCTAAATAACGTTTATACTATTTTAGAATTTGTTATTGATTTATTTCCAATCTAAAGAGACAAAAATAACAACTAAAAATACTGAAAAAAAATTAAACAAACACAAAGCAAACAAAGATCAAAAGAAAACAAAAACAGAGAAAAAAAGGAATTAAGAGTTTTCTTTATAATTACCAAATAAACACTGCGGAAAAAGTTTGAAGGCAATATTGATCTAGACAGACAACACAAGACAAACAGACAGACAGACGAAACTTTGCAATATCATTTTGAAAATTTTAAATCAAAGAAAGAATTATACTGGAAAATTTTAAACAATAAATTCTGATAATTGAACATACTTACTTTCGTTCCCTAACCTATCAGTTTATCTTAACTATGCGCCAATAAGAATGCCTCTTTATATGTAAAGTTCAAATTCTGTGAATTATGACCTGTGCACGATTGGAGACTTATAGGTTATCATATCATATGCGGAAATGAAACTTATTCATTGTATGTTTTCCCTGACGACATATTTCTGCTCAATATATACGTTCTTGTAAATGTTATTTGGATATGTAGAAGTCTATATGTTATTATGATACTCATATATTTCGAAGCATTTGTAAAACAACATGAATTTATTTTGTTGTGAGGTGTTGCCAATTTGACACCCCATTGATTATATTGCTAGAGGTCAATATCAACAAACAACATTTTGAAAAGAATCTAGTATCATTATTTCTTCAAAATTCTGTTTTTTCCAGTTGGCATCTGTTGTAATTTTTTTTAGATTAATATTCTTTTATTCATTGAAAATAAATGCATTTTTTTTAAGCTTTAAGCCTGCGAACCTAGTAGAAGAAGTCGAAATTTCAGGTCATTTTTAATGCATTATTCAATACTCCTTAAATACTCGTATATTCCATTCCTTCCTAAATTCCATTACGTAATTAATTTTCATTGTATAATTTTTTTCATTCGGTTTATCCGAAATATTCAAGGCTAATAAAATTAAGAAAAATCCCAGTTGTGAAGCATATACAAAGGTCGTTCAATAAATAATGCAAAATTTCACCAAAAAATAGAAAAAGCACGTAATACCTGGTATTATTTTCCATGACATATCTGACATTGTACAATCTTCCTTTGATTGGTTCCCGTTTTGGGGGAATAAAAGGATCTCACATTTGTGAGATCTAGAGAAAATTGGTAAGAAAAAATTTCTGTATACCTTCTTTTCATCAAAATCGTATTTACTTCTCTTAACTTTTTTGTAAGTGCCTTAAATTGTAAGGTACAGGAGAAATACCCTGGTCACCAGTATTTGGACTTTCTGTTCGGGAAATCTTTTTAACTTTCCTTCGTGCACATTTCACGCGTGTTTTCTCTAAAGCATTTGTAACAAAATAGGACACGCGATTTTCATACAAATGTTTTTCCTTTGTCAGAAGTCGCCGGCGTGGCGGAGTTGATCCTTACGTCGCGGGTTCGAATTCCACTGTGGGACGTGGAGACCGTATAAACCAAGATCCCATGTCGCAGTTGGTGCTGACATGAAAAAGATCCCTCCCTGCTCAATGGCCCTGAGTGCCGAGCATAGGAAAAAAAGCGGTGGTGTCTCCATATGAGTTAAAAATTCTCGAGAGGGACGTTAAACAATATCCAATCAATAAATCAATCCTTTGCCAGAATTCTACAAAATACTATGATGATTAAATGTTCAGTATCTTCATGTATTTCCATGTAAATCTAGCATTTTTAGATATCGTACGTGTGGCATATACCATCGATATTTATTGGTGTTCCCACAAATTTCAACTGTTCGACAATTTCTTAAGTTTTTAATTAGTAAGAATCTTCTTGGCAGAGATCATTTATTTATATATCAGTTTTCAACTTAGTGTAGTGGCCGTGCCAATATACTTTAAAGATGAATTTCTTTGAAAGGACAATAGAAAAAAAAATCATGGAATATATACTGCTGTGTTCAAGAAACTCTTTACTAGATCTTTTCAACTTTGAAAAAAAAAATATAAGTCCCAACATTTTTTATGATAGACTGTATATTGCATTATTATTGAATGGCCCTTGTAAAGCGCAAACTCGAGTAAATTCTAAACCAAGCCTATATCTTAACAACTCACAGAAATATTAAGTGCTATGTAGGAGAAACTTCAGACGTATTATGCTACAGCTTATTTTACGAAATCGTGTCAATCCTGGATCCTCTGTAGATGCAGACAACTTCAGAAATTTTTTTGGAAAATTTTAAATGAACATTTTTCTCAACACAAAAAAGTGTTTATTTTTTTTCATCTATTTATTAAAGATCCTTCACAATAGATTATAGACGTCTTGGTTTCTTACACATCTAGTCCTTCATTAAAAAGGAACACATAAATGTTGATTCTAATTATTGGTCTTCTAAAATAGCTTCTTAAAACATTCTGATTATGCAGACCTCAACTCCAAATTTGATCTTATAAAGTCAATTGATTTCTTCATTAACAATATCTGTTGTTTTTTACGGTCTTCCAACAATTTTCTAGACTTCGGCTGGACACTAATTTTGCTGCTTTTTAGCCGACGTATTTAATACTCCTATAAACAAAAGTTCATCAAAAAATTATACAGAAGGAACATTAACGTTTAATTGCTATATGAATTTTAGCAAAATTCATAGTAGATATATTGATGACGTTTTATCGATATCTTGCCATTCGATGCATTCCAGTAAACTCGAAATTAGAAACAGCACACGTAGTTCACTACATTAGTGTCTTTTTTTAATTGATTTGACGATAATGGTCAACTAACAATAAAAATGTATGATAAAGGAGAAGACAAACCCTTTTCCTTTGTCCTTTGGATTATCATCTGACCGACATGTTTATACTATTTTCAACAAATCTCTTCGTTATTATTTGCAATGAAATATGTTCAAATCAAACCTATTAAAGTTGTTATTTTAATGTTAGGATTATCTAAGGATCTCCCTGTCTATCTGATCCATAAATTAGGATGTGGCGTACCTGTCGACATGTGATATGTTTTTATACTCGTCTGTATCGTATGTAACGTGTATATCGTGCATATCAGAGAGGCATCCCTTCTCGACCACACACTCTCGGCGTGTGTTTTCTGCTTTGATCAAGCAAATGGTTGTTATGAATATGTTTTAAAAAATGTCAATTACCAGTCATTATGATGATATATTTTTTTTACGAAAAGGGCCATGATATCAACCATAGAATAAGCAAAGTGATTATTTAAAATAAGAAAATTTGTCAGTTTCAGAACTTGTTCGTGTGACGAGCATGCTCCTGTACAGCGTATTGAATAAACTGGAAGACAAAAACTCCAAATGCAGGTAAAAATGGGATATCGCTAGATGCGACGAGCACTTTTTAATGAAATATAAGGAGATAAAGTACAATATTCAAGCCGAAAGGTGCATGAAACATTTCAAAATAGAAGAAGAGTAAACACGGACATCTAAAACATGAGAGGTCGGATCAAGTTCTAAGTGGAGGAGTGAACATTCCCTGTCGACCAGTCACAACCGCCGAGTACTCCTTGTCATGATCTGGAAATGACGGGAACATCCGTCGACAATATTAATTATGTGTGTGTGTAATGATCGAACAATAGTTTGAAAAGCATCAGTCAGAATTTGACTTAAAAATTAATTGTATCCGTTGATTATGTCATTGTATCGATCAAAGAACTTTAAACAAATGTGTTAATAGCCTTGTTTCATTAACTTGTTTGTCTATAACTTAGATCGTTTGAGAAAATGTTCATACGAAGAACATTTGGAGGCGATAAGGGTATATTTCTGCATTAGAGAAGAGAAAAAAATAGCCATGACGTTTTTATAAAGCTTTGTATTGAAATTTTAGAAATATGAAATATGTATTTAAATTTGTGGTATTTTTTATTCCAAGCTCGCTGTGATACATCGTGTCGACATATGAATAGAAATAACTATCATTATAAATTGATAATAAATCGTAAAAAAATATTTTGATGTCGAGTTGAAGGTAAAAAAAAAATGATGTCTTTTCACTCTCGGCGTGTGTTTTCTGCTTTCATCAAGCAAATGGTTGTTATGAATATGTTTTAAAAAATGTCAGTTACCAGTCATTATGATGGTATTTTTTTTTACGAAAAGGGCCATTTATAGGATTTTGAATAATCTGTTTTACATGAATACAAAAAATAACGGTACGCCATTGGTACATGTGGGAATTCCCACAGATTGTTGAAAAGCCTGGTCTCAGGTCGCAGATATTATCAATCAGAAAGTCCAGAAATTTCTAGATATCAAATTAAGAATGCTTGTATGCACAATCAAATTATCTGATTAGCAAAATAATTTTGCAAATGACTTATGACAAGGTAAGTTTCGCGGGTTTTTTTTCATTGAAAAGGCAGCGCTTTCAATGGTATTAAAATGTCTGCAATTTTATTAATAAACGTAAATTTTCATGTTAATTATTTTGGTAAAACTGTGTTTTCAAATTTTCCACAAGTTCCTTTGCATTTTAAAGCATCCACATCTGATTTACATAATAACTACGTTTACTAATAAATGACTTATAAAAATAAAGGAAGTTAATGATAGAAAAGTCATAAAGATTACTTTGATCATTTATTTCGAGTTCAAAGGGATTTATCGAATATTGGTAAGAATGTTGTATGTATAGGAAATTCCGAAATATCTTAATATTGAATTAAAGGCATCAGTAAGAGACCTCTCGAGAAAAAAAAAATATTAAATTCTTAAAGAAGATTTGTTATCAAAGACAATTTATATCAGGCATTACCCATTTTTATGCGTAAACATTCAGCACTAAAACAACCACGACAGTGTACAAGTTACTGTAAACGTATTGCAATTTGACGCCTGTTCTTTTTAGTGTCTTTGGTAGAAAAAATTCCGGTAATACGAGTACAGTGGTTTATGTCTTGTACGTATATACCCTAAGCAGAACATTGAGAAATGCTCTTGTTCAAATCTACCTTTAACTATTCAAAAATCATTTTCCGAAAAATATCTTAAACGCTATATATGTAATTTATATTCATAGTATTTTATACTGAACAATATTAATATTACATCGATTTTTCAGCATAAAGATCAAGAAAGGAACCTAAACAAATGTTTTATAAAAAAACACATAGGTATTAATTTTATTCATTATACATTAATTAAAAACCATTGCTTGTTTTTTAACCAGTGGGGGATCCAGATGGGGATACTGAGCCATTGCTAAAGTCACCAATTGTCATATCTGTAGAAGAAAATACAATATAGCAAACACATAGTTATAGAATACAAAAGACATAAACATTCTAGGCTTAAAATGCACGTTGACGGTAGCAGAGGTGCAAGGTTATGATAAGACATACAAAGGCCGCCAAACCAAAGAAGCAAATCTAAGAGGAATATTTTTTGTTCTGAAGTAATATAAATTCTTTTTTTTTTTCTTCAAAATATTAAGCTAAAAAGATTTCTTTTAAAACAAACAACATTCATTAGAGGCTTTGACAAACGCTTTCGAATCAAATAATTTTGTATGTGTATCCCATTTTTTTTTAATTTGTTCGTTTGTTTTAGTCGATTTATAATACCCAAGAGATTGAATGTTAAACCAGCAAGAGGTAGGGTCATAGCTAAAAAAATATGTGTATATCAGGTAAGCAAAATCGTTTGCTAAGCATAAATTGAGAATTAAGAAAATAGTCGTACAAAGGATGATTTTTTTTTTAATTTTAATTTATAATGCTGTACAAAATACAGATAATTTTGTTTAGCCTGCGGTGGGTACTGCAGTGCTGCCTGCGGGTGAACTTGCTGAATTGGTGGGTTGAACGACTGTGGGATTTGTTGGGGGAGACGTGGGACTTGTTGGGGGAGTCGTGGGACTTGTAGGGGGAGGCGTGGGACTTGTTGGGGGAGGCGTGGGACTTGTTGCAGCAGGAGGTTTGCGTGTGGTTTTTACTGAGCCATTGCTAAAGTCAGCAAGCGTCATATCTGTCAAAGCAATATAAAAATGCAAAAGGCGAGGGAGAACGTGAATATAATAAGCACACCAATAAATGACTGGAAAGCATATCAGAGAGAAAGGGGGAGGTTATAAAATATTATTCTGCCAATCAATTTCTTAACATCTACAATCAAATGCTTCAAAATCTTTTATTTCCTTTTTGCCATTTCATTTTGATGTTTAAATTGTAGTTGCTTTAAATCTTTTACATTTTAGAAGATGGGTTGGTGAATGTTATAGAATAAGGACGATAAGATTAAATTGTTTTGGAAATCATTTATAAAATCAATATTGTAATATTTCATTAATTCATCATTATGTTTTACGTGTTTTTCCTTTCTATTTAAATTGATTTAAAATCAAAAATAAAAACATCGTGTCTTTCGATTTGTACTCCTTGTAAAGCAAAATGGCACAAAATCAACAAGTACTCCATTCAGAGGTACCGGTATTTATATTTTCAAAAAATAGTCTTGGGTATGCTTCTCATTTTTTTTTCACTTAGTACACATACATCTCTTATTTTTGCCCTACACTTATATACATGTATTAACGAAAATAGAGAAAATTACATTAATATAACAACCAAAATAAAAGGAGGAATATATACGATGTGAATAGCTTTCTATGAATCCTAGCATAAGCACAAAGCAACTTACTTTTCCTGAGTTCAAAACAATCAGCTGCATTACACCTGTCTCCTTTACAGCATGAATCACAGATAGGTGTTCCTTGGTCGCCGTGAATAACTCTTCCAGGTCTTCCATGGGCCGTATGGTTTTTATTGTCATTTTCTAACATAGCATGACAAACCTACAAATTTAAGGTTCAAAAGATATGTAACTGTTTATTATTCAAGATTTTCTGTGAACAAGTGTAAGGCATTGTGAATTATATAACAGAATTATATATCTCAATAAGATAAAATATCATAATTAAACAATAATTAAATGTACGAGGGGTTATCAAAAAGTTCGTGGACTGAGGCGATAAAATTAGTACTACGTAGTTTGTGCTTTCAAAATTTATAAGGAACAAAAAAGAACAAAAAATGAAAAAAATGTTTAAAATTTTAGCTTGATAAGTTCATTATTTGCTAAATTATTATAAAATAAAACCGATATTATGTGTGCCGTCGCCCTTTAGTTTCATGACGTCCGAAAACACCATTGTTTTTCAATGTCCGCTTCTTCTACTTCATACAGTTATTTTGATGAGATTCTCTGAAGCTGAGTAAGGACTTAAACCTGTCTTGGTTATTTCACTTTACAATGTCATGAAAAGCGGCTGTCAATGCATATAATATTGAAAATGCATTTACACATTGGAAGAGATCCTCGCATGATTGTCCTACATATTTGCTTTTTTGAGTTTAATATCTACAACACATGATCAACGTCATTTTTTTGACGTGATTGATTTCACACCTGGACTACAAATCGAATTTAACTGTGCATCCCTTTTCTTTCTGAATCTCTTTTGGCATTAAAAAACAAGTACCAGTGAGTACCCTGGATGTATTTTATTTCCCCGAAGTCAGTTTAAACATTTCCTAGGTCTTTTTTTATGGGCAAAACTTTATAGAATGCTGGAAAAGGAAACCCCTCCTCCTTTTTGACGTCGTTTTCATAGCCTTATTTGTTTAGACACTCCATATTAGATTTACGATAAATTTTCAAAGAACTTCCAGAATGAGGTAAAAACTATATATTTTATGGAACAAAAGTGTCCCAACACATACCTGAATTAACAGGATTTTTGGATGTCAAATGTTCTTATTAAAAGAGTTTTTTAATTTTGTGGGATGGGGGTAATATTTTTGGGGGTTTTTTTTTCATCAAACAGTGTTCGGTGTCTTTACCTTTTTCATTAATAAGAGGGCTGTCCCAAAAAAAGTCGTAGACAAGGAAAACAGTTTAGTTTCTCTTTGCTAAATTAAATTTCTTTTCATGTCATAGCAAAAAAAAAAAAAAAAAAAAAAATTATGATCATGCATTCCAAGTTTCATGATGATATCACATTTAATAAGAAAATCATAAAGAAAGCATGTAAGTATACATCGATCGGCGCACGAAAACAAGCTTAATTTACGTCTCTTATAACGTCATGATCTCTTTTTTCTGCTTCACACGCGTCTGTTAACATCCAATATTTTTTTAAAAGTGAAAAACCTCTGTTGACTAAGTGACTTTAAAATTTGAATTCACTAGTGTCCGTTTTTTTTTTTTGGGGGGGGGGGGGGGGGGGGGGGGTATTTAGCAGATTTAAATTTCAGTCGTAATTTAGTCGAAAGATCACCTTAAATTGTAAACAGCAGAGAATACACATTGTTTGACGTCATTCGTGGACAGAACGTTCACCAACGTCTTCGTTTAACAAACGGTACTCAACTTTTTACACGTAGTAACTATTCTTTGTATAGAGGATAAACTATCATTGAATCTCAAAGCATTTAAAAGCAACTTCTCTTATTAGAATCTAGTGTGTAATGTCACTTCTGTACTCTTTTTTACCGTCTCTGATGTATATAAACCATATGCAAAACAATTTATTACATCCCCGTGCGCTGGGTACGCCTTCGACGACGTCGTTTTCATCCAACTCAATTCCGACAATACTTTGAAAATTATGACACTAATCGTCTGTTTTTAATGCAGTTTATATGAAAATTTGACACGTTATTAAAATTTTAATTCTGGTTTCACTGATTTAAATTTGAGCTCAACTTCTTACATAGTACCAAAGAAATAAAAGCAAATGTAATAGCTATATACATAAGTTATTCCCAATATTGCGCCGACAGACCATATCGGCCTTCATATAAATCGTCACAATATTATTAAAATGAAAGATATTATATTTAAGAATGAACTAATTTAAAGAACATTAAATATATTATGACTATGCAAAATTTTGATAACATTGGTGGCATATTAACAGAGTTATAAACAATGTCTACGACTTTTGGACAACCCTCGTACATTTGACATCTGAATATTCAATTCCTGATCATTTACATTAAAACTTGCAGTTTTTGTTTGAATGTTTTATATTTAAAAAAAGTAGGCTAGGGGCTCTACCAAACGAAATATATATTATATATACTTCTGGTTTTAACTTTAAAATTCCGAAACCAAACACTTACGCGTTCTTCGTAGCAACCAAAGACATATCGGATGGCTGTGCCAACGATACGGATTCCAGTGAAGCACACCTGTAAAAGTAAAAAAAAAATCTTTAAAAAAAACAATCGCAATAAATTAAACTGATACATTTTTAAAAAATACAATAAGTTAATGTGTTTGTGTGTAAGTGTTTTTTTTTTTTTTTTTTTGGGGGGGGGGGGGTAATTTTTGTGGTAAACAGAACTTTTTTCCTGCCTGGAAACATTGATTTTGCTTTGCTTTTCTATTGGTACAGCTAATGACTGTATAAAACCTAGCTGTCGTGGAGCCCAAATTTGAGAACAGGCTGAAGTCAATTTTTATTTTAAATGGTTTGTTATTTACAATACATAGGTAAACAAAACTTATGGCCTTTTTTGGTCCTGTAAATGTCTGAAACTGCTTAATTTTAGTAAACAATGCATTTAATATCATTTAGACCTTTGGTGATTGCTTGTTCATCAAAAATGATATAGTTTTCTGGCTAGTCAATGCATTATGACGTCAAGAAATGCGTCAATTTCCTCATATTTTGAAAAAGCCTACAAAAACAGAAAATTAAGATAAGCAACTAGTAAATGATAGAAATGTTTCTGAGGATTATAAGACGTTTTATTTTTTAGATCATAGGGTGCGCTCAAATTATTTTATTATAAATTGGTATATCTACAGGGCCGTTTTATGCATAAAGGGAACCGAGCTCTTTACAAGTTTGTATTATATTCCAGTTTAAACGTATGGTAAAAATTTTGTTTTGTTATGAAAATTATTTCAAAACTTATATCGATTTGAAATTTTGACCTAAGTCAGTTCTCATGCAGTTTATTGGTCTTGAAGAAAGAATACAAAGCGAAGAACTATTCACGAATGATATGGCGTACATGTTGTTTGTCAGTTACTGATTTATGGTTCCAAATTATTGTTATAGATGAAAAAGCTTTAAAAAAAACAAAAAGAAACATTGTCCTCTTACCTCGTTAGGAGGACAAGTAGCAGCTGAACTACAGGCAGCTACGTCACTGTGAACGCCTTCACAGACAACACATGAGGCCTGTACTTGTCCACCAGCTTAAATAAGGAAGGAAAAGGGTAGCTTTAATTAAACTAAGTAACACAAGTACAACATGTACAATGTCTTGGACACTGTTGATAAAAGAAAAGTATTCAAGTTTTAATTTTCATGTGAGGAATGGGGCTTTAACATTATAAATTTTGACCTGATTTGTTTTTTATTTATATTTACGCTAATCTTTATCAATTTTTTTTTCAGGGAAAATGTTTTGGTACTGAAAAAAAGGGCCAAATCAAGACTTTTGTGGTATCTAAAGATTTAAACTTATCAGTTAATTACAACAAGTGCATGACTGGGAAATTTATCTACATTCTGTTTTATATCAGGTACCTGTAAGAATGTATAATTTATTTAAAACTGGAATTAACAATTGATTGACGATGTACTTACCAAGACCACACAGTTTGGAGTTACATGGACCGCTTTTATCCGGGGCATCACTACAACAATCGGCACAATTAACAAGGTCACGCTTCTTCCTTCCGCCTCCATTTAAGGCGGCCATGATAGCACATACCTTCATAGAAAAAATACGTTGATGTTGTTTATTTGTATATCTCTTTTGTTTTGAAAAGATAGATTGTTTGTAGATTGTAAGAGAAATTTGGAATCTTTTTCATGGATATTTAGACTTTTTTCTCTGTATAACAGTTCCTTCCCCTTTTTAAATTAAAAAAAAGTAAATAAAAATGCATCATTGTCTGAATATCAAGAAACCTGTTTTGAACGACATCCGGCGTTGTATTTGATGCTAAGATCTTCTTGTGTTACTTTTTCCAGATAGCATTCCTAAAAAAAGGGATACTCCGATCAAATTGCTATACACAATGCAAAAAAGAAATTTGCATGTTTTAGATCAAACAGTATTATCTAAAATATGGAAGACTGATAGAAATTTCAACGTTTAAGTAACACTCCTCAGCAAATGAAAAGTTGTCTTCTTTATATTTTGTAAGGTAATTTAAAACATTTCAATAAATATTAATGTATATATGAGATGTACCCTTTCATTCACAAAATGATTCGTTAGATTTCCCAACAATATCAATTGCATTACGCATCAATGTTTTCCTCTATATATTTGAAGCCTCATAAAAGAGTCAGTATTTATCATAAAAATTCATATTTGGGACATGTTTTCAAGATATGCAAAATAACTGAAAATATTACATAAATCTCTCTAGTAAAAAAGAGATGTTTTTGTTTCTTTTTACGTTAGATTATTTTATTGAAATACGCAGAAAATTGCAATACCAAAATTCAATGCAATATTTACATAGAAAGCATTTTATTGTTTTTTTTTCTATGGCTGTTTTATATTCAGAGAATTCGTGTCCCCCGCTTAGGGAAAATGTTAATAAATTAAAAGTATACATGTATACTGAAGGAAATAAAATACATGTATGTCAATATGCATATAAAGATTTGATTGCTTATTCTTTATTATGTGTGTAGAAGATTTTTTTATATGGAATATTTATCACACTGTAATGTTGATTTTATAACATAAATTTTTCATTTACTGAATACTATCAACAAGGAAGAGAAACATTATAGTAAAGTCACATGTATATAATGTTTTCATGTCAAAATTTTATTTAGCCTTTATTATTATTTAAAGTAACAGCTAAAAATAGCGAATGTAATACTATAAATACTAATAAAACAAAGTGGGGCACTTTGAGAGGGGCGAGAGACTAGGTAGTTTTGGTATAAAATTTTCATAAGCTCAAAATCTTCTTGAAATTTCGCCGGAAATGATAGTGTTACACACAGACAGAATGACAGGAACACATGGCTTGTGTGACCGATATCGTGTGGCAAGTGTTTTAACAGGAATTTGCTTATTTATGACCTTGACCTTTGACCTTTTGACCTCAAAATCAATGGCACCATAATCTATGCTAAATTTCATTGCACCTCTGATGTTTTACAGACAGACAGAAAGACGGACGGACGGACAGACGGACGGACGGACAAACCCAAATTAATATCCCCCACTTTTCAAGCGGGGGACAATAAACAGGATTGAGTGAAAATACGTAAAATTCCGCATTTTCATTTATACGTTAGGTCAACCTTTACAACAAGGAAGAGAAACATTATAGTAGATGTTTAACATGTCTTATAATTATTATTTAAAGTAACAGAAAGCTTTAGTATACAAGTAAATTTTCAGTTATTTCCCGATCATGACAGGAACACATGGCTTGTGTGACCGGTGGGCAAGGGATGCTTACTCCTCCATGGCACCTAATCCCACCTCTGATGTTTTAGAGGTCCGTGTTTGCTCTGCTCAAGTTTTTTTTTTTATTGTTTTATGGTCTTTTGATCTTGAATAATGTTCGTTATCTCCATATGTTTAATTAGAAATGAAGAGATATTCAGCGGTTATAATTAAAGGGTCTTATTTTTATCTAATACATCTTAACATCATTTTACCTCATTGTCACCACAATTAGCGACGTTTGTGAAACATTCTTGGATATCAGCTACATCAGTACACCGCATACAGGTTGGTCCAGCCCGAAGTAAACCTGTTTAATGAGGAAATGGTTTTAAGAAGATGTTTTTTCTTAATAATTACTATTGAACAAAAGCAAAATGATATTTTTGTAAGTAACTTACCATATAGGGCGAATAAGATAGTTGTAACTACAAAATGAATTATTAAAGCATGAAAATATTTTTTACCTACTGGCAGTGCGTTTCTCTTATAAATATATTAACATAAGCAAAAAAATCATTTATAATTAAATGAATATACTTACAAAATGTTGTTCTCATGCCTTAAAAAATTAAGAAAAATCGTCTCAAAAAAATAAACTGCTTATTTTAAAATTTGGGATATTTGGAATATATTTAGCTTACTTATATCACCAAATATTATAATATAAATAGACATACGCAGACGAAAAAAATGAGAATGTAGATGTAAATATTAATTTCTTTTCAATCTAAGAAAAAAATACTAACAAATATTGTTATCCTAAATTATAAGAGGGATAATATAAAAACCCTTAATAATCTTACAATGTAGTTATAAATACATATTGGTTTAAATTGCTACTTATATGAAATAAGCACTTCTGAATGGAAGCTGTTTCTAGCAATATTGGCCTCGATTATTTTGAGATAATTTAATTGATATTGTTATCCTAAATTATAATAGGGATAATATAAAAACCCTTAATAATCTTACAATGTAGTTATAAATACATATTGGCTTAAATTGCTACTTATACGAAATAAGCACTTCTGAATGGAAGCTGTTTCTAGCAATATTGGCCTCGATTATTTTGAGATAATTTAATTGATATTTCTGAAAGCTACTCACTTGCTGTGCGATCCCTCCACTAATAATCTGAAATCAACGTTTAGCTTAGTGGCTCTTTTATCTTTGACGACCAAGTTACGAAAAAGCTGACCTTCACGTGACAGCAGACCCAAAAGGTTATCTGTATGACACATGAGAGAACCCATTCATCGTAATTCCCTTTGTCTCTTAGTAAAATTTCAACGATTATCAGCATTATCAAATGAATTACATGATACTTTTATTAAAAGGAGAGTAAATGCGGGTCAAGGTCAACTCAGAGCAAATTATGATTATTAAAGGTGATTTGGGTGCTTTGTGTCTCAGAATTTGTTTTGGAATAATAATGGAATTTATATTTCCGATTATATGTATACGTGAAACATATTTGTGGATTCTTATTTGCAACCTGACGAATTCGAGCCGCAAAATTTGAATAGGATACCTTATTAAAAATATTAATAGGAAAACATTTGCGTGTGAGAAAAGGGTGACTGCTCTTTAAGGACATGCTAAATTTGCGTAAAAAAACTGTAAAAACTGATTTTTTTTTAAATTGAAGGAATTATCAACATCTAATCTACAATCTAATCCAGAACTGTACTTAATTATGTACAATAAATAAAAATAAGTTTTACGAAGTACGGATCTGTTTTCTAAGGCGTATGCGGGTCATCACAATTTCTTCAGTCTCCCTACGATAATGAAGACGCCCATATTTTTACTGATTTTATACATAGTCAGCGCATGTTTTTCCATGGGTCTACTTTTAACAGTCATTGTACTCGTATATATGCATTAAAAATGCTGTGTTAAAAGAAGATTATTAGACAAAGATGCGCTCATGATTTAAAAGAGAAAAACTTATCTCTCTCTCTCTCTATTGTATCCAATGACTATGATACATTGACTATTATAATTTGCCGCGTGATAACTTACCTCGGGTAACTTTGAGAATACTAAATTTAGTCATGTGACGTGTAAGGTAGCGTGTTTTGTGCTCGAACATTTTAAATTGTCAGGCATCGATTTAAAACATGTTTTACCTACATGGACGGGCTCATAGTGTTAATTACTTTTTAAACGTTTTTGAAATAATAGACTTGTGCAATGCAGAATAAATGGAGATTGAAATGGCTATCTCGTATATTTAATACATGGCATTGTTATTTATTTAGTCTAATTTTAGTCCCATCCTTACGATGTTAGATCCGCCTTGCTAACACAAATAATGTTCGGTCAATGGTAGATAAGTGTAAATTCTCTGCATTTTGAAAGTAAGGACAAAAAAATTCATTACAGTCTAAATCCATTTTTAACATATAAATTTGGTGCTAAATTGACCGAGATCTGTAGTAAATACGAGGGGTGATCAGAAAGTTCGCGAACTATCTCTATATCTACAAAGCCACAATTCAGATTAGAAAAAAATTTGGTACACACAAAGTCATACACAAGTTCTATAAATAGCATACGCTGAATAAAGTTTTGCTCCTTGTTTGTGACGTCACAATGTGAAAATATCGTCACTATACAGGTCACTTGTGACGAAAAATGGTTGTCTCAGTCGAACTCGTTCAACAAACGACTGTTAAATTTATGGTATATCTGAGAAATCCCTTCGAAGAAGCGTATAATAATTTGTACACAGTTTATTAAGACAAATGACGTCCTATAAAATTCAATCAATGATTGGATTGAAAGTTTTAGTGAATGAAGGCAGATGGTTAAAAATGATACTTGTTTTGTTGCCCAGTGAAAGCAAGTTTGAAAAGAGATGTACGCAGCACAGTTAAGGTTACAGTAAGGAGGCGGGGCCTAATTTGTACGGGAAATGTTTACTATGACGTCACGCATAATATAAGGTCTTCAAAATACCACAAAATGAAATTATTTGCTATTTCAAACAGCTGGATAGCTGTATACTACATACAAACTTACTATTACGTGCAGTTGTGTCGTTTGTTAAATCCCACACAACAGTATATAAACGATGCATCGATCGCAATGCACTTGTCAATGTGACGTCATCTCGCAAAAACGACGCAGTTTTTACACAGTCAGAGGCTGATCAAGTCAAATTTTGTACAATGAAAAATGCCTTTTTTTCTCAAATAAAATATTATTTGCAGTAAAATAAAAAGCCATTAACTTGGATGCGATGTCTATTTCAGTATTTTATTCATAAACTGTACGTGCATTCATCAGACAAGCGATACTGTCGTGTGTTTGTATGCAGATTCATTGAAAAAGTAATGGAAGGGCCCTAATAAATCGATTTATTGCAAGGGCATACCCTCAATGTATCCTGTCAAAATTTTACACATAAACTCAAGAAGCATTAAGATATTTGAAAAGTGCTGCGAACCTCTTGAAATCTTGCAAATAAATTAATTATAGCTATATTTAATGTAGTTGACCAGCAAAATATTCAACCTGCCGTCCAACAAATTAAATTTTACCAATTAAAAAAGGGAACCTATATAGGTTTGCAGCACTTTTCACAAACTACATATAGTGTTGAAAAGGATTATAAGATTTTAAGCTTGGTTATCCCCTTGCAATATTGAAATTTATAGATGACCTCTAAACTGCAAGTATAATTGCCAAAGTCAGGTAACGTCGACATCACATGACAAGTCTAAATAAAAAATCTAAATGTCTCCAACATGTAGATTCAAACCACATTACATTTTTTTTTATATCAGTCAATTCCTAAAAAGATTCGCCCATCCTAATAAAGTATGTATTTTTTATCTTAAAAAATCTCCGATATTTCCATTAGTAACCTTAACTGTGCTGCGTATTTTTAATTAAGCAATTTGCTACCAAAGACCTCCAATTTACACTTTGAAAAATAGTTGAATATTTCAACAATAATATAATTATCAAATACCTAAGATATCATTTACTTTAGATTTTAAACATATTAGATATGATAAAAAGGAGGCACCCACTCTCCATCCACCTTGAATAAACGTCTCTCCCGACACAGAAGATTTGGGTTTTGATGGTCGCCATGCTTATTTTTGAAAAGGATATTCCTATCCACCCATTCTTTGCTGAGATTTGACCATTTTTGACAAATTAACCGTTCTTGTTATAAAAATTAACTTACTTGGAAAGAAATATAAAACTCAGAAAAATATTTCATCTTTTGTGACAGAACGCTACGGAGGGGGTCACGTGACCGCCCATATCACGTGAATTGCGCATGAGCAGAACGGTGACAGATGTGCATTAAAATTGGAGAGGACTAATTTAAAATATAATCAACACTGAAACCAAATATTGTTTCTTTTATGGAAGTTATTCAATTAGTTCGCGAACTTTTTGATCACCCCTCGTATGCAAATGTGAAATTAGATTAATATTTAAAAGCAACAGATGCGACCGAAAAAGATTCATACCACAGCGTTAAGTGCAGTCATCCTTTATATATTTCTTCCTGAAACAATATTATCACAGAAAATTCAATTTATGCCGCTATGAGAAATCTGTTAAATCTGACACCGTCGGATAATTACGGATTTTTTCAAAATCTATGTTTTTGTTGCGCCAATTTTGTTAGACTGTTAGTGTGACGGGGAAAAAAGGCTTATATTTTTCATAGAAGGCATAAATGGGCTTTCCATTGTACATTTATTTCTAATATCAAGTGAGAAATATGCAAGTGTTTCTTACGTAGTTACGTTCAAATGCACAACAATACAATATGCATTTAATAAACTAAACACTTACCCCAAAAATAGCACTCGATCGTTTTCGAAAACAATCAAAAATTTAAATTTTAGGCAAATTGTTCGAAAAAAAAACACCATTTGTACTGTTCATTGAAATCGGAAGAAGATTCATTTATGTTTTTATTGAAAATGACAACTACTTAAGGTAATTCCACCCTTCTATGATGTCATAGATTTTTGCAAAAACTGTCATTAGTTTAAATTCATACCTAATAGAACAATATCTTTTGGAAGAATGCTTTACAATAGGTGTAATGATAAATATTGTTAAGTGAAAGAATTTAAAAAATGCACATTTTCTTTATTTAATCAATTATTCAATCTTTAAAAAATGTTGATAAGGGCAATAACTTCTATTAAGGTCTCTTCATTCAGGCATTTGCTTTATTGTACTTCTAATGTAAAATACCGGTAGTTTCCCTGATATTCACAATTCAAAAGTATCTTTTACTTAGGAAGTATTTAGGAACATTCAGCATCAGAATTATGCATTTTAACCAGTTTTTACATATTTTTATAATGCTTTTTACAAAAAATGTTCGATTTTTGATGTTGACATACACTTCTCTTTATTTATGTTTCACATCTTAAATAATTTGGTGACCTATATATTTTTTGCAATAATTGGAAATATAAAGTATATTAAATGAAAATAAATGCAGTTTTTGTACTTTGAACCATTAAAATTGTGAGGGTGGAAACATCGTAATTACATGTATTGCATCGAGGAACTGATGTCATCGAAATATGCGTACTGGTTTGACATTTAAGACTATATTTCGTGAAAAAGATCAAAGTTCATATAATAGGTAAATTAGTGCTTATCTTAATTAAAAAAGATTCGTAAAGAAAAAAATAAAATGTATATATAAAATGTGGCGATTTCTGACCGTCTATGTATTTTACGCAAGTCAGACAGTAGCAGAAGGATACTCAACTAGGAGCACAGGTCACCCGAAAATGGGTCGTCATTTTGCTTAGTAATAAAATATTTTTGGTATAAGAGGCACAAAATTAAATCAACCAATATCAATACGGTAACATCTGGTAACCTTATATTTTGATTGAATTTTATCTAATAAATAGTTTTCCTTGTCTTACTCCAAAACAATCACATTAAAAACGTTCAGACAGATCTACTTTCTTATTACATGTATATCCGCAGAATTGTGGAGGCAATAATTTTAACATTTAAACACGACAACAAGTTGATGTCAAAAGACTCGGAGTCATACATGTCCCCCTCCTGTTCACAAACGTTTTACTGTTTAACTTCATCAAACAATACATAAATTATTATCAGCAGTTTGAGCAGAGAGCTACACACCTGTAGCTACATTATCATCAGTCATGGCTTTAAGATACAAGTCTCTGCTTAACTCAAAGACAACTGAAAAAATTAAAGCCAAAATATATCAAAATAAGCTTCTGAGTACTTTATCATGTGTAGGAAAAACTACTGTAAACCAACTTTTATTCGCGTGCGAGAAATTTTTGCGAAGTTCGCGAAATCCTCGTCATCGCGATTTTTTCTCGCCACGAAGCGCGATTATTATAATATCTGTGTCTATCAAAAACAGATTCAAAAAAAGGTTTGACAGCGGAAATCAATCGTTGTGAACTACTTTACTTGCGGTAAATCGCGAAATAAAGTCATCGAGAATCGTCTCTATATATATAGTAGATCAACAGGGAGGTCTTATATTGTACATCCATAGGTAGATCAGAGATAACTCTTTATTGAAAATCATTAGGGAGACCAGAGGTCTCCTCATATTGTAAATCATTAGGGAGACCAGGGGCCCGTTTAACAAGAAAACCTACGACTTGGACCAAAAACTTCATTCGAATGTAAAATCTTGCAAAATTAATGTTTGTTTAAAATTGCTAGCATTAAAGTATCTTTTTACATATCCTTTTAAAAACCTTAAAATCCATTTTTCTACAAAAGATAATTAAAAAGGTTATTTGGAAATGAAATTTTCGTATTATGTGTTAGTTTTTTTTTTGTTTTGTTTTGTTTTGTTTTGTTTTTGTTTGTTTGTTTGTTTTTTTGTTTTTTTTTGTAAAACGGTCACCAGAGGTCTTTTCATATAGTAAATCAACGGGAATGCTAAAGTTTCCTTTCACTGTACATCAATAGGGAGACAAGATGTCACTTTATTTAGTACATCAATAGGGAGAACAAAGGTCTTCTCATATTGGAAATTCAAAAGGGAGACCAGAGGTCTCCTCATATACTAAAATCAAAAGGGAGACCAGAGCTCTCCTCATATTGTAAAGGAGACAGGAGTCAATGGGAGAATAGAGGTCGCCTTATATTTGAAGTCAATAATAAGACCAGAGGTCACCTTATATTGTGAGTCAAAATGGAGACCAGGAGGTCACCTTATATTTCATAATCATTAGGGAGACAAGATGTCACCTTATTTTTGTGCATCATTAAGGAGACTAAAGGTTGCACTATATTGATAAACCAATAGGGAGACCATATATTTTAAAAAGGGAGACCCGGGGTCACCTTATATTGTAAGGCAGTAGGGAGACCAGAGGTCACCTTATGTTGTACATCAGTAGGGGGACCAGAAGACACCTTATACTGTAAAATCAAAAGTGAGATCAGAGGTCTCCTCATATAGTAAAAACTTAAGGAGACCAGAGGTTACTTTCTATTAGTCAATAGGGAGACTTGGGTAATCTTATACTGTAAAATAAATAGGGAAAGAAATGTTATCTCGTTTAAAGTCATCATTTCGTAAGTTCTATGGTCGATACAATGACCTTGTCAGCAAATACAATTCATCATTGAGTCAAATGCTGACTGACGTTTTTCATACTAATTGTTATCCATTATTGATACACTGAACTGACGACGGATTCACTCACTCCTCCATGGCATCTGATCCCACCTTTGATGTTTCGGAGGTCCTTGTTTGCTCTGCTCCTATTTTGTATTGTTTTATGGACTTTGATATTGAATAATGTTCGTTACCTCCATATCCTTCTTAAATTGTAAAACCAATAGGGAGACCAGAGTTCTCTTCATATTGTAAAGCAATAGGGAGACCATAAGTCACCTTATATTGTTAGTCAATAGGGAGACTTGGATCACCTTATATTGTAAAATAAATAAGGAGAGAAGGGGTCTCGTTACATTGTAAAATCAATATATAGACCAATAGGGATGTAAATCAATGTGGAGACTAGTGGTCACTCCATTAAGTCAATAATAAGACCAAAGATCATCTTTAATTGCAAGTCAAAATGGAGACTCGGGGTCACCTTATATTGCAAAATCAATAGGGAGACCAGAGGTCACCTTATATTGTACATCAATGGGGAGCCATTGTCGGTATTTATCTCATTTTTTAAGTCAGACAGTTTAACGAAATAGTGTTGAAGAAATGTGTTTAAATTATAGAAATATTTATAATAGTTCTGTATATAAATTATACAGGTTTCTAAAATGTTAAAAGTATAGAACAAGCTGAAAAACAACAGTTTAATTTTATAATAATGCCTTTAATTCACGTCATGTTATAAAAAGCACAATTTTAGAATCGCCTGATTAAAATGGAAATGCATGAAGAACGCCTTATGGTGCAGTCAATCATTAACATAACATAGACACAATCCACTGAAATTTTGAATGCTCCATTGACGTCATCCAAAAGTTGTTGATGTTGTATTGTCTACGTAATCACTATATTTCATTACTAAAAGTAAGAAAACAATCAGATTAACACTCATATTAAAGAAGTTACGAGTATATATAAATATTGAATACTGTACAACTCAATTAAAACTTCTACGCGAACACAAAAATTTGTTGCAATTTACAGGTCCTCACGACATATCCAACGTTTTGGGGATATCAATTTTATACAGATAACAAAGTTAGTATTTTTTACGCTGTTGATATATTTCAATTGAAAAATAAAGTTTACCGTTCTTTAGAGCAAAACACTCCGCCTCATTACAATTAATTCCAATACAACAGGCATCGCAAATACTTAAACCAATATCCCCATGTATTTCTCTTGTTTCTCTAACATTGTCCGAAGCTAATGACCTACAAATCTTAAAAAAAAACAACAAACTATAAATTATTCCTCGAAAAAAAATTACTCCAGTAACATGCAGTTCATATTAGTGATTTCAAGCTTGAAATGTTGTATTATCGATATGACATATTACCAAAGTACATCAAAGTACTGTAAACGTATTACATTTGGCTGTGTATTCTTTTTAGCGTTTTCGGCGGAAAGCAATATCCGCTAATTCAATTACAACGCTAAATGTCTCGCACACATATCTATAAAGAAGACTATTAAGATATGCGCTAAATCAAATCCACACTAACTTGTTCAAAATCCAATTTCCGCCAAATATCGTTCGCGCTAAATATAATACATTTACAGTATATAAACCAAGGATAATTTTTTGCCCTGTCCGTCTTTCTGTTTGTTTGTCTGTTTATAATTGACATGTATATCTTATGACAAGACCTTTCTAAAGGTATAATCAAATGTAACTAATTTGTCTTGGAATTTGACCCACTTTTACAACAATTTGCTTTTGAACAGTTGATGCTAGGGCTTTCATACTTCACATGTGTATTCATTGTGACAAGACATTTCAATGGATATCTTCTGTCCTTGACCTTAAGGTATGACCCATTTATTAAAACCTTCAACCTTAACGAAACTAAAACTTTTAAACAGTTATCATTAGTGCTATATCGACGACGCATTGTCGATTAACAATGATTCTTTCCATTCTTATGCTGAATCGATATATCCCAGTAAACTTCAAATAAAAGACACCACAGAATCTGTTACATCTGTTTCAAATTTGGATATTTTACTTTAACGACGTTATTGCTGAACTAACAACCACGCTCTATGGTAAGAGTGATGACTTCAACTTTTCAATCGTCAGCTTTCCTTATTTATGCAGCAATATACCTTCATCACCTGCATACGGATATTATATCTCTTAGTTGATTCGATACGCAAGAGAATGCTCTACGCATCTACAATTTATAAAACACAGTATTTTATTGACAAACATGTTGCTGAAACAAGAATATCAACAGTCTTGTTTAAAGTCATCATTTCGTAAGTTCAATGGTCTATACAATGACCTTTTCATCAAATACAATTTATCACTGAGTCAAATGCTGACTGATGTTTATCATACCTAATCCCACCTCTGACATTTTGGAGGTCGGCGTTTGCTCTGCTCCGATTTTTTTTTAAAGACCGGTTTACACTATACATCTTGACACATGCAGCTTGGATGCATGTGTCAAGATTCACAGTGTAATAGCCCCTTGTGTAAATTAAATGGGTGTTGCATCTTGAACGATCGAATAGAACTTGTTTTATTCCGTGCTTCAAGATGCATGGAACTGACCAATGAAAAGAAAGGTCAGAGTTGAGATTGAATCATAAGCCTTATTTTCCTCCATATAGTTGCAAAAATAGCTTCCCAAGATACACAAAAACAGAAAATACTGATTAAAACTACAAATAGAAAAACTAATTTGATTATTATAATATACAGGAGTCTTTGTTTTGGAATATATATAAATTATATCTTCCAAGAATTAACATTAAAAGGAAATTAAGAATGATTTGTTCAGCTAAAATAAATCTGGAAGTGAAATTTGAAGGTATTGTATTTTTTTAAGTAGATGAATTTCATCTTTATAAAATACTCTAAAAATGCATGTGTCAAGACACAAGGTGTAAATAAGAAGAGGCATGAAGCAAAATAGAAGCATGAGTTTAGATGCATGTGTCAAGATGCATAGTGTAAACCGGCCTTAAGGTTAGACGAAACATTCCTCAAATATATGTCCTGTTTCTCTTGGTACTATATAAAAATTATCTATATTTGTCATTCTCTTCTGATTTCTACATTGTTTTCAAAATGTTTTTAGATATAAGTACACCCAAAATTCTGATATAGGCCATTCAAGAGATTACCCATAAGGGTTATATAAGAAATATGACCCTGTGGTATCTTGTCCAAATGCCTGGTGAGGTACCCGAAATTTTTGTGAGGAAACTTGTTTAAGTACCTTTACTTCAATGACAAATTCTTAGGAAAAATTATATATTTTTGATGAATGTGTCATTTGACCATAATGGACTTCTGAGCTTGAATACTGGTCGTTATCTCAAAACATTTCATAATTCATTTAAATACCAGTAAATCTAAAGTTTATATTTGGCAGGGTTTTCCTCTTACTTACTCGTTTCTTGGCACATCCAAAAACATATTTTGGGACACTGCCAACAATACGAATACCTGTGTAGCAGGCCTTCAAAAATGAAATGAAAGAAAATTAAAACTTTTAAAAATTATAAAGATAAATATTCTCCAAAAGAATTACTAAATTATCAGAAGAAATAGAAAATTAATGTTTATGTACAATTTAAATAGTGTTTTGAATTTAAAATCATGACGATATCTACCCTATTACACATTGTATATTATATATATCATATTTGCACTGCAAAAAAAATACAGATATGTACATTCGCATCATATGTCAAATAGAGAACTTATAAGTAAGTCCCCTGTTGCACATTTATCTTGCTGATGCGTTTAATATCAAAAGAATGAGTAATAAAATCAAACAAAATATTAACTGAATGAAAACATAAACCAACAACGCAATTCCTGTGCACAAAAATACAATTCCTTATATTTACCTCTCCTGGAGGACATACGTCTTCATGTGAGCAGCTTTCGATGTGATCATGAACACCGGGACACATTTTACAGGTCACTAACTCTGGACCAGGTGCTGTGAAGAGGAAATTTTTTAAAATTATTATTTTCTTGAAATTTGATAAAATAAGTTATTTCGAAGCCAATTCATTTTAAGATTTCAATGTAAAATCAAAATGGTTTGTTTTACCTACGCAAAAAAAGATAAAATGCACATTCATTTTTTTAATTTTTCAAATAGAAAATTAATGTATATTGCTAGTACAATTCTCAGTTAACCTTGGACTTTCAGTAAGCCATGGTATTTTCGACGCTTTATAATTAGCGTCGGAAATTTACATAGCCTTTCATTCACTGTTGAAATATACATTCCGGCGAATGTCAACGAGTGTATCAATGATCCAATGATAAAATTTTGTACGAGGTGGGGCTTGTCAACGACAATTTAAAGTTGCTGATATTATTAATTTATTAACCACTGAGAATATATTCGCCATTTGAGAGACCTTAATTACGTAGTGTCGAGAAAGTCACACTCTATTGAAAGTCCAAGGTTAACTGAGAATCGTACAAGATTATAAGAAAATGGCGTCAATCGTCATACCTTGGCCACAGAGATGGGAATTACAAGGACCACCATGTACAAGAGATCCATTACAACATTGAAAACAATTGGTGACTTCTTTCTTTGTCCTCAGTAGATCTACATTTCGCTTACCTACAGGGTTGTCTGAATGGAATGAATTCAGAATGGAACATGTCTTCAAAATAAAGTTAATTGTATTAGAAAGCATATTTACAACGTTTAACTTTTTTTTTCTTATTCATGATGAATTAGACTTTTGGTAATTGATAGGTCCAATATCATTATTAATTATTATGGTCTATTATTATTCATTATACGAGGGTTGATCCAAAAGTTTGTGGAATTCCTTTCTAAAATATAATCGTGATTTGACGTAAGCCAACAACATATTTATAATATAGATTCATAATGTAACAATGTTGCAAAATTTCACCACTTTCCAATCACCAATAAGGTCACACGAGCTTTCTGAAAATGGATTGTTGTGAAACCCGGAAAAACTTTGACGTTACGTCAAGTTTGATATGTCACGCCACGTTATAGAAGCACCTCACCCTAATGTCAAATTCGAATACGTAATTCTACAAAATACTGCCCTTTTCTCCATTTTTTTTCTCAAGAAAATCCTGAGTATCCTCTCGCACCAACTCACCTTCATTTTTCACTCATATTTCAAAATACACCCTATCTTTTCACATGATGTTCCAATTTCAGTAGCAATGTCAAAAGCAGTACCTTAGCCGACAACGTCCATTAACGCTTACAATTTATTTAGGGGGATAAACACTTAAAACAAAGCCTCCAAAAGGCGGCCACACCTTTAATCAATGTCCTAGGACGTTCTATTTTTCTTAATTTTTTTTATGCTGCTGGAAAACCAGTAACTAAATGCATTTTTTTCCCACAGCTTATGTCAATAATATACGTGTTTAAGATAAGGTGATCCCGGTATTTTCACAAAACTTATGACTTGCCTAAAATTTGACGTTGTCTATCAACTTAAAGATGACAATAAGTCATCAATTAATAAATTAAATATCCAATAAAATCAGTAAAACTCTCACACAAATGTTTATAAAAGATCAAGCAATTGTTATAATGACATAATTTTCGTTTTATATACCACGTAGGGCTGTTTTATTCTCATTTCACGTATTAAGAATTGAAATGAAAATAAACGCGTTAATGTCTCCCCTGCATTTCCAAATAACCGTTTCTATGGCAATTGCCATACAGTTGCTATCATAAATATTTAAAAATTTTTTTTAAGTTAAAATGTTCAAAAAGTGTCTATATTCTCATTTGTAATTTTCAAGCAATTTCACTTAAAAATAAATAAAATATAAAGAAATTCCACGAACTTTTGGATCAACCCTCGTAAAATTATGATTCACACTTGAAGAACAAGGAGGAAAAAATTATATCATCTACCCGGTATTATTTTAAGGTGGGGGAGGGGCTATGGTCAACAAATTATCAAATAAATCTACCTTAAAATGATGTTCCACGTCATAAATCATTTTTCTTGTTCATGAATGGAATCGACATTCTTTTACGCTGATTGAAAAAGAAAAAAATACCGATTTTGCTAAACATCCTGCCTCAAATCTGATCTCTGCATTATCTGTCGTATATTTCCTCAAAAAGCAATCCTAAATTAAAAAAAAAAGAACAATATGTAAATTTTAAAATGTTATCTTTCTGATGATCTCTACAAATTTCAGTGTAAAAGTAACAAATTTACTGCTCAATTAAATTAAGAGAACCAATATGTGCTTGGGAAAAGAAAGCACTTAAAGACAGCGCAATTAACAATTCTTCTCGTTTTGTTTATAAATTTATTAATAATAAATTACTTTATGAATATTATATAAGCGTACATATAATTATATTGATAAAGATTTAAAAGAATTTTAGAAAAGAAACAAGTACTGAGTATTACATTCAGAATAAACTTGAGAGAACTTTATGGCATTAGTTTAAGAAACTCAAAATATCGAATATTATATCATAAAGACTGGATATTTTTTTAAAGGAAGACCTAGTTTTCTTTAACAATGGTTTTTAATTTTTGCAACTTACATCTCTATCTCCACATGGAACTGTATATTGCTGTCTGCATTCTTCTATTGTAGTTGCATCCTGGCACTTCATGCACAGCGGACCATAACCAGTAACAACATCTGTTAAAGTACTATGGTGTCATTATCATGGTTTAGTTGTGGAAAAGATGTACATAAAAATATGTGTTTAAGAAACAATGGTACCCCCATGTGGCAGCTCAAGGCAAGGGTAAAAGTTTTTTTTTTTCAAATAAATGTCAAAATTTAAGGCCAATTGTGCAAAATTTTAATTTATTATATTTCTCTCTTACGCATTGTTTTTATAACGATAAAAAAAGAGATACCTGGTATTAACAGATACAACAGAAAATATGTCTGTGTTGGATAAGGGATAGGTTTTCTTGCCTCATTAAGAAATAAAACACGTACTCCAGAGGTAAATATGTGAACATATTAAAAAAATTAAATTCAGTTTTGAAAATAACAAAGTTTTGAGATATGTAGTTAATTTGAATAAAAGTATAATAAAGGTTTTTAATATATAACGTCACCAAAGAATTTTGTCTTTTTTGTTTATTTACTTTTTTTTTAAAGTTATGAACAGAAAAATGCATAATTATGCTCTAAAAAATAAACAAGAAATAAAAATGATTTGGGTGTTGTGTTTCTTTTTAGTGGATTTATTTATTACCGTAACATAAAGCACACTTACCACTTGTCGTGAACAACAGAACTGCTTGAAGATGTACTTAAAAACAAATGATATTATATATTTCTTCCTGTTAAGGGAATTGAAACAAATAACACAACATTCACATTTTATTGTTATTTTATATGTTCTACTACAAAGATTTAAATGAAATTATTATTACTTACTAATGATATTCTTCAGCATTCTACAATTATAAACATAAACTGTTCGTTTATAAAAGCAAAAAATAAAAGATAAGAATAATAAGTTCATGTACATAAAAGTCTTGGAGAAGAAATGTAAATCGATAGCTTGTAATCTGGTTGACCTTATGACCTCTGGCAATGTTTCAGAGGATGTTGTCAAGTTATTATGATAGCAAGCATTTGTAAGTGTAATTTATATATGTGCATATTGGTATTTGGTACTAAAATGAACGTTAATAAAAAAAAACTTTCAAAAGACAAATTTCTTGAGATTGTGCCTTTTGCGTTGGGGAAAACAATTGCGCTATTTTCTACGTTTTCTTTCTTTTAAAGGGAATCTTATCATTTGTATAAGAATATGGATAGGCCATTTAAAGAATAGGATTATTGTTTCCTAAGGATAAGAAAAAAATTTCCTTTTATACCTTTACGAGTGTGTTTTTTCTTTCTTTTTTTTTTCTTTTATTCGGTATAAATGACTTATTCAAGTACATACCATTTGCAAGACGGTGTAAAATTTTCTTTCATTAGAAATCACAATAGAAAAATTATACCAATACCTTACGTCGATGCGTGTTATGTGGAAATGGTTCATTTCGTACAAAACATGGCTTATCTAACTTGCAAAGTTCAATAAAGATCATATAAAGAGAGGTTTAAAAGAGAGCAGTAGTTTAATGTAGTGTAAACAATGCACTACAAATCGGTACTTGACAAACTGTTAATGCCACAGAGTGAACTTTATATCCTTCAAGTAATAATAAACTATTTGTTTATATTATATTATATAATATTGTCGATTTTAAGGAATTGGCATTTTATTTAAACCTTAATTTGGATTTATTGCGTTTTTTATGTTTAAAGATGGAATTTGGATCGACGAAACCAAATCATTTCCTAATCACTTCAATATTTTTATGATAACAATTTTACCTCATTAAGAATAGAACTATATTCATATACATAGCGGGTTCATGTAAATGTTTAACAAAGCCTCTTTATTTACTCCTCACTTAGATATTAATAGTAGTGAAGGAGAAACTTCAAGAGAAATCACAAGATTTTACCAAAATCAAAAGCTTAAAACCTTACGATTTTACAATTTTATACACAACCAATCTCCACGAAAAAATTAAGTGCAGTCTTTTCGATATCATTCATAGCTGCTTTTTCAATAGAAATGGAACTCTAAATTTACATACCTTGTCATTGGTCATTTGCAAAATTATTTTGTGTACGTACAAGTATTTGAAAATCTAAAAGAGATTGAGTTACTGGTTGACAAAATCAAAAGTTTTTAGAGACCAGGTCTTGCAACAATCTATTGGAATTCCTATGGGTATCAAATACGCCCCATTGTAAGCAGACCTATTTTCGTATTAATATGAAGCAGAATTTGTGCAAAATCTTATGCGTGAAAAGAAGAAAACACTTTGTGGCCTTATCGACATTTAGATAGCTGTTTTTTCAATTAACAATGATAATTTCCATTCTTATGTCGATATTTACATTGTATACCTGGTGAGGAGATAAAAGATTGCAATATCTGTTTATATTTGTGTTTTACTTGAAAAAGACATTAATGGTAATCTAATAACCAAGCTCTATGATGAACGAGATGACTTTAACTTTTCCATCGTCCCTTACTTATGCAGCAATTCAACTTCATCCACCTGCATAAGGAGTTTATTTATCTCTGTTGATTCGATACCCAAGCGCATGTTCTACGTATGAACAATTTCTTATACGAGGTAAATTACTGAAAAACTGATGAAACAAGAATATAAACAATCTCGTTTAAAATCATTTCGCAAGTTCTATGGTCGATACAATGACCTTGTCAGCAAATACAATTTATCATTGTGTGCTGACGAACGTTTTTATACTATAATTTTTAGTCCATTATTTATACGAGGGGTTATTAAAAAGTTCGTGGACTGAGGCTATAAAATTAATACTATGTAGTCTGTGCTTTCAAAATTTATAATGAACATAAAACAACAAAAAATTAAGAAATGTTGAAAATTTTAGCTTGATACGTTCATTATTTGCCAAATTATTATAAAATAAAAACAACATTTTATATCACCGACGACGTTTAGTTTTTTTAACAATGTCATTGTTTTTCAATTCCCTTCTTCTTATGTCGATTTATGATACATTGTATATCCTGAGTAACGACTTAAACCCGTCTTGTTTATATGAAGACAATGTCATGCACATAAGTCTGAAAATGACATCATTCATTTCATATTTGGATGTTTGATTGTGCCAAAAAGACATTTTTAATGGTTCAATATCTACAAACATGATCAAGTCATTTTTCGTTATTGATGAACGAGATGACTTTAACTTTTCCATTTTCTCTCTGAATCTTGGAATTGCAGCAACTCAACTTATCCAACAGTTTAAACATTTCCTAGGTCATAACAGTTTTTTAGGGGCAAAACTTCATAGAATGTTGGAAAAGGAAATCCCTTCCCCTTTTGACGTCATTTTCAAGAGCATGTTCTACAGTCCATGTAAAATTTCTTAAACGAGGTAAATTAGGATGAAAAACAATTGATATAATGGAAAAAAAAACATGTACCTGTTTAAAATTTTTCGTCAAATGTTCATATGAGTCGAGGTGACAATGACCTTGTCAGCTAATTTATTAAAAAATACAATTTATCATTGTGTGCTGATGGACGTTTTTATACTATAATTGTTAGTCCATTATTTTATACGCCGAATTGACGACGGATTTTTCCGTTATTTCCCGATCATGACAAGGAGCACACGGCCGGTTCAAATATTCAAGCGGCGGGTTTGACCGGTCTGGAGCGGATGCTGACTCCTCCACGGCACCTGGTCCCACCTCTGATGTTTTGGATCGAGGTCCGTGTATGCTCTGCTCCTATTTTTATTGTTTTATGGACTTTTGATTTTGAATACTGTTGATTATCTCCATATACATGTATATGTTTCATTCATCCAGTCGACCAGGTCAGATTCATTTGGGTCTATGATTCCGACAATCTATTGGAATAACCATCGTGTCATCATCATGGTCATTACTGTGAAATCACTTATTTTCGTGGGGGTTAATTTTCGCTGTTTTCGAGGTATGGAGAGACCCACGAATTTATGACCACCACGAAATATAGAATTTCATATGCATTGCTACTAAAAAAATTCCTACCACGAAATTAAATCCCAACAAACCAATATTTTTCCCTTAAAACCTTGAAATTTTTACCCCACGAAAATAGGTCATTTTACAGTATTTATTGCACACATTTATTACATGTAGAAGACATATAGTTTTGTATTCATTTTAAGCAGAATTCTTCTTTTTTTTTAATTCTATATGAAAAGAAGTTTCTTGGTGTGGTCTGAAATAATACGTCTAGTATTGAAATAATTATTTCAATTGTAATTGTTATTTCACTAGCGGTTGAAATGAAATGTTCTTGAAAGGAAGTCTCAACCACTTTTGAAATAATGTTGTATTGTCTTTAAAATGCACTTTCGTGACTGTTTACATATGTATTTCAATTGTGTTTGTGTTGATAGTTTTTGTAAATATGTTTTGTACATTAATAAGTCAATATTAATACATAATTTAATTAATATGTTCAGTGGCAAAAATGGACGCTGTAGCCTTGTAAAACCTACCCTGGAAAATTTCTTATCTTATATATATAAACTTTGAAATAGCACTAATAATGCTATAATGCTGCATAAAACATACTTGATGAATGTTGCATTTTTCAATAGAATTCTCTCTAGACAACCATTGACATCTAGAAAATCGTCAATAATTTATAGAGATAACGAACAGTATTCAAGCTCAAAAGTACAATAAATAATACAAAATAGGAGCAGAGTAAACAAGGACCTCCAAAACATCAGCAAAATTCACAAAAATGAGCTAAACATAGTTTCACAGTCGATAAACTATGTTTATCGGTTGTAAACTATAGTGTATGGACTGTAAACTATATAGTTAACAACGTTAATCTATATTTTACGAGGGTTGTCCGGTAAAATCATGGACAAAGCGTTTTTCTCGAAAAATAATGGACGCACTAGGCTGAAATTTTCAGTGTATATTTATTTTTCATATTTAAGTGCATTATAATTTTTTGGATAAAATAGAGACAAAAATAAAGATTTTTTTATGCTTGAATGGGCATAGGGTAAGGTCCTATGGCGCACGGTCAAAAAACGAAGGTTTTATTACAGAAGACATGAGTATTGATTTGAAATAAAAGATTTACGAGGACTGTTCAATATTAAATAATGTCCTCGGTGCTCGGAAAGAAGCAAAAGACGCTTTTCAGTGATTTAGTCTTAATGATTTAACTTAATATTCTCTTTTAATTAAAATACATGTCCGTAATTTTTTTTTCCTATTTCCGATTGTTTTTAGAACTCATTTTCGGGTATAACCCTTAGTATACTGAAAAATGGCAGATCTCATGATTTCTTGGACTCGTTTCTTCCTTCTGAAAGGTGTTATTTTTTCAAGTTTGGAAAATGAAACAAGTGAAAAGACGAAAAATCTGGCGAATATTGTTAATGTGAAAAAAAATACTTTCTGTTTATCCCCAAAACTCCTTTACTCTTCAGGGCGTGCGTGTTTAGAAGCAGTCATGAAGAAAAATAATGTAGTGGATTCCTGATTCTGGTTCCTTCTTCTCATTAACCTTTCGATTTTTTTTGCAAAAAATTGCTTTCTAGACTCTTCCAGAAATTAAACTACCTCCTCGAATAGGAATTTGAACAACAAGACCAATAATATTTAAGAAAATTGCATATAAATCTGTCTTCGTGCTCTTGCAATTCTTTGCTCTACTCAGACATTTGGTGTTTTTGTCAAGAACATCTCCTTGCAAATTTTGTTTCGAGGGTTTTAAGCAATAGATTAAAGCCTCATTATCTGTTTGAATTTCAAACAAACATGGATAACTAAAATTACTGATATGTTAAAATAATTGTTTAGATATTCTTACACGTGGTCGTGTTCACCCAGTTTTCAAAACATAGGGTGACCTTTGAGTACTAAGCTTTTTTATTGTCAAACGTTTCTTTTAAACAGTGTGAACTACTCCCGAAATGATGTCTATCAAATTTTCTGTGTGTCTTAACGTCAATCATACATCATCAGTGATTATTTGTTGAAATTTAGCAAACTGTTCATTAATTGTTATAAGTTTTGTTGGCAAGGACAGTACCCATTTTTGATGTCCATTATATAATTTTTTTGTCATTGAAATCCACCTGCTCATGAATGTGCATATAAAACAGACATTGGTTGCTGTAAATTTTAGGTATTTCAGTGAAAATTTCTTTGGGATTTTTAAAGAGTTTTACAGCAGCTTTAATGAAGCCTTTGATTTCACTCTAGTCTACTGATACTTTACCATTCATTTTTAATGCAGTGTATCGAATAGCCCTTGTTTTCCAGCTTCTCTCAATGAAACTATGTGATGAAAAGTGGTCACATGAATTGTTATAAATTCATTAAAAATTCAATAATGCGAAAAAGTCAAGCTTTATGTCATATGATATCTGTGTTGTTTGTCATACAGTTCAGGACATTATTTATTGAACAGCCCTCGTAAATAGATAAGATTAGGATAAAAATTATCCTTATTCGATTCCAAAATTTATTTTGTCGTCTTTTTAAAAATTTCAAGGCATTTGGTCAATTTTTGGCAGTTTCCTAAGCATTCGAAATGGGAAAGTGGTAAACACAACACACGAAAAATGGTGACGTTTGTTGACGTTACGGCGCACCGGAGAGCAGTTTGCTTTGATTTAGATGGTGTAATAACTCCGTAAGAAAATTTAAATGAATACAGAAGAAAAAAAAATCCCAAAAATTACCAGATCTTTAGTATAGAAATGAAATGGGAGTTTTCTTAGTAAAGTCTTTCTTGATCGAGTCCCGAGGTAGTACAAAACATACGGACAAACTGTTATTGTAATAGCAGAAGACGCTGTTACTGTTGACCGTCAATAAAAGATTGTCTATTAGTAGAATGATCGTGAGAGTATTGTCCGTATGTTACTAATAAATCCTCAGAAGATCGCACGTTTGTGCCAGATTGGTTCCTCAGTTGTTTGTGGAGACTAAAGTAGGTGCATCAACGAAATTCCGAAATTTGAGTGCGACTTATCCAACTATATTCTTATCGCAAAGATGAAACGTGATGCTGTAGTATCGTTTACAACCGTTATATATGCATGTAGTTTTACAGATGAAAACTATTGTTAACGAATTAATTGTTAACTATGGTTCACGATTTGTAGGCTATGGTTTACAGTCAATAAACCTAGTTTATCAACTGTGAAACTATGTTTAGCTCATTTTTGTTAATTTGACGTGCCATATACATGTATACATATGCATAGTTTTCGCGGAAAAGATGTGTCAAATACAGGAAATGTACGTGAAACAGTTGCCTCTTAGCTGACCCGATGTGCAAGGGCATGATATACGTACGAACAATTTTTATAAAAATAGGCAACCTGTTTACAAATACGTTCTCAACAGTTCCGTCTGAATTTAAAACCAACCTTTTGCAAATTCTACGGTTGTTATAATGACTGATAGCAAATACAATCTATTGTTATAAATGTACATTGTGTAAATCGAATGTTGACTGGCGTTTTTCATATACAATTAGTTTGTTACTTGTAGGCCATTGTATTACATTGAATTGTCTACGGGTTCCCATTTGCCCGATAATGACAAGGATTATACACCGGACGTGACTAGTTAACATGGGATGCTTATTCCTTCATGATACCCGATCCCATCTTAAATGTTTTGAGAGGTCCATGAACTCTACTCTGCTGTTCCGGTGACCGTTTGAGCTAGATTAATGCAAGTTAACGTTTTTATATTTCGTTGCAAAATATGGGCTTTAAAACCATGCTATTAATGGTATGGTGGCATATTTATGACATCCACATATATTAAATAACTTTTTGTTAACATAGCATGTCATGCCAAGTCAAGATAACTATCTCGTCGTGATAACTTTCTGCTTTTATTACCGGCCGCCAGGAGGCGGTCGGTTATTTAAGTCGCTGTGCGTTTCTGCGGAGTTAACAATTTAAATAAAAATATTCAACATTCATATCGGCGAATCAACATGATCAATATTATACAAAGATTGTCTAAATGTTTAGGAAAAAGCACAATAATCGTAATATTAAATTTTATAAATAATGGGGTAAATATTTCATCCAATCCTGATTGACAAACTCTGATATAACTGAAGTGCGGAGAAAATTAGTACGAGTGTTAGGCATAGTCTAAAACAAAGCCCCCGTTGTAAATCAACAATTTTACTTTCTCTTTTTAAAACAGGATCTGCTGTAATTTGAAATAGTGTATATTTGAACATTTCCTATGGATGTTTTTCAAAAAATATATTGATTTTGCAAAGAATATCATGTTAGTCCAGGAGACTAGGACAAGATTTTAATGTGCCAAACATTTTCCCGCCACATCTCAACACCAAAACAAAGAGATTGAAAGAGAAGCGTGGTGGATCTAGAAGGAGTTGGGGGGGGGGGGGGTTAACATCCTATAAGAGAGAGCGAGGAGCCCCACATAATATATATTTGTTGCGTTTTTATTAAGGTAAAACTATAGCTGAGTTTAAACTATAGTTTTGTACGTTTTATGTAAAAATATAAACAGCAAACTCACCAGATAGTTGTACCAAACTGAGTGCAGAGACGCAGAGGACTATGCACAGTTTATATTGCCTATACATGTAAAAAGCATTATGCATGAAGAAATTCGGCATCGCATGCATTTTTTTTTTCGTGTCACGAGGATATTTTAACAGATAAATATAAAAAATTAAAAAAAAAAAACAAAAAATTTCAGTTTCTGAAAGAATTTCAACAGATCTATTTGTTGCGATAGCTATCTTGACATGACGAGATAACTTATTTTGCATCATGAATAAAATAGCTATCGCAAAAATACGATTGCTTATCTTGACTGGACAAGATATAAAGTCGGCGTTTGTCGACAAACAAGAAAGTTGTCAGTATCATGACTTGACGAGATAATTATCTTGATTTGACATGATATGCTAGATGTTAAAAAAAGTTATGTGGATGGCATAAATATGCATCATTACATGCTGATTATTTCTATTCTTAATACTTCGACGTATTTACATACCTGTATACCAGTGAAAGAGGCACTGTATCAAAGTACATGTTCCAGGGGAACATGCACTGTCTATGCAAATCTCTTAACTCCAAGAAGTATGTTATATAAAACCATAACGCTACAGATCTGCAGCTACAAATAATGTGGAAAAGCGGAAATAAATACGTGTTGTGTAAATTTCTATAGTTTGCTATAAAAAAAACCCCACAGCATATAATGGATCATTGAGATGACAAATATACTAGTAATATATAAGACAACTTGGTACTGGTTAAAGTTTAAATCAAGTGCAATTGAAACACTTTAAATATGGTAACAATATTGTATACATGTATTAACTAGATTAGCATTAATTTATCTTTTTGATATCGCAATAATTTATTTCTCAGGTTAATTGCACTGATGTCTGAAACAACGCAGCAACTGTTGAGTACCGGATGAGAATTACAATATTTTTAAAAAAAAAACATTTAGAGGTATAGGGAAAACAAGTGCTTTATATTCTCATCCCCTTTCTTTTTCCAATGCATTTTTTATCTTTCAAACCCAACAAAATAGCGAAGGCTTGTATTTCAATTATTTTCCGTTTCTGTCCGCTTAAGAAAATTTCGAATTATTTTAGTCCTCGTTTTGGAAAACGAAAGTAATACCAAGTCACAGATTCACTGAATTCGTTTTGAAAACGATTCTTCAAACTGTTTATCATGATTTCATTTGAGAGGTATGTAGGTGCTTGAATAAACATGCTTTAGATGAAATTAAAGGAACATTTACATTATAATCATCAGTGTATGATAATTAACAATTTGGAAAACCCCTTTTCTATTTTAATCGTCGAATCTGATATTTTTTCTTCATGTAGGCTTCAAAACTGGAAAGAGTGGCGGTTATAATGTACAGCTAGCAAGAATTCTAGTTTTATTAGGACCAGTAGTTTAAGTGTGAATTTTTAACTGTCGACAATGGCGACGAAATGTGGTTTCTGTGGAGAAAATGCTGTCGTTTCAGAGGATGGATCGTCTGGGTCTATGCGAGTTTGTCAAGAATGTGGGTCTATTGCCCAGCAAAACTTCATTGTGGAAGATACACCATTCACAAGACAGTGCGACAACACATCTTCTCATGACTTTAAACAAAGTTTGTCTAGAAACACCCGAAATGCTCTCTCAGTAACAACACCTCAAGGACTTAAATCGGGCAAAAATCGAATCAGGATAATTGGACAGACTTTCAAGGTCGGCACCCCTGTGATTGATGAAGCATTAAATTTGTACGAAAAATTGTTTAAACACCAAGATGTTGTGAACAAGACCATAACTAACAAATTGCTTTTAGCAGCAGCATGCATGTACATTATGATGCGCCAGAATAATATTCCAGTGTCACTCAGATGGTTTTGCAAGGTTTCAGACATATCTGTGAATGAATTCTCAAGTAATTTTCTCCTTGTTCTAAAAGCCATGGAAATTCATCTTGTGCACCCAAGCATAGGATCTAGAATTGTCGATGTGTTGGCACCTGCAAAGTTAAGTTCAAAGATTGTCAATTTAACACGTGAAGTTATACAGCTATGTGAAAAAGTTTGGATTGTGAGTGGCCGCTCACATTCACCAATTATTGTCGCTGCTTCTCACATTGCTTGGTATTCTCTAAGTGAACATTTTGGAAGGAAATCATCACTTCGTGATTATTGTAGGGACTATGGATTCTCTTTTTCAGGTTCCATTGCAGATCGAAGCAAAGAAATTCATGATACCATCTTTGAACTTGGAAAAACTTTACCTTGGGTCACGGGACATTACAAGGATAAGAAAATATTCATTCGGAAATATCTTCCCGAGATAATTAAATACAGGGAAAGTTTACTCCATAAGCATAAGATAGAGGTGAAAGAAAAGAGTGTGGAAATGATAAATGTGAAGTCTGAAATAAATCCATTAGAAGTAGTTGAAGGAAAGGTGGAGGAAAAATCCAAGGAATCAAACATTGAAAATGGAGCAAAAAATAATCACACATCTTCAACTTCTTCTCTAAAAACAAGCAGTTGTGATTTTGAACTAAAAAATGTAGAAAATCTAGGAAGTGAAAGAAATCTACTATCTCCATTGCAAAAAGATGGAGAAAATGTTTCAACAGAATGGGATGATAAATGTACCAAAAATTCAAGCAATATTGCTGCAGTTCATGAAGTGGTTTATGAAAGTGATTCAATTCTGCGAAAAAATTTATTCATTCCTCCAATTTTGAAAAAGCCACGGAAGAGAAAATACTACGAAGCAAAGGAAGATTGTGAGGGACTTGATTCAGATGACGAACTAACAGAATTACAGGAAAAAGATGTGGATAAATATATTAGATCAGCTGATGAAATAAACATGATAAGACAGGTGAAGCAATTTAAACCTGTTCAGGAGGAAACTAAAGCTGAACTGAGTCCAACCGAGAAATAGATTTTTCTGTTGGTAATCATGTTTGGTATATAATTTTTAACAAAAATGTACACCTCAACTTCTTTTAAAGTGCTTATCCCTATTACAATGTATAAAAGGCGAGCTCTTCTTTCTGTAGCTATGACTTCATACATTTAAACATATCATTTTTGCAGTTATAATAAGGGCACTTTTACAAGTTATCTTTATTTATGTCAGAAATCCCATGTACATGGTGAATGTTATTTTTGTTAAGCATTAATTGTATGAGGTTCTGCAACAAGGTATTCATTTTTTCTTTTATAGACTAGTATGCTGGTTTCAGAGAATCATGGGTAAAAAGAAGATTGTAAATGAATGGATTTCAAAATCAAATTTTCTTATTAATACATGTACTTCTAATGATTTTCATTAAATTTTGCAAAATTACAAACTTAAACAAAACAAAATTATAAACTTTGTTTTACCATAATATATCATTTACTTTAATACTCCATTACTCTGATGGCCCTTTCCACAAGAAATCTGACTAAGATAAAAAAAATTGACATCTCTCTAATTTGCTTCTTAATAAATATGTTTTCTTTTATCTCAAAATATTTTTACAAAGTAACAGTGTTTTAGAAATACAGGATATTTTGATGACGTACTACAGCTTAGACATTGTTGAGGAATAGGAATTTTTTTGGTCTTAGTCATAAGATTCTTTGTGAAAAGGACCACAGTTTCAGGACCTAAAAACATTGGCTTAAAATGACAATACAAAATCATTTTCATTATTCATTTATTTATTGCAGTAATCATGGAAATAATTCAATAACAATTCATATTTATAAATGCAACTACAATAATTTTGATGATTTGTCAAAAAATCTCTTTCTGAATTAATAAAGAACTTTCTTCTATTGTCAGACTTTGTGTGGCAGCTATCATCTCATTACAACTGAAAAAAAAAGATAAAATTAATATTTAACAAGTTGTAATTTGGTTAAATCTTAAAAAGGATGTTATACACAGTTAGTGGAAACTCTCAAATACATTTAATTCCTTTAATAGTTTACATCAGTGAGAGCATTAAATCTACATTTCGAAAAAAAAATTAATAAAATAAATGGAAAATTTGACACCTATTGAGATAATAAACCTTTGGAATATAAGCAAGAGGTGCCTAAAATGTTATAATTATTTAATAAATTTCAAATGTATTGGAAAGAAAACTTCAAAAATATTTTTTTTTAAATAGTTTTTAGATTAAAATAAAATTGTTGACAAACATTTACCAGAAGTTATTGGCTTTTAATTTTTAATCATGTTAATTTTACAACTTAGATTTTTTACTGGAAATTTTCAACATGAAAGAATTTCCGTTTCTCAAACAAGCACAAGATATAAGGTCTATATCATAACAAATAAACATTTATTGCTATACCTTTTTAACTGCTGACACTGTTGGTTGGTGTGTTTTTCTAAAGAGGCTAAATGCTTGGCAACAGTAGCGGTGGCACTCTGAAATGGCTGCCCAGTGGTTGCCGATAAGTTTCCAAGTAGGTACTCACTTTCTTGCAAAGTCTGCTCCAATTGACCTGTAGAATTATAAATTAAAAAAGATTGTTAAGAATCCATGGATTTATCTTGTGTTGGCATGGGAACACAAATGAAAATCATCTGCACTTATTTAAACCTCTTGAGAAGTTAACATGCCTGAAATATTTTTTTTAAACATTTTATGTACATGAACATTACTTTGTCAAAAGTAATCAAAATTATGCACTCTAGTTTTCCTGAGCACAGATAAATAACAAGTAAACAATACTGTTATTGTAACATAATCTTACTGTAAAACATTTCCTCATCCTGTGGAATGTAGATGCCTTTGGTAGGTATCTGATGTCGAGTTGTGTCTAATGCCTGGGCTAAGGTCTCATACTGCCTCGTCATCTTAGGGAGATGGCTGACAACTGGTTCTAGACAATCTCTCTGTTAATACGACCATTGTTAAAATTATTATGTGATATAAAAACAGTGCCTAAGTTTTACAATTCACAAACTATTTCCAGCCAGCTTAAATAAATAATATTGCTTAAGAGAAATATCACAATTTTCTAGGGCAAAATTTGTTGCATGTCTTCATGTATAAATTGCTGCTTAATACTGTGACAACTGTTAGGGTCAGATGCAAGTTTTTACAGTATATAAAAAGTACGTAAGGGTTGCCCGCAACCCTGTGTCTCGCCTGCTGTCGCTGTGGTTAGTAAGAAATGATTGTCTGATAAACTGAAGCATTTATTGACATTTCAGAAGGAATAACTCAAAAATACAATAATAAAGAAATGGAACAGCTGACTTAATATCTAATCCCTTGGCGATTATATTGGCATTTATATATATATACATATACCCTGTAAATTCACAAATTATTGTGATGTTTTTATTATTGCGAATATTGCAACGTGTTATGAGTCGCAATAATTTGAACTTGCATTTTGAAATCAAATCCACTGTATATGTATCAAGTCATTCATGCAGAAAATGTAGGTGAAGATTACCTAATTATGGTACTGATATTGTTGGTTACCCATGATGTGTAGACTGACAAATTATCATGCCACTATAAGTTATAGTTGCTGAGATATGGACCTCCACCATAAATTTATGCAAAGTCACTCATGCGGAAAAATGTAGGTCAAGATGACCTAATTCTGGTACAGGCGTTTGTGGTTACCCATGATGTATCCACTGACAAATTATCATGCCACTATAAGTTATAGTTGCTGAGATATGGACCTCCACCATAAATTTATGCAAAGTCACTCATGTGTTAAAAATGTAGGTCAAGATGACCTAATTCTGGTACAGGCGTTTGTGGTTACCCATGATGTATCCACTGACTAACTATCATGCCACTATAAGTTATAGTTGCTGAAATATGAACCTCCATTATCAATTTAACCAAAGTCATTCATGCAGAAAAATGTAGGTCAAAATGACCTAATTCTGGTACTGATGTTGTTGGTTACTTATAACCTGTACAATGACAAATCATCATGCCATTATAAGTTATAGATGCTGAGATATGGACCTCCACCAAAAATTTAACCAAAGTCACTCATGCAGAAAAATGTAGGTCTTTTGTCACCACCTAAAAATATAAAACCAGATGACCTAATTCTGGTACTGACGTTTGTGGTTACCCATGATGTATCCACTGACTAATTATCATATCCCTATAACTTATAGTTGCTGTAATATAGGTCTTCACCATAAATTATCATGAAAAAACTAATCCAACTTAAGGAAAAAATACGGAAAAATTTGAATTTTTTTTTTCAAAATCATACTTGGGATATAAATTTTTATCCATACTGAATATTGTGTCCAAATTTCAAGAAGACTGAATAAAATTTGAGAAAGTTATTGCAGTTTATAAAACTTTGACATTTGGGTTAACCAAAAGTTGGACGCCGACGACGACGACGACGACGACGGAATCTATGGTCGCTATGTCTCGCTTCGCGACATTCGTCGCAGGCGAGACAAAAACCCTTCTTATTTTCAATTTATTCAAAACAACAGTATGTTCAGTATTTTATGCCAGACTTCTGCGACTTACTGAAGAAGTACTCTTCTATATATGGGATTATTTATGCTATATACATGAGTATTGAATTACAATTTTCTATTGAAATTTGTCAAAGCGTATTCGAGAACAAAATTAAGAATTCTAATGACAATCTTAAGAAATGCACATAATTCTTGACTCTCCGATTAAACAGAAATTGTGAATCCACATAATAAGGTAACACAGAAAAAAGTGTATTTATAGTATTAGTACCTGAATATCCAGTTGTTCATCTAATTCATTTAGGTGCTTTAATCTGGTTAATTCTTTGTCTTTTTCGTGTTTCTGTTTTCTAAGCCTTTGTACTTCTTCTTGTAGCCATAACATCTGAGACTGCATGTGTAGAGAAAAAATGATTCAGTTCAATTCAATAAAGCTGAAACCAACTACATGTCCTTGAAGATTTAGCAGCTGAAAAAGTCCCATACATTTACAAGGGATTTCTTTTTTTCAAATTTCATTCAAAAAGGCCTGGTGTACACTCATACCATTGCTTTTCTTTCCTGTTCTTCTTTGATTCTCTTTGCTTTGCTGTCGAGATATTCCCACTGCACAAGCCTACCGTACAACAAGTCCAGGTCTTGTTGTGTTATAGTTGATTTATGCTGAAAGTAATAATTTTCTTGCATGTAAAATTCATATCCAAGAATATTTTCATCTGTAATTCTTCCAATATGACTCAGTTTCCTTCTCTAAAGGTATGACTGTTGCCTAAAAGCGAGACTAATTCACCCTCATGAAAGGAAGTAAACTTTAAGATATCATCTCATTAACATATAACTGAACTAATTTAAAGCTGACAAGTGAAAATTCCACTATGAACTATCAAATTAAATTATTAACTGATGCAAAATATGTCAGGGAATATCAAAGAATATCAACTTTCCTCCTCTTAAATATCATTGTTTTAACGGTAGATACATGTATCTACAAACCTTAACTACATTGTCTTTAGAATGAGAATCTGTATTTACATGTAGTTTGGATGTGTCACCACCTAAAAAATATATGATAAATCATTTTATCTCAGTTTTGCTAAATTACAAAAACATGTGAGAGTGCTTTACATGTAGACATAAATACATGAACAGTATTTACTTAACACTTTCCCATTACAATACATGTTTCATAACACAATTAACTTAGCAAATCTCTAAATGGAAAATTTAATTTTACCTTCGACCTCTACACAAACAGAAGTTACATGATATTTAAAATATATGATGCTAATAATAGCAACTGTACCTGTAGATATTGCTGAGATGTCTGTTTGTAATGTAGAGAAGAATGATACATCTGAGGTAGGAGTGGATGTCTTCCCTGTTTTTGTGGGCTGTGTGTTGTCAGGGGTACCAGGATTTTTCTGGGATTCTGCACGCTTTCTCTCTTTCGTAGTTTTCTTCCCTCTGGGGTTTGTTTGGATGTCGAGACTTCGACTTGCCTTGCTTTTGTCTGCCTTTGAAGACTGTATGAAAATACACATGGTTAAGGATGTCTGCTTCAGAAATGATAACTCTTTCAAAAAATTATAATTTTTTAATTAAAAACTTAGATGAGGATCAGACTATCTACTTTTTTCCCCAATCATATAAAGAGCAATGGGTAGCCATCTAGTAATCATTTGTCTGTCTCTCTGTCTATGTAACTAACTCTTTGGACCCTACCTGTCCAACCATCTGTCCAGAAAATGCATATAAAGAGAAAAACCCCTTCATTTCTTTTCCTTACCTCATCTGTCAAAACTTGACATATGTAAGACCTTAACAGTGAACATAGAAGTGTCACTTACTTTATCCATTAGTACAGATACTGAGCCTTTAGCCTGTGCTGCTTGCATGTATCTGGAAGGCACCACCTTGACTAAAACAAAGAAAACGTTTTCTTACATACGTTTTAAATTAGATGCAATTTCTCTTCATGAACAACATGTTGTTTTTTTTTCAATTGGGAATAAGGCTAAATTCAGATTGCAGTAGCTGAAATTAGAAAAATAATTTATCCATTTTAGAGTTTATTTTTCCTGCATGTTTGAATTTGAAAAATAATTGTAATGTAAATATACACTGTAAATGCACATGCACATGAATATGTAATGTGAATATACGCCATTTTAAAGTTCAATAGAATAATGTGCTTTTAAATGTTGTAAATCATATGCATGGGTAAAAAGTGTCTGGAGAATGCAGTTATACCTTCAAAGCTCTCATAACTAAAGTACTTTTCCTCATAAATATCATGGTTTCTATTACTAATTAACTGTTTACATCATTTTATGACCATTTTCACTAATTAATTGAATTGTCTTCAGAGAAGAGTCACTATCATACTTTTCTTCTTTGCTGACCCTGGTACTTTAGCTGTCTCCTTTGCTGTATTGATTTCTGCACCAACTGGTCTGAAAAAAAGGTTGTCTATGTATTTTATATCTACAGTGCATTTTATTTAAAAATGTATTTTACTGATGTATTTTCAAAACTGAAGACAAATTGTTATTCAAATATCAGCAGAGCTTACCTTTTACTGGGCAATAAAATACCGGTAATTATTTACATGAAATATATGCACATAAAATTAACATCAACATGTACCCTAGTTTACCTATCACTGAGCAATAAAAGATTTAAGTACATGAAATATATGCACATGAAATTAACAGCAACATAATCTGTAAATGCATATGAAACAAGTTCTTAGACTTATTGACTGAACCCCCCTCCCCCCTCCCTGCATATTTACCCCCTACCAATATGTACCCCCTAGACTAGGACTTGAAGGGAAGAGGAAGCTTAAATAATATTACATTTAAAATTTCCCTCACTTTTTGTTTTTGTTTGTAGGTTTTGTAACAAAATCTGAGATTGAACAGACATCACTCTCACTGATGAGGGACATGACATCAGACCTCTCCCCCGGGGGCTGCTGTAGGTTATCTGAATCCCCCGAATCGTCAAAATTTGGCTGAGGCAATCCCATTAACCTCTCCATCTGAGTCAGAACTGGTAACTCTCCTAGAACTTCATCTGCACTTTTTGGTAGACCTGAAACGTTATTTCGACAGTGTAACCACATAAACTCCATAAACTACATGAACTACTGTAGACGTACTTTTTTCCACGGGGACATAATTCCGCGGAATCTCAATTTCTGTTTAATCCGTGTGTAGAATATTACGCGGATTTCTCAGACTGTCACTATATGCCTTACATTTATATCAAGAACGCGTGGACAAATTTCCGCGGAAAATATGTGACCGCGTACATAGCGTAAATTAATACCACACGGAAAAAAGTACTTCTACAGTATTCAAATGTTTAATGATTGTTCAATGTTCAAAGTAAATCCATCACATGATCAGCATGTACCAAATTTGATAAATATCTGCATTTTCATTTACAAAAACAAACCTGTCAGTTTTTCTTTCAGAACAGAGGATGACTTGTTGTTTGAAGGCTTGGAGGCCATTGGTGATGAAACCTGAACTACAGGGACATTAGAAACAGTTACTCTGCTTGGTTCACCTCTTCTGGCAGAATTCCTTTTCAAAAATAAATTCATTACATATAAATTTGAAAATAAATGCACTTTGTGCTGAAAATAACAAAACTAATAAATGTATGAAATATATAATGATCACGATAATTTACGAAAAAAGGGAAATAAAGCCTGAATTTCAAACACAATCATAATTCATGAATGTAAATAGATTGTGGACAGAATAATTACATCAAGTGATAGCAAATGAAAACAAGGCAATTTCAATATGTCTATAATACTCTGATAGTTATACAAGGTGATTTCAATATGTTCATGATACTCTCATGGTGACACAAAAAATACAGGTACTTGCTCATGAATATGCAGTTAAGCTAAACAAATTTTAAAAACATTCACCAAAACAGAAAAAAAAGATTTCTTTAGTTGAACAAAATAACAATAATTCTGATACCTGAGCTGCCGCTTCGCCGCTGCTGCTGAATGACAGACAACCCGAGCGGGGGATTTCTCGTAGCCAACCACACCCACTTCTACCTGATCCGGGTCAATCAGCTGACAGGAAGCGTCCAGAACCATGACATCATTTGGTTTACACTTCTGCTGTCCCAACTCTTCTAACTAAGAGTTTTAAAAGAAACAGGACATCAAAAAGGTGTCTTCTCTTTAAACATACTCTACTCATTCAGAATGGCAAAAACTATTAGTTCATATTCCAAGAACAAATGTTGTAAATCAAATTTCATCAGAATAAACACAATTTAAATTTCAAGTCAAAATGATGTACATGTATGTTTTTGCATTTATACAAATACATTTTAGTTTTTGACACAAATTATACTAATTTATATAATGATGCATTTACATACTGTAGATCTACAATTTTCCACAGGGTCATAATTCCACGGAATCTCGATTTGTCTTGAATCCGCGGGTAGAAAATTACGCGGATTTCTTAGACTCTCACTTTATTCCTTGCAAGTATTCTGAGTACGATGGGACAAATTACTGCGGACAATTTCTGACCGCGTACATAGCGCAAATTAATACCACGCATAAAAAATACTTCTACAGTATACAATAAAATAAACAAGCTTAAAGACCCAATTTTTTTACCGTACGGTTACCTGAAGAGAGGGAGTGGTCAAAGTAACAGTGGTGTTATTTACCTGGAGACCCCCAACACCCAACATGTCAAAAATTTGTGTAGACGTAACATTACACAGGAAGTCTGTGTTTGGTAATCAGGGTCAACATTACGTGTTTTGTGTCTGGTTTTGAGGGAAACTACGTAAAATAATTATTTTAATATGAAATTTATTTGTAAACTAAACGCATTCATCGTAATCATTGTAATGTTTTGAAGGAAAAAATAATAAGATACATGTATATCGTTTTAGAAAATGTTTTCCTTACATAAAAGAAAAAAATCACGAGTAAAAACTACAAATCAATAATATTTATCTTTTTTTAATCTTCAATGAAAGAAATCACTTGATTAAAAAAGTCTGAATATTGAAATAGAAAAATTATTAATCCACCTATTCGTCGTGCATGTGAACATGCATTTACCGCGATCGGAATGTGTTTTTTTTTTATGGCTAACAATGTTGTCCAAAATATTCCATATTTTTGATTCTTCGTGTGTTAACAAAATTTTATTCTTAGAAAGATTTCTTTTTAGAATTGATCACTTTCAATTCACATTTTCATTACGTATATATACAGACGCTAGAGGAAATTCGAGCATTAATTCTGACATCAATTTCTGTACATGCGGATTGTAGCCAGTACAAAATAAAAGATCTTTTAAAATCTATGCTATGCCATTTATTAGTGCTGAATATTTTTCTTATATCCCATTTCTTAAAAAATAATTTAAATCGTCGGACTTCCAATTACGACAAATAGAGCCGGTTTCTGTGGACGCGGTCTTTTTTCTATAGATAAAGGCGGACGATATAACACTTACAAGTAACAAAGAGCAGTGAAGATAGAAAAGAAATATTTTATTATGTCAATGTTTTAATAATCTACTTTCAATTATTTTTTGAAATAAAATTCAAACATATTGGAGTTTTCTAATCCGCGTGTATACTATGCGGGTACATGAAGGCGTTTGACGTGTGACCAGGTAATTGTTTTCAAAACATGCAAACTCAGATTATCAAGAAGCACAGGTAAGCTGACCTGTCAATCAAATCAGAAGCTATTGTTTTTTTAATGATTGACAGGCGGTAAATAATTGATCTTGAATCAGGTAGATTTTGGGGGCGTTAACATAAAATTGGGTGTTTAAATTGTCACAAACTGGCAAATTGTGAACTTTAACATCTATCTTACAAAACATAACTAAAAAAGGCTAACAATACAGTGTACCTGAGACTTTAAGACATTTTCCTCCTCACTGTCAGATAAATCTAAATAATCTGTCTTCTGAACTCTCGCAGGAGAATTCTGTTCTGTGGTGTGTGGTGCTGTCCTGTGGAGAAAAGGGTACATATAATCTCAATGTATGAAATCCAGGTCATTCTCTTCGAACAGTCCTGGCATATTTTCAGTTAGACAATATAGACTAACCTTGATTTTGACATAATTTTAATTACAAATTTATTTATTAAAAAACAAGATATTGATTTCCTTTAATGCTTATATGTACTTGTATGAAGTTCCTATATACAGCAGAACACAACTGCAGATATGCACATATTAAATGAAAACGTGCACAGCAGTGACTTGCATTTCCTGTAGTTTTATAGGGATGGGTATCGCCAAAAATTTCGTATCGCGATATATCACGATTTTTTCCCACAATATCACAATAATATCATGATATTTTTAAAGCAGTTTTTACAATGATTTTATTTGAAAAGTCATTATTTTTCTAAAAAATATGCTAGAAAAACAAAATTTTACTTTCTTGAAAATTTTATGTATATAAAATCAAAAGATGCCGTTCTTTTCACTTTTTACAACATTTTTAATACTTTCTGTAATTGTAATTAGAAAGATTGAACAAATAAATGAATAACTTCTGGACTTTATAATATGAACAACAAAAAATCATGATATACCGGTATACAGATAAAATCGCACATCCTTATAATTTATAACATATTTTGAACTTATCAGATATAATGGATGATCTTTACAATCACTGTTAATGTTATATGAGTGTTTTACCATATAGTCATGATATTGATATAAAAGTTAAATTTACAATTACACACAGTAATAATTTACATACATACATTTACATACATCTTAAAACAATATTACAGTCGTTGAGCTTTATATATTCCTGGATTTATTCATCTTTGACATCAAAGCTTTCAGAATATGAGTTACATGTACATAGGTAGCACATCTAAGTCCATTTTCTGAAAATGCACTTTAATATCATAAGCCAATAAACAAATCTTTTTAAACATACTTTCTAGGTGTAATGCTGGCAGAGGGTTCAATACCCTCATTGTCTTTTATCCACCCTGCAGATGGAACAGCGCTGTGGCTTTCAGGGAATGGAACCGTTTTGTCACTCTCTTTTGTGTGAGCATCTAAAAATGTAAAAGAAAAAAGTTACCATTAATTTTTTTCACTTATTTAGTACATGTACGTATAACCATGATAATAGAGTCATTATTTGTTCTATAAACTTTTCCTTTTTAATTCTTCAGAATCATTTCCTTTTTGGAGTGGAGTGCTCTGATTTGCTAAAGTGAAACTAGTATGGATATATGTATTCTGTTTATTCTGCTGCATAGCAAATACACAGAACGAATTCTATTGTTAAACTAGGTCCAAAGGACAATATCAATTTAACCATAGAACATTCTATCTTGGGCAGGAATTTTTAAGGGGATTTCACACTGTTAACTTTTATTTATCTTTTACATGTACCTATTCCATGAGCTAGAACTCCTCGTTGTTTGCCAGATGTTCCCCCAGCGTCACTGATCAATCGCCCTTGTGCAAGAGTTTTTCTGCAAAAAAAAAAAAAAACATAATTAATATGTTTTTAAAAATTGGTTCCAAGACCAATGGCAAAAAATAGGAATTAAAAGGAAAATCGTGAAATTTTTTAATATGTATTTAAATAGCTAAATTAAGCTATGGTATGTAGTTCTAGCTACTTACCTAAATAAGTAAATGTACCAAGTCTGGTACAATCACTAGATTTAGCTACGTAGCTTAATTTACCTATTTAGCTTTATTTACCTACCTGAGGTAGTTATATTTAGCTACCAAATCAATTTGTTTATATAGAAAAGCATTTTTCTCAGGATGTGCAGAAAATCTCATTTTGATGCAGTGATCATTTTCAACTTTGAACTCATCTGAAAACAATTCATGTAAAAACCACTTGAAGAATTGTTTTTTTTTCTGTGCAATTGCAATCAAAGTTCTGAAAGTTTTGGGACTATGTATTCCTAACCCAAAAATTAATAAATATGAAATGACAAATATTCCTTTGCTGTTCTGTTTAAGTGCATGCTGATAATCCCTTTGTTTCAGCACAATGAAGGAAATCACTTCACGCTTGAACGCACCAAATAGAGAGCACACAGCCAAACAATGGAATTACATGATTGCCTCAGGCTGTCAGGGTAGCAAGTATAACTATGAGAAACTGCATTTGATTGCATTTTTTGCAAAATTAGCCCAAGACCAAAGATAAATTACTTGTAAATTATCACTTTAAGAATCAGGATTTTTTTTTTTTTAATAAAAAGAATAAAAAATTGTTGAACTTGAAAAAAAAAAGATAAATACTTACAGTGTAAAAAACTGAATGTAATGGATAAAAAGGCTTAAAAACAACAAACTAAGTTTAGTTTCTACTGGACCTGTGAACTGAGATTACTGACACAGCTGACATGCAAAGTTTTAAACTTGAACAATCTTAGAAAGCCAGTTTTTTTTCATATTGAACATTTAAACAAGCAAATAAATTATTAAAACACTATATTTACCTTTTGTCCTGTTGGTAGAATATTGCTTCCAAGTAAAGCACTGGATTTACTACTTGTAAAGTGAACGTTTGTACATTCCGCTGAAAAAAAGGATTCTGTTTTATGTTTCATTGACTGAAGTTGAGTACACAAATAAGACTTACACAACAGTTCCAAATTCAAATCATACGCGCGCAACTTTATCATTTTTGCAGATGTTTCAGCTAGATTAATATAAGTTTAATCTATAAATCAAACACATAAAAGTTTGCTTTAAGTGAATATTTTTTATATATCTTTTTGTTTCAATAATTGTCATGTCAGCCCAGGTGTGCTAATTGTGTTAGTTTTTGAAAAAAAAATTAAATAAATGAATTTAAAAATATATTAAAAAAATCTTTAAATTACTAGATAAATAAAATTTCAATACAAGTATTGTGTTAAACATGTTGAAATATTAAAAATTAATAAATGTTTAATATTTTTAATAACATTAAACGGCAGAGTAAAATAATTTCCCGCGGAAAAAAAATGCCCTTTTGATTTTGAAACCATGTCCCCCAATTTAATATTATTAGTGTAAACTATAAGTAGCTAAATAAAGCTATGGTATTTAGTTCTAGCCTTAGTAATTTTTAAAACCTGAACACATCTGCACACGCACTAATTTATGCATTATTAATTTATAGACCATGTGAAACCTAATTTTTACTTAAATAGGTTTATCCATCTGCACATGCAAAGCTTTAAACTTGAACATATCTGATAGAATGCTACTCACATCTTTTTTTTCATATTGAACATTTAAACAAGCAAATAAATTATTAAAACACTATATTATACCTTTTCGTTTTCTGTCCACCGTTGCTTTGCACTGGATTTACTTTGTAAAGTGAACGTTTGTACATCCCGCTGTTTGGTCTTGTTTTGGTTTACGACCGGAAGTTGAATTTAAGGCCTTGAAGGTCTTACACAACTCGTTCCAAATTCAACTCGTACGCGCGTTACTGATATTTTACTATGGCGATTGAGGTGTAGAGTTTAATGTAAGTTTATTCTATAGATCCAACACATAATAAGTTATGCTTTCACAAGTGAATATTGTTGGCTGATTATATCACATATGATGTCACGCGTCAACGTTTAAATAAATGAATTTGAAAATAAATTAAAAAATAAAAATAAAATTAAGTAGATAAATAAAAACAACACAAGTCTTGTGATCTACGAGGCCAGGGAAATGAACAATGATTACAAAATTATCTATACTTTTTTAGAAAATAATATCATGTGCGACAGAGTAAACTATGGTTTCCCGCGAAAAAAAGATTACAAAATTATCAATAAGTTTTTTAGAAAATTAATATTATTAGTGTAAATGTATGGTGGGGGGGAGGGAACACTTTCAATGAACATTCCTCAAAGTCCAGTAATTTTTAAAAAAAACGAAGCCAGGCCTAATTTAAATTAATATTATTAGTGTACTATTTTTTCTGTAAATTGCTACACATAGGTTTATCCTTGTAACAGTGCCTTTGTACTGCATTAAAAAAAAAATCAAGAGTAAAAACATTTTAATCACGCAAATAATGGAAAAACTTTTTTTCTTGCAAAATTGTTTTATAAATTTTAATAAAAAGAATGTTTATAAACTTTTTAAAAAAGATATTTAACTTTTCCAGAGAAAATATAGGTCTTGCTGTGGCTGACGACGTTTGATCAATGCTCATTTTTGTTCCTTCATTGATTCGATACTAGTATACACCTTTGAACTCGAAATAAAAGGGACCACAAAGTCTGACTTTTTTTTCATATTTGGAATTTTACTATAAAACTATCTGTGCTTTGTTTTTGTTCAAAACCTGCATATTAATAAAATGAAACATGAATTTAATTGAACTGCTATTCCATAGACAATAACACCTTTTTTCAGGACTTTTCCTTCGCCAAGCGCTTGGCATCAGATTTTAAAATTCGGGGTATGTAACACGCCATCACTGCCTTTTTTTTTTTAACTAAAAAGTTCATTCGTCAATTTCATCAATTGCAAATAATGAACAAACTTTAGGGTTACGTCCATTTTTTATGTGTGTGTTAAAATATATCTTAAGGGGGGGTCAAGCTGCATTACATAATTAAATACTCTCTTACCTGTGTCAGGCTGCTTGATTGAACAAAAAGTCATTATGTAATCTTGATAATGTGTTTACATTTCCTCTCTATTGTGACTTTATATTCAGTGTGTGGCAATGTTTCATCGCAATCTTTTCAATGACGTTAATATTTAGGTACAAAAAATCATTTCCTATAGATCTATTGCGTTTGGATATTAAAATCATCGCATAAAGTTCAAAAGCCCATTCCTTTTTGAGTGTATACTCGCATTATATCAAAGTATTATTAATGATATGAAGATTCTATCTTTATTCAACCACGGCATCATGAATGGGAGGTGAACACATCTTACCTTTATGTCCGTGCTTTATTACGTGGTTAAAATGTGGATATTATTCAACTAACAGACTAGAACATCAGTCATCTTCGCTCTTTCTCGATCGAAAATCAAATGCTCGTGATGTGGATATATTATAACGTTATGCCATACCACATTCTTATGTGATATATATTATCTTTATATTGTGTTATTTCAATTGCACGATCATGTGGATTCCAAATTCACAAACCTGATGCAAAAATACATTTACATTATCTCAAAGCTGTATATCGGTTGTATATAATAAATTTTACGACGTGTTTTAATACTAGTTAACAAGGGGGGGTAAATCTATATATTACATTGTATATGGACAAATTACAGCCAATAATGAGATAAACCTAGTTTCACATTTGACATAACTAGGTTTTCTATAGAAAATGTAATGTTAGTTTACAAACCGTAAACTATACCCCCACTTCTTGTTGAAATATAGTTCCACTAAGGTTAATATAATTATCATGTAAAAATATATTTAATGGTTGTTAACATAGTTTTCGGGCTTGATACATTTTTTTTCTTGGCTTGTAATAGTTTTTTCGGAACAATGATTTTTTTTATGGCTGACCTCCTCTTTCAAAAAAATGATACAACGTAAACTGGAGTTAGTAATTTTTTTTCATAGTTTCACAAATCGTGAAATTATATTTACAAAAATCGTTAACCATAGTTAATCAATGTAAATATAGTTTACAATGTGGCACTGTATTATGGCAGATATCTATGTTTTGCAATCGCAAATGATTGTTTTCGGTGTTAAGTATAGTTTACGGTTGTGAAATATAGATTATCGCGTTAACTATGGTTTACAGATGTAAAATATAGAAAAACGTTGTTAACTATAGTTTACAGTCCGTAAACTTAGTTGAAACCGATAAACCTAAAAACTTTAAGACTGTTATATATATATATATATATTTTGTGAATTTGAAATGCCATAGAAAAAAACTATAGTGAACGCGATAATATATGTTTACCGTAAACTATACTTAAACTGAAAACAATCATTTGCGATTGCAAAACATAGATTATTCATAAATACAGTTTCACGATTTGTAAACTATGTTTACAAACCGTTAACTATAGTTAACGATCTGATAAATATAGTTTAAAGATGTTGTGAAACTATGATTAACAACTCTTAATTATAGTTTTCGATCTGTAAATTTTAGTTTACAAACGTGAATCTATGTTTATCATATAAAATCTATTGTTAACGCTTATTACAGACAGATAAACGTAATAGTGATTCGTAAATAATAGTTAACAACCGTTAAATATAGTTTTACAGATGAAAACTATACTTAACAAATCGTTAACTATAGTTTACGGTATGTAAACTATAGTTTACAGTCGATAAACCTAGTTTATCATTTGTGAAACTAGGTTTATCTCATTTTTGTGAATTTGGCGTGCCATACGCATGTTTATCATAATTATATTTTTCGTTGTACGATCGCATATAGAGTCGATGCCGATCGCCAAAACGTTTGCCATGTGTTCACTTCAAACCGTTATTTTGACGCATTCTGTTTGATGAAGGACTTCAAATCCGAACACATTTATGATTTACCCATTTAGAATTGCAAATGTGCCTTTTGGACTGTCGGGTATACGCAGTAAGGTAAGAAATACCACATAAAGGAGCTTCACGTGTAATGTTTGGGCAATCACATTCAAGGAAAACTTAACTTTGAAAAGTAAACATAACGAAATGCAAGTTGACGAAATAAAATTGTTATGTGTAATATGTCATAAAGATTTATATAATTTCACACAAAAATTAATTAAAAATCTTAGTGTCAGTTAATGTTATAAAACTTGACATAATTTTTTGGAAGGTTGGCACAATGCAATAGTAGGGTGGGTTAATGTCATAAATTTTAACATAATGTAATGGAAGGTTGACACAATGCAACTAGTGTTGTGTATTAGGCATGAGAAATATCAAAACTTTTATCCTTAAAAATAATTTTATGTCACGGTAGAAATGGATACAAAGCAAAATTCATTCACAATGCCCGTCATGCCGATTTAAGGGTTGCGTAACTTTGAAGTTTCACCGAGCATACGTGTTATGTACACGGTTTTTGTAAAAAGGAACGACGTTAAACAATATATAATCATATTTATTAATCGTTGTACGGGTGCGTATCAGTCGTCACAGTGCCATTTGACAACTGCATGTGACTACCAACCGTTATATTTGTGAGTTTGTTTTGTTTTCAAACAAATCGGAACACATTTATGAATTTTCTGCATTATAGTATTAATATTTTTCATTTATACACAAAAAATTTTATTAAGGAAAAAGATATAATAAAATTAATTGTGTTAAAGTACAAGGATGTGTATATCGTTTTTTTTAAAAATTTTTGAAATTTTAATATCTTTTATATGAAATGAGATTTTTACTTAATTTTTGTGTGAAATGCTATTAAAATATATAAATACGTAATATTAAAGGAGACGTGTAATGTTTGGGCAATCACGTTCAAGGAAAACTTAACTTTAACAAAAGATATGGTGATTTTTAATGCGTAAAGGACTTTCATGGTGTTAAACATGTCTAGCTGCACCTCAAAAGTCAGAAATGATGAAGGAAAATCGCGAAGAAATACGACAAAATACTGTTTTATTGAACCCCATCTTCCTCATGCTGTTCAATTTAACGATCGGCGTTGCCGATCGAGCGTTGACAGGGGTGCTTATTTATATGTAAAAATTTTCGAAGTACCATTGTTACCTGCTTATAGAGTTTTTGTCTCCATTTTGACTCGATACGCAAAGAACGATAAAGTAAAATTCTAAGATGATAACAAGCTTTTGACAAATTAGTCGATACATGTAACTTGTGTAATACATGCATAGATATTGACAAACGCAGTAATAGAATTTTGCAAATTCCATGGTCGCGATACTATGACCTTGTAAGCAAAATCATTTAAACTGTCGTTATATTTTTTAACTAAGTCGAATCGTATTATTTTTGCAAGCAACTAATTTTTTATGTATTTTTTGCAAGTTCCTTAGAAATACATTGAAAAAAAATCCCATTTTTCTATTTATTGGATGACTTTTGTATTGACTACAAGAGCATTTTACATTCTGAAAAATCAGCATGGTCTAAAGACATACGACATGAAGCGTTTAAATCGTGATTTGACGCAGAATATACACAGGTTACGTGTATGCGTAAAGTTAATTATGTCAATAGATCTTCAAACAACTTGACTTTTTCAGAATCCAACATCCACTCATCGTAGTACAGACCTTTTATTGTCTTCAAGAACTTTGGAAAATTCAATCGTGCTTGGCGCAAAGTCTGCGGATCTTTGAATGAAAAGAGGTTATACGTCTCTTCCTCGAATGAACTCCAAGGGAACATCAGTTCAATGTAAGGATTTCCGCAAAAGAAATGTGGTAGGAATTCTGCATTAAGACTAAGTTGAAGATATCTAATGAAGTATCCTAATGCCTCTTTCACTCCACTAAGTTGTTTTTCTTTGCTAGGTATTGTCAAGAATAGGATGCAATATAGGCAAATATTTTTAAGGTGGTAGGATTTTACTACACTGTCTATCTGAGATTCACCAAGTGAATTGCGATTGAAATTGCGCAAAGCACCCTTCAGTAGCCTACAGGCGGTCAAAATGTACCGCTGACTTAGGTTTCTGCGAGCTACGTCTAAAATATGCTTTTCATATCCACAAGTTGAATTTCGCCATAGAATATATCTGTTGTTTGATGAAATGAACTGGTTACTCTCACTGACCCATTTCATGATTCCGTATCTTTCACATGCCATCTGTCTATCATTATAGGATGTAGGGTGGTAATGGTAGCACTGATGAAAATCATGAACCGTGTATGGATCTGGTACTGTATCAGACGACAAGCAAAGGGCGGGAACCAGGTCAGCTTCTAAGACTATAACATTTACACCCTCAAATGATTCAAGTTGCATTTTAGCAAGTCTTTTCAATCCACTTCGGCTGTTCACCCGTATAGTAATTTTTAAGTTAGGGGCGTTTACACTACGAATCATTTGGTAGTTTTCACCTGGAATTGTCATTCTCTGCAACTGCTTGTTAATTTCGTCCCTTGATTCATCCAAAAGAGATGTGAAAACTTTCTTCTGGAAGTTATTCGTGTTAATGTATGTCCCCCCTAATTCATCCTCAAGTATACTTTTATTTCTCATCCATGGTAGAACTTTATCAGTATCGATGATTTTCTCTTTGAAAAGGCCAGGCAGTACTTTACCATAACGATCAAAAACATCCTCTTTCTTGGTCTTCAACCCATCAATTCGAAAAGGTAAAATGAAATCAAATTCCAATGGGTCACAGACCTTTAAACCTTCTCTTGAGCTACCTTGCTTTATAAAAGTGTCATGTAATACAAGTCCTGGAAAACGGATGTTGGCTGCTTTTTTCATTTCACGTGCAATGACCCTGATAACATTGCCCATAATCCTACAGCTATCTTCCCAATCAGTGTGATTTACATGCAAATCCTTTACTGTGAAGTATTCGCTGATGCCACTGTCTCCAGGCCCAGTTTCAAAAACTGGCTCTCTCCATTCGTTATATTTCGAACCAACTCTAGCGCTTGATGTTAACCTAAATTTGATTTTAAAAAGTATAAGATTGAACAGTTAATGTCAGTATCTCAATAATCATTCATTTGATATGTTGATCATCAAATTGAGTTTTACACATCACATCAACATTTTCCATGTTTTCAGTTACATATTTTTTTAACCTTAATATCTGAAGCCCATAAATGCTTATATGTCTAATAACAAGGTTTACTCTACTTGTAAACAAAAACATTTAGGTCATTTATGGTCCATGTAACACTTAACAATTCAAATTTCTTCAATGATTTCGAGTTTTAAATTTTGCTACAATAGTTAGCTCAAACTCAAACTTATTTCGTAAATTGAAATTAAATATTTTAGATCAAAAACGTAAACTTTCAAATTTAATTTCAAACAAGTTTCGAATTTTGAAGTTTTAGACTTTTACTTTAAATATTCAGAATTCAAATTCCAAAAAAAGATTTTGACATTATAAACTTTTGTGTTTTTAATTTATTGCTTGTTTGAAAATTTTACACTTAAGATTCTAAGTTCATTACAATGTTCCGTATTTTGATATTTTAAAATTAACTTTAAACTTCGCTGTTTATAAAGCCTAAACTGCCCCAAGTTATGTTATGTCGTATAACATGCATGTATGTTAAAGTAAGCTTTATTCCTTTAAACGTCTTTTAAAATATGATTGAGTCAGAAATGTATCAATCGATATTTATGGCACGCCAAATTCACAAAAATGAGATAAACCTAGTTTCACATTTGATAAACTAGGTTTATCGACTGTAAACTATAGTTTACAAACCGTAAAAATTCGTTAAGTATAGTTTTCATCTGTAAAACTATATTTAATGGTTGTTAACTATAGTTTATGAATGATAATCTAAGTTTATCTGTCTGTAATAAGCGTTAACAATAGATTTTGTTGATAAACATAGATTCACGTTTGTAAACTATAGTTTACAATCGTAAACTATAGTTAAAAGTTGTTAATCATAGTTTCACAAATCATGAAACTATATTTATCAGATCGTTAACTATAGTTAACAGTTTGTAAACTATAGTTTACAAATCGTGAAACTGTATTTATCAGATAATCTATGTTTTGCAATCGCAAATGATTGTTTTCAGTGTTAAGTATAGTTTACGGTTGTGAAACATAGATTATCGCGTTAACTATGGTTTACAGATGTAAAATATAGATTAACGTTGTTAACTATAGTTTACAGTCCGTAAACTATAGTTTACAACCGATAAACCTAGTTTATCGACTGTGAAACTATGTTTAGCTCATTTTTGTGAATTTGGCGTGCCATAGATATTCATTTCAATTTCCATTTTCAAAAATGTACAATTTGAAGCCATTTAGAGGGGATTCTATTTTCCTTTTTACAATGCTTGTACGAAAATTTAATTATAAAAAATGTATAAACAGCTACTTAACTCATTCTTACATATATACAGGTATTTTGAGTTGGAACAGCTTCAAGATTTTTTAAAAGCTTTTAAAATCTTCCCTTAAATATCTATCTAAATTAATAAATATGTTCAATTTGCATCATTTTTTTCAACTTTGCTGTTAACCTGCTGTTCAGCATGAACATTGCGAGCTAGCAGATCGATTAATTCGAATTTCAGTGTCAAAATTGTTTATTGGCTTCTCTCTCTCTCTCTCTTTCTCTCTCTCTCAAATAACAACATATTTACCTTGTTACAGTGGCAAAAGTTTCATTGAATCTACCACAACTACAATGTACGCTGTTAATCTTTTCTGGACTGAAATTTGAAAAAAAAACTGATTTGTGGTATTTCAAAACACGTGTATAATCAGTTTTATCTCTTTTCTCAATTAAAGTCAATATATTGGACATTCTAGAGCCCCCATTTCATACAATTTGTGTATGTCCTTTACATAAAATTTAACTGTCAGTTATTATTCAAAGTATAACCAGTGAATCATGGTAAAGACTTGATACGAGTCTCCATACTTTATGTACATTACAGGTCAAAGTCCTATTAAGAGGTCAAATTCAAATATCATGTCTTTATCTACTGATTGTACTGATTTTTTTATGCATTTCAATATATTTAAATTCAGTATATCCGAAATATCTAAAATCCATGGTTTAAGTGTTCAAGCTTCATTCATACTACACCCTGATCCCATCTCAGTCGTTTCAAGGTCCTTTGTTTGTCCTAGTAACGACTTTACATTGCATGTGAATCTACATATATGCATGTTCTATTTTTACATAACAATGCACTCAAATACCCAGTATAATGGTATCAATATATTTTACTAAAACAAATAGTACCATAAATAGGTGCAGCTCATATATATTTTGTTTTACATTCATATCAAATAGTAAATGTATGTGCATGGTGTGAAACCCTTCCTGTTTTCAAGACAACTATATATATAGTAACTCACTTGACTTCACTTCTCCTTTCGGAACTACGTTTACACACATATGTCAGGCAAAACAAAAAGGCAGCTGTAACTGCGCCAGCTATAATGGTGATGCAAATTGGTAATGGATCATTGTCTTTCATGATTATGGAGCCCAAAAAAATTCTCCAGGTGTGTGGATCTTTAATTATTATGCAAAGCAAGATGGTACATCAAACAAGCCTGAAATAACAAATTTAAACTTAAAAAAAAATAATGCAAATACACTCCACTTGAATCTGTCAAGATCTCGCTACACATATATTTACTATACAGCATATCTTAAATAAGATGTGGAGGAATCCACTTAAAACTTTATATCTTAAATGAAAATGTAAATTGACAACGAAATTTAAGTTTGTATATAAATTCCAGCCTGTTAGAGGAAATGCTACGATCTCATTTTAATTCTTTGATTTTAGGGAAAAGGAATTATTAAAAGTCAGAGTTATTTCCTTATTTCTGTTTTGAATTTCTGGATCCGCAAATAACAGCATTTGCCAAAGGAGTGCAGGCGTAGGGTTCAAGTTTCCAAGCACAAAAATCAAGGTTATCATAAAGATGTACGTCAACTTTAACATGTTTAAATTCTTCTCGATAAAAATTTCCTAGCTTCATAAATATTAAATATACAGGGCTTTCATTTTTATATTTTTTGCTAGTTCTGAAGAAGTTTACAGTGGCCGGTTTACTTTCAGCAGATTTTAATAAATAAAATCTGTTGATTTTTCATTGTTTATGTTAAGGCCAAATGTTCATCCATATAAAAGTGTTTCCCAAGAATGAATATCGAATTAGAATCATTAGTTAACACTTACGTAACAAGTGTTGTTTTCTTTTTGCAAAATAAAAAAAAAAAATTTGTATCAATATAAAAAAGAGTAATAACACATTAATACAAATCTAAATAGAAGATTGATATGATTCAACAAAGAATTAAGTACTCACTTGCAGTTAACCATGTTCTACCTTTATCATGAAGAATGTACGGTAACCTTGCACAGTTTTAAACGCATAGAATTAGCTTTGTTTTATGACATATAGCTAACGCTCTCACAGAAAACATCAAAATAAGAGTAAACTAAAAATTTTTAATTATCTACAGAGTTTTCCGATTTCCCAATTATGACAATGGGGCTTGGGAAGGGTGTGACCTTCGAGAGGAACATTCACCACGACTCGTGATGATTTCAGATCTCACCGTTTTGCTCTGTCCACATTTCGTCTTGTTTTTAAAAGTTGACTTTATAAAAGTTTATATTACGATTAATGTTTATTTATCGTATCATTACGTTTCAAGATCAGTCGAAGTGATCTGTTTGATTTAAACCTCGGGTTATAAAAACACATAAAAGTTATATCAAACCACAAACAATAAGAGATCCTGGATTGATAACAATGTAAGAATTAAAGTCTCAAAGTTTTTTGATTTATTGGAATTCATTTTCATTGAAATACTCTCAGAAAAAACGGCATGCTATATATGTAACATAGTGATGTGTTCAAAATTTTCACACAATACATTTAAGGAATTTCCACCCTCACAATTTTATAGGTTCAAAATACAAAAAACTGCATTTATTTTCATTCAATATACTTTAAACTTTCCATTTATTGCAAAAAATGTATAGGTTACCATATTATTTAAGATGCGAAACATAAATAAACAGAAGTGTATGTCAACATAAAAAATTGTACATTTTTTGTAAACATTATTCAGAAAAATATGTGAAAACTTGTTAAAATGCATAATTCTGATGCTGAGTGTTCCGAAATACTTCTTACTTAAAAGATACTTTTGAATTGTGAATATCAGGTAAACTATTTTACAGAAAAGCAAATGCCTGAATGAAGAGACCTTAGAAGGAGTTATTGCCCTTGTAAACATTTTTTAAAGATTGAATAATTGATTAAATATAGAAAATATGCATTTTTTAAATTCTTTAACTAAACAATATTTATCATTACACCTATTGTAAAGCATTCTTCCAAGAGATATCATTCTATAAGGTAGGGATTTAAACTAATTACAGTTTTTGCAAAAACCTATGACATCATAGAAGGGTGGAATTACCTTAAAGTGAACCATGTGTTTCCAACAAATCTTCGAATAACATGACTTTATCGGAATCTAACGCCCACCCTTCGTAGTAAAGTCCTCTCAATGTATCCAAGAACTTTGGCAAAATCAATTGTGCTTGGTGCAAGGTCTGTGGATCTTTGAATGAAAAGAGGTTATACGTCTCTTCCTCGAATGAACTCCAAGGGAACATCAGTTTGATGTAGGGATTTCCGTAAAAGAAATGTGGCAGGACTTTTGCATCAATGCTTAGTTGAAGATATCGAATAAAGTATCCTAATGCTTCTTTAACTCCACTAAGTTTCTTTTCTTTGCTTCGCATCGTCAAGAAAAGGATGCAATAGAGGCAAATATTTTTAAGGTGATAGGATTTTACTACACTATCTAGCTGAGAAGTGCCCCGTGAATTCAATCTAAATTGATGCAACGCCCCCTTCAGTAGCCTACAGGCAGTCAAAATGTACCGCTGACTTTGGTTACCTTGAGCAACATCTAAAATGTGCTTTTCATATACACAGGTTGAATTTCTCCATAGTATATCTCTGCTTTGCCTCGGGTCCAATGGGATGGCATTGGTACTTTCATTGACCCATTTCATGACTCCGTATCTTTCACACGAACTCGGTCTATCTTCATACGATGTAGAGCGATGTTGGAAGCTTTGATTAAAATCATCAACAGTGTATGGATCTGGTACCGTCTCAGAAGACAAACAAAGGGCGGGAACCAGGTCAGCTTCTAAGTCTATAACTTCTAAACCTTGAGAAGACTCAAATACCACCCTATCTAATCCCTTCAATCCATTTGGACTTCTCACCTGTATTGTTATTTTTAAGTTAGGGGCGTATACACTACGATAAATGCGGTAGCTTTCATTCCAAGTTCTCTTTCTCCGTAACTGCCTGTTTATTTCGTCCATTGATTTGTCCAAAAGGGATGTGAAAACTTTCTTCTGAAAGTTATTCGTGTTGATATATGTTCCCTCAAAGTAATCAACAAGCACATCGTTTTTTCTCATCCATGTTGGAGGCTCATAATCATTGATGATTTTCTCTTTGAAAAGGCCAGGTAGCACATCACCATATCGATCAAAAACACCCTCTTTCTTTGTCCTTAAACCTTCAAGGCGAAATTGCAAAAGAAAATCAAATTCTAATGGATCGCAGACTTTCAAACCTTCTCTTGAGCTTCCTTGTTTGATAAAATTGTCGTGTAAAACAAGGCCGGGAAAATGAATCTTGGCCGAATTTTTCATTTCTCGTGCTACAACTTTCATCACCTTGTCCATAATCCTACAGCTATCTTCCCAGTCTGTCTGATCTACATGCAGACCTTTCTCAATGAAATATCTGCATATGTCACCTTCTCCATGCCCAGTTTCGAAAACTGGTTCTCTCCATTCGTTATAATTTGATCCGATATTGATACTTGATGTTGGCCTAAAATCAAGAAAGAAAGTTTTTTTTAAAAATCCAGAATTTGTAAAATTTGTGTACAGTATTCACAAGTTATAGACACGGTGGGTGTGACCGTCATCATGAAATTCAAAATACCGTATAAGCAGATTTTTAGCGAGGATTTAATTTTGGCATTATCAGCGAGGGTTCAAAGATCGCTAAAATTGAATATCGCTAAAAATTAATTGCGCTTTATTTGTAATCTAAACTACTTTAGTGAGCTTTTTAAAATCGCAAAAATTACATCTCGCTAAAAATAAAATACAATTATTTTTAAGGACAAACCGCTAAAATCGCGTCTTGCTAAAATTTCCACTTATACTGTATTTTATCTAAAAATTTTAAAAAAAAACCTCAGTCGTTGAAATTTCTCCGTATATTTCTTTGAGGAGCAAAAATAAGCAACCAAATATAAATTGACTCGTGTTAAGAACTAATTAAAATCGGATCCTTTGATCCGCTTACCTAGATCGCTAAAATCAGATCCTTAGATCCATTCCCGAAGATCGCTACACACACTCGTGTAGCCATCTATGTGAGCAAATCAAAGGATCTGATTTTAATCACATTGATTCGTGTTTCTGTTGTCAAATTAAGTAATGAGGGAAGTTTCATCAAAATCGGTGGCCATGAATTCCAAAATGTTTAATTGTTTGCAGATCATTGTCCCCTTTACGTTTTCATCAGGTTTCATCTTTTTGATATTAAAAAAAAATAATGTATAGATCCTAAATACATAAGAGGAATTTATAAGCGGTATTTATTTTTGTGAGAACCACCGCTTTCAAAGTAAATTGCTTGTATTTTTATGTTGTTGAAATATGTTGATGAACATTCCCCTGTCGAATTGAAGTTCTCGCAATTTGACGTCCATTAATCATTAAGTGTACTCTTGAAAATCAAGGGCTCTACGGTCTACCATAGACTATAATACATATCATGCAGTATAAAAGAGAGTTAACCTATTAACTTTAATGTGTGGAATATTACATGGCTAGATAATAGGGATTTTTTACGTTTAAATATGTCGAACATAGTTCTAGAGATTGCGCTTTTGTATCCATCACCTCTCTTTCTAGTATTATTGCATTTGATTATTAATTTATTAATTATCAATAAATGATTTATATTTACCTTCTCACCATGGGTGAAGCTTTACTGGATTTAGTCCAATCCCCAGACGAGCTAAAAGTGAATTATTTTAGAATAACAAGAAGCCCATGGGCCTTATAAGTAACCTGAGCATCATGGAGCAACTTTCCAACCTTTCCAACCATTGAATTTGGTTTGTTTTAAACCAGAGGCCACGGCATTCAAATTTTTGAAAGAAGCACTTTTGTTGATAAAAACTATACACTTAACAGGCCCAGCTTATATAAAACCCACGTGCAGAGAAGAGGAACAAGAAATGTATTTCAACCAAATTAGTGATATTGTGCAATAATCCGCATTGTTATATCTTTAAAAATGTGTTCTTATACAAATCTATACAAAAAAAAAAATCGAACAGTCTTTCAAATGTATTACTGAGCGGGCATGAAAAAGTCGATGTTTGATCACTGAGTGAAATATTGGACCTGTCGATGAGATGTGGACCGCTTACGTCACAATATGGGCGGAGCTTAATCTCATTCGCTTTCGCCGGTGTTCAAACGTGATGGACCTGAGGTTACATCACGGAGGATAGTGAAAGATATACATGTATGTCCAAAAGAATTGAAATGAAAGGTATATTAACAAAACATTTATTGACTGTATTCTCGGGCAAAATGCGTTTTGTCGACCCTCGAACCAATGAAACTGTCTGCCTTCGGCCTAACGGCCTCAAGCAAGCAGTTTTGTTCTTAGGTCCGACAATGCGCATGCTGCCCTCAAACTAAGTCAATAAATGGATAGTGCCCCACCCAACAGGAACCACTGACCCTTAGACCACATATGACACAATTTTGGGAAAGAAAACCTTGCTCATAATAAAAGTTTAATTAATACCAAAGAGCAGATTTCAAAGCATTGATTCATTTTCAGTTTATTACGGTACCCCTGACCCTGGGACATTAAAATTCACAACTTTGGAATAAGGACCATTGCTTATCATACCTATATAAGGAGTTCATCTGCTACTGGAACCTAAGAGCAGAGATTTTCAAAGAATCAATGCATTTTTACTATGATATTTTTATCATATTTATACAGCCCCACCCTTACACGAGAACCCCTGACTCTATGGCCCTGAAATTCACAATTTTAGAAGAAGCACCTTTCTTCATCATAACAATGTGTTTAGATAGTTTGTTTCATACCCAAAAGCAGTGAGGAAGATTAAAAAACAGAAAAGATTTTCAAAGAAACAATGCATTTTCAATATATAATATATATAGCCCCGCCCTAGCACTAGAGCCCCCGACTCTTGGACCATGAATTTGCCTAGAAGACTCACTGCTTATTACAATCATGCCAACAGTTCAACCGCTTGATATCTAGGAGTAGAGAAGACGATTTTCAAAGAAAAGTAGAAAACATTAATTTTAATGGTTTTAGCCACACACCCCAGGCCCAAGAGGGGCAGGTGCCATGAAATTCAACATTGTTGTCCCCCATTAGCCCCTTGGTGGAGTGGTTCCAGAGAAGAACCTGAAAATGTTCAAATGTTCGCACGCAACGCACAACACACTAAAGAAAACGATCGTCAGACAAAAACAGACAGCAATACACATGTACAGTGTAGGTCACCAAAGCTTACTCTGGTTACTTGAAAATTTATAACTATACATTTTATGTACTTTAAAATCAAATAACATTTACAGAATACGCATGCAAATCAGATTGCCTAAATATGACATAGGCGTCGGAACCGGGGGGGGGGGTAGGGGGGCTTAACCCCCCTCCCACTTTTTTTTTTGCAAAAATAGACATTATATAGGCATTGAATATTGAGATTTACCTTTTTTGTTGGCTTACCCCCCCCCCCCCCCACTTCCGATTAGCCCCCACTTTCAATTTGCTTCCGACGCCCATGTATAAAATAGACAAAAAGTGAAGATTTAAAAATCGTTCGAGTTATAAAGTAATTATTAACGAATCTTTTTACAGTGTTAAAAATTTTGATTTCCTGTTTTGATAAAGTTTTACTCACTTATTTGGTCTCTCCTTTTCGGATCTAGGTTTACTTATCAGGTATATCGGAAGGGCGATTGCAGCTGCCCCAACTATGGAGGCGACACCAAGCGTTAATGGATCCTTCAATTTGTCTCTCATAATAGACAGAAAATCCTTTTGTTCTTGATCCTTCGACATAATTATACGAAGCTAGATGATACAACAGAAAACCTGAAGAAGAAAAAATAAACGCAGAAAATGAGTTTTGTAAACCTGGTTAATGACCACCAGTTTGTTTCGATTAAAAGTTAGTGGTCTACATTAGGGAGTTCATGTGAAAATGTCACGTGCTTTTTATCAAGAATTTCATTCATAGCTAGTGCGCCTTGTACAACGTTATCGTGTGCATTTGTTGGTCTCCTGATAAATGATAGATATTTCATTAATCTTTTACAAATAATTTTTTATGTTATCATTCAAAAATATTACATTTACATTGTAAATATCATCATCAAATATGATAGCAGGCGAAAAGAGCATTCAAAATCAATCACGCTCCCGATACCTAATAATACACAAGATAAACATCGGCGCCATCTTAACATGCTTAATTGGTTTTGTCTCTGATATATTACACTAACTTAATATATTTTCGTCTTCAACTCCGTAAAAATAATTACCTGTAACCATATTCTTGATCTCTCAGTTTTTACGTGACACATTAATGTTAACATGCGACTTATTTATCTCATACGTGTTGGTGATACAGGCGGTTGGATAAACTTATGCTTTATCCACGGGTAGATGCTTTATCAATAGCACTGCCGGTTTTGACACGATCCCTCTCTTCAAAATTTTATTTGAAACTTTTATTTGTGAAAATTATTGCCCTAATGAATGATAAAGCGGGATAAATATCGTTAAAAGCCAGAAAAAGACTCGTTTATGTCAAAGATGTGTCTTATTTTATCAAGGAACCTGTATTGGCTACTTGAAGACAGATGTTACCCCCCCCCCCCCCTTTTTTTTTCGGAGAAAGTAAAGCCTAGCAGTTAAGTTGTTGTTATAAGATTCCTTTCACATCTTCAACAATGCTTTCTTATATTATACTAGTAATACTGCATATGCCTACCTAGTAATGTAGGTGTTACTTACCATGGATCAACAATGAATCTACAAGTAGGCCCCTAGCCTTGCCCAACATGTTTTGTACTGCCATCGGACGTCCAAAGAGTTCATTTTGACGATCCCCTGGTCCTTACAACTTTCAGTCAGAAGTTCGTTTGATGTAAAGCTCCAGCAATTGTCACATAATATTTCCATTTCTATTTTTTTCTCTGTGATAACTGTTTGAAAGTTGTGGGAGTTTATTTCTTGATAATTCTGCCGGAATGTAAATTAGACAGGTCGATAGGTCAGCAGCTTAGGAGGCCTAATACGCATGCAAATCTCGTGCGCATCTGTCTCTGTGTCTGACGCTAAGGAGGCCAAATATGCATGTACCTGGTATTGGCATGGAAGTCCTCGTGTAATTTAAATCTATTAGTTTACATTTTTAATGTCTAAGTCTACAATTTTATTTCACTATGAAATGGAAATATAAGGAATTACTGTCTAGTTAGGAGATTATGCCAGGGACATCAACAATAGTGGGAAACATGGGATAATTTTAGCATAACGGGCTTCGCCCGTTATGCAAATTATCCCATGTTTCCCACTATTGTTGATGCCCAGGCATACTCTTCAAACTAGACAGTGATTTCTTAAATGTTTTCAAGATGCAGGTAGCAAAAATTCTATATCTTTAACACGATCTACTTTCTTTCGAGGCATGTCAACATCAACAGTGGTCATCAAGTTATACGTTCATCAATTTGAATTAGCAATCATTCAGTAGTTTCGCAGGGGATGTCTCAAAGTTTTGTTAAAACGAAAGTCGTATGAGATAAATAGAACATCTATAATTGTGTGATTTGATGTTGGCCTTATCCAGCTCGTTGAAATGGTGTATGTATATACCGGTGTCTCATTATATCGCGGTACTTAATTCTTTTGCATAAAAAGTGTAATTTCAAATTTTTACTTTAACTTATATCAAATGATATTTATAATTCTAACTTTGGCCTAACTTTTTAGTGTCAGATTATTTTCCAAGCTTGCATCGTTTTATTTGTGGTCTATTTTTAAAACAGGAAGTCTAATTTACCTCCTAAATTGGAGAGTCTCATTGTATCGCGGTATGGGTAAATATGGACACTTGTACATGATATGGACCTCAATTTTTATTTTTGAATTTACGATGTAATTCTGCATGAAAAATAAACAGTTTTTCTAATTAAAGACTTTCAAGAGATGAACTTTTTAAATATTTTGTACTAGGTTATAAAATTTGATGGGTCTGCAAATCTGTAAAAATTACGTTTAATTTGAATATTTCTTTTTCCAAACGGATGTTCCATACTTTTTAATCATCAAAAAAGTAAAGATCCAGACAACATCAAGATTGTCCAGCAACAAAAAGGATATAGGCTATGTATCCAAATTTTTGCAATATACCGCGATACAATGAAACCCACGATATAACGAGAATCGAGTATACACCATTTCAACTCGTTGGATAAAGCCGATATCAAATCACACAATACAGATATCCTCTATCAAACTGCGACTCATTTATGTCAACATTCGACTTATCATTTCTTATGTAGAATACATGAATACCTGTCTATGTTCTCTGCATCACAGTTAATGACGCAATATGCTGATATGACGTCACAAAGCTCTGACTGTTCGCTTTAGGTCTAGGAAAATATCAAGTTTTGGCAAGAATTATCCTTATTCGATTCCATAATTAATTTTGTCGTCTTCTTAAAAATTTCAAGGCATAAATTGGTTAATTTTTGGCAGTTTCCTGAGCATTCGAAATGGGAAAGTGTTAAACGCAACACGCGAAAAATAGGTGACGTTTGATGACGTTACAGCGCACCGGAAAGCAGATGAGTTTGATTTAGATGGTGTAATAACACCCTGAGTGACTTGAAATTAATACAGAAGAATTTTTTGTAAAAAAATCAACAGATCCTTAGTATAGAATCGAAATGGGAGTGTTCTTAGGGAAGTACGTCTTTCTTGATCGAGTCCCTAGGTTGAACAAACATAGGGAAAAACTGCTGTAATATTGTAATAGCAAAAGACACTGTCACTGTTGACCGTCAATTTAAGATTTTCTATTAGTTGAATAGTGATGGGAATATTGTTCGTAACTTGCTAATAAATCATCAGAAGATTGCTTGTTTGTGTCAGGTTGGTTCCTCAACTGTTTATGGAGACTAAATCATGAAATTCCTAAATGTGTATAAGTGGGACTTTCCCAACTTTATGTAAATTATCACAAAGATGAAACGTAACGCTGTTGCGAGACAACTTGTCCACGACCTCACCGGACAACCCAGGTACAAACACAAATTTAAAAAGAAACTAGAGGTATACTGTGAGCACTAATCTCATTAGGTGAATATCCCAGCCTCCCATATGATTATAATGGTTGAGTCCATGTTTTGTACACGGAGACTCGAAATAAGTGTCAGATCTATCAAGACGTAAAATAAGACTGAGATGCACAATGACATTTTGTAATAAAGAATCTATGAAAGTATCATCAAATTTTAATCACTTGTATTAAAAGAGTTGCGGATAAGAGATGGGTACCCTTCAATATTACAGGGAAAAATGACAAAAAGTCAATGTGCCAAGAGGCTATGGGAAACCCAGAATATGTTTCCGACCGTAAAGTAAAATAGAAAGTGCCCCGGCAATGGCAAGGAGTTATATAACAAAGATTCTGTGAAAGTCTCATTTAATTTCATTCAGTGGTATAAGAGGAGTTGCGGATAAAAGATGAGTTCCCTGGTCAAAGCATAACAGAAGGGCGGACATCCCAATCACAATATACCTTTCCACTTTTTCAAGCAGAGGGTATAATAAGATATCATATTTGGAAATTCACTAGGATGTAACATGAAGTTGGTCACGTGATCAAATCCTATAAAGCCCGAAATATTTCAGTATGAAAGTTGCACTTGCGAGGCATTCAACATTTATGAGTAAGTCGTTAGAATAAAACGTATACCCCACCCCACTTTTGACCCCTTCTCTGCCTTACGGTGTTATGAATTGCCGTATATAACTTTCCACACATGTAGTTTCTAAGCAAAATACATTAAGAATGTATAAATATTATAAATACATTAAAAAATATAAACATTAGAGAAAATAATTTATTGTAAAATATCAGATATATCAAATAGAAAGAAACTCTAGATATAACAACTTGAATGAAATACATGTTAATTAACAAATGAATGATGAATACATGTTGTAAACATACATTATATGACAACAAATGCAATATTCATACAACTACAACAAGTATTTCTATACAGCTTTCAATTTTATTTTATTTTTGCTAAATAAAAAAAGAAGAGATCCATGAGCCACAACGTTCATCTGAGAATCTTTGGCTATTAGAATCTTCGGTTCTTCACCGAAATCTTCCTTGTAATATCTATTGTGGCCCCGCCCTATCTCCGGGATCATGATATGAATTTTAAATTGTAAACTGCCCAAGGGTGCTTACGCATTTGTTGCAGCATTTCTGGCCAAGACGTTTTAAAAAAATGTTTTTATATATTACATTGAAAATTTTTGATTCCCTATTGTGGCCCGCCTTACACAGGAGGTTATAATTTGGACAATTTAAAATCTACACTATATCAGGATACTTCCACATAAGTTTCAGATTTCTAGTGGTTCTTGAGAAGAATTTTTGTTATACTAGTACATATAGTGTATATTTTTTCCATATATTTCAATATAAAAATCGGATTCGCTATTGTATTTAAGACCTCCTGAGGTCATGGTTTGAATAGTTCAGAACCTACACACATCCCGGAGATGCTTCCACATAAATTTCAGCTTTTTATATCATGTGTTTTTGGCCTATTGGTTGTTGAGAAGATGATTCCACCCAATGTTGTCTTTTCTTGTTTATCACCCTTTGTAAAGGGTTTGGACCTTCATTTGATAAATTTAAATTCCCCTTTACCCAAGAATGCTTTGTACCTAGTTTAGTTTAAATTGACCCAGTGGTTCTTGAGAAGATGTTGAAAATGTGAATGAAGAGTTTTTAGATGGAGAGACGGGCGGACGACGGACAAAGTATGTTAAGAAAAGCTCTCTTGAGCTTTCAGTTCAGGTGACCTAAAACTACAAGAAGTAAAAAAATGAGTTTATACATTCATATAAATGGAAATATGCAGTAAAGAAAATGGGGACGTCTTTTGGGAAAATAGATGATGAACTGTTTTAAAATACTTTCTTTAAAATGTAAACAAGCCATTAAAAATATTATAAAATACTGTATTTATCAAACACACATTGAAAGTTCTATGTGATACAATTCACTGATTGCTTTGTAACCCAAAGACATTAAAATTTAAAATTAAGGAGAATATAGGTTACATGTAAGAACCCCTTTTGGCCCTCGATTTGAGTGTTGTCATGATTCCACATTAAAGTTTGTTGTCATTGCTCTTACGGTGGAAATATTGATTTCAAGTTTTTTTTTTTTGTTTTTTTTTGTGAGGGGGGGTTACACAAAGGTCTCAGGAAGTTCACAAAATAAGCCATTTTCAAAATTCCCGTAATTTTTCATTGATTGTATAGTACATTCTTTTTCAGAAAACATAGATCAGAAGCTTGTCTATCCACCGAAACATATTTTATGCACTTGTGCTCCTTGTGGATAACAATATCAGAAAGGCAAGTTTGTATTCTCTGTTTCCTTAAGTGAAAAGTATCTCAAATATGAGGAAATTCAAGCAAAACCGAAGAAATTCAGTAAAATGTCCAACTTTGGCACCCTCTTGTACCCCTATACTTTTTAAATCAAAGTTATTGCTGTTTTGAACATAAGCAACATTTACAGTTCTTAACTACAAACTATCACAATTTTAACTTTGTTTTGAATTTTACATCAAATGATGGGCTAAATTTAGCCGGTATCGTATCTTGTCCTTCGTGTATATTTTTTACTTAAATAATCCGAGGCCAGAATAATTAGACGAGGATAACAAAATTCCTTTTACATTAAAACCAAAGTAATTATTTCAAATACTTAACAAAACATGCAAGAAAAATAAAAATGAATGCATAATATAAAACATTGAATGATCCGATCTACAAAACAAGAATCTTGACATCGTGTCAAGATAAAATGTATCTCTCCCTCTTAAAAACCCCTTAATCATATGTTAAAGAAGAAATATACTAGTTTTCGTCAGAATAGGACGATTTTCTCCTCAGTTTGGACTATCAGTTGGCGTGGCTTTCTCGGCGCTACGTAATGGTGAATACTAGTAGGTCCTCATTGGTTGAGAAATTAATAACATCAGGAACTTAAAATTGTTGTTGACAACGATGGGACGACTTATGCCCCACCTCTGTGCCGTGAGAGAACTTTTAATTGGCTATTTACTACACCAGTTGACATTCGGTCGCATTTCTATCATATGTATATTTCAACAGTGAAGGGAAGCTGTGTAAATTTCAGAAGCTAATTAGGTAACGTCGAGAATGCCACGCCTTACTGAAAGTCCAAACTAAGCGTGTAATGGTCCTATTCTATTCGAAATGGTGCACCTTTAACGTTTTAAATTAATTGTTCCTTCTTTCGAATCAGATGACATACATATTATATATGATGTTCTACTCAGTCTAATATACATGCCTATTATTAAGTCACTTAATTTTAATAGATATGGTATTGAGGTGGTACATGTACGTACGTGTTTGAAGTGCTTCAATAACAGTGTAATGAAAGGTATGCACTATGCATATGCTTAAATCCTGTAAGCTTATAAATAGATCCAATGAATCTGTCTTTTGAGCAGCACAATAAATATATCACAGCAAAATAATAATAAAATAAAATCGTCTTATAGTTGAGACACTTTTCTGAGTAATATTTCTCATTCTGCAACAAAGACCAGCCTCTTAGGTTTTTTATTTCCACCACTATGGCCGAACTTGGGATCATCAATTCTAAGCATCTCTGCAGCTTGTCTCGCCATTTCCATTCCGGAAACTGGCCCTCCGCCCTTTGTTTGGGAAATAACACGAATCGTTGGATTGGGATTATAAGCGGGTCGACGTTCATGCCCCTCATACGGAGGTGGTGGGCTCATAAATCTGTCTTCCTGGTGACCGTCGTGTGGGTGGCCCCTAGGAGGCTGTGTGGGTCTTGGTGGAGGCTTTCTCGGGATGTTTTCTCTCTTGCCTGCCCTATCCTCCTCATCTTCTGGTTTTCTCTGAGGTGTAGGTTTAACTTCGTTCACCTTACGTGGAGGCCTGCGTCTATCGGAACGTCCGCTCATTGTTTCTTCTCTAGTTGATCTGTCTCCGGGGTTTGTCGGAGAGTAGCCACGGTCTCTCGACTCTCTATCGCGGCGACCGGGAGGCATCCCATGTTTATCAGTTCGTTGTTTTTCTCGTGAGTTATCCCAGTGGAGGTCATTTCTTTTCATTTCCTCATCGGAGTCGTATCCTTGTTTTTGGGGCTGTCGTCTACGATTTGGCGACCCATCATAATCATCGAGGGATTCCTTTGTAGGACGGCGTTTATGGTGGTCTTTATGATGGTCGTTGTAATCCATTGGATGGTGATACATATCGTTTTGATGATGCATCATCTGCATCGGAATAACATTTGGATTATTATAATCAGACGGACCCGAATAAGCTGGTGGCATTTTCTTGACCTCTGTATGCTGATGTCTCCTATCGTCTCCTTCTTCCGGTATTGCCCATGGTAACGGCGTATCATGACCTACCCCGACGTTGACGTCAGAGACGCTGGCTTTAGATGCAGGTCGCATGTGACTTACAGCCGCTACCTTCATGGCAGTGTTTTGTGGGGATCCTCCCACTAGTGACGTCTTGTCGTTGTTATTCTGTGTTATGACGTCATGACATTCGTCTTCAGAATCATCATTATCTTTCTCCTTTTCCTTTTTCTTTGAACACAGATGCTGTCTACATTTATAGCAGCAATATATGGCGCTACAGCCACCATATACCAGTACGATGCAGGGTAATACGAGATACATAGCAAAGTTATTCTTATCCTCGTAAAACTCCTCTATCTGTTCGAAAAACGTTTTACTTTCTTCGACAACCACTGGTGCTGACGTTGTGGCGTTAAGGAGCTTTCTTCCAAGTCGTCCCTCGACATGCTTTTCTGAAGATAGTACTGCATACCCTGAAAGAGTCGACTGTGACGATTCAACATGTTGCAAATATCAAAAAACAAATATATTTCTCTTGAAAAATTTTACCATCAGTACAAATTAATAACTTTGCATGACATATCGAACAGTACATATTGCATAAATAACGATGCAGTATCATTCCAGTGATAACAAAAATATACATGTACCAAATGCTTCGATTCTACATGGACATTTTGGAGGAAAGTTTGTGTGTTTTTAACACTTTCAACAGGAACAGATGCATTATTAAATTTTTATAATAGAATGAAAATTTTTTTTGTTACACAAACAATCATGTCTTTAATTACCTTCAGTATAGGAAACTGCCACAGTCAATACGAAGCAGAAAGCTCCCGATATCACTTCCATGTCTCCGACCTAGAGGTAAGAATCCTGAAACAATTAAAAAATAGGCTTGAAATATCCTCAATCTATTGTTCACCTTAGGTTTGTGTTTTAATCAATTTCTTGGTGTTAGAAGCAGCTCATTTTTAAATATTGCATTCCTTATTCTGATAATCATTATAATTACACTCTGTAATAATTGTGTTGGATTCCGTGAGATCAAATGCAGCTCGTCTTGCGTGGATTAAAGAAAATCAATCGAACTCCAACAAAAAAAGGTATAGAGATTCATAATATAAATCAATAAAGTAAGAATTAGCTCTGTATTGAATAAAGTAAGAAATTATTACAAGGGCTCCCAGAGTTCAATAATAATATGTCTTGATATCGGTTAAATCAAAAAAAAAAAAAATTTTTAAATGTATTTTTTAAATCCTCTCTCTCAGAAAAGGAAAGTTGTCGATGAAAGCTATCGTCTTTATCTTATCACGGATGTGTCAAAATTATTTTAGTGTCCTAAGCCTTACCCCTCTATAATCCTTATTCTAATGTAGCCAAATAAAATTCAAATTATTAAAAGTAATGCATACATGTTGCCAATTCAATGATTTTGATTACTTTAAGAAAGGGGAACTTTTAAGAATTTTTTTTTCATTTCGGACAAAGTTACAAAAATGAAATTTGATGTATAGATCCGACGTTTGTAGAGATACTATGAACTTATTGCGGTTGAAAATTAATGCATCTACACAACGCACTTTTTCCAAAGTGCGTTAATTTTACTTTTTTTCAGTTAGTATGAGAAAAATTGTTTATTCCCGGACAATATAATGACTTTTTTAAACAGTTATTTGATAAGTATTAAGAGGTATAAAAAAATATTTATGTCTTTTATGCAATTTTATTGTTTATGATATAAATTGTAAAGCTGCTATTTTGGCCACAGTATAGCAAGTTTCCCCTCCTTTTCTCCATTCTCTCTCTCTCCCCTTTCTCTAACCACACTCTATGATTGCTCTCTCCTCTCTTCCCTCTCATTACGTCTCTCTCCCCCACACACTCTCTCTCCCTCTCTTCCCTCTCCATTCTTTCCCCTCTCTCCCCACTCTCCACTCCCTCTCTCTCACCTCTCTCCCCACTCTCACCTCTCCACTCCCTCTCTCTCACCTCTCCACTCCCTCTCTCTCACCTCTCTCCACACTTTCTCCTCTCCACTCCCTCTCTCTCGCTCTTCCCTCTCTCTCCTCTCTCTCCTCTCTCTCTCTCCTCTCCTCTCCTCTCCTCTCTCTCTCCCCTCCTCTCTCTAACTCTCTCTCTCCCCACTCTCAAGAGCGGAGTATGAGAGAGTTATCATCTCCCCACTCCAACCAGGAGTAGAGAGTCGAGGAGGCATAGGAAAAGGGCAGGTAAAAAGAAAGGGAATAGATTTCCCTAACCTATGACTCTCTCTCCCAGCATATTTCCATTCACACCACTTTCTCCCTCTTTCTTACATTCTCTTTCTTTCCTTTTCTCTTATTTTCTGCTTTACCACATTTCGTCACGTATTCGTCGTAGAAAAAATTGTATACGGAAACATTATTAATCATTCATAGTGTTTTAAGTCTGACACTACTATTATCACCAAAATTTACGGTACTGATTAGTTAGATTCAAACTAAATCAAAACCAATAATTTCTAATTATGATTTTGAACATTCTTGAAAATTAATTTTCCAAAGAAACGTATCTGTTCATTTATAATTGTGAAATAATCCATAGAAATTTGCAACGCATACAAAACGTTTACGCTAAGAATAGAGCTATTGAACCACTAAAAGTGCCATGTGTGATTCCCATTTCTGCTTAAACATTGTATGTGTATATCAGATTTTCAGTTTAAAATTGTTTTGCAACTTTTATTGGTATTCAAAAAGATTTTGTACATGATATAAACCTACATGAGTATCTACATGTACAGCTGTTGCAAATTTTATTTTTCTGTAATTTATGCATATGATATGACAATAAATATAAAACTAAATTAAAAGATTTATATCGATAGTGAACATGTCACTTAAATGATTCTAATTCCTTTTATCGTTGGTGTACATGTTTCTGGCCAACAAGGATTTGATATGTGTATGACTAGTATTTGGTTTACTCTTCTGACGATTTGGTGTTCACTATATCGCCTCTGGTGTAACACTGCCGCCTCTACGGGAACCTTCTGAATGGGGTGTCAATTGGTTGGTTATTGGACCAATCAGTTTTATGGGGTTTTTTTCATTCCAAGTCATTCTGTTAAGTCCCGAAGTTATGGATAAGGCGGGGGTCAACATAATTTAAAAAAAAATGTTTTACGGTAGATTCAGAAGAGAAAAAAATGTCCGTGTACCTGTGATGTACTTAGTTGCTGAGGAGAGGGGGTGAAGGGGGAATTTTCATTCAGTCGACATAAAAAAATTCATGAAACTAATTTTATTATATTCTGAAAATATGAATTAACTATAAAGATTATAGGACATATGATACATTTAAAAACCACCTTGAAATCCGAGGCAGATGCAAATTCTATTAATATCCATGACCCCTTCTAATATATATAGAAAGGTCATGTGTCGGATTTTAAGGCAATTTTTAATCAGCAACGTGTAGATGAAGGATAATAAGAGATAAAAATAAAGAAAAATATTTTAAAATAATAATTATTTTTTTGTTTTTAAATTACAGAAGTGAGGTGCATCGTAAAAGGAGGGTCATGTCCAAAAGCACATTTGGTATACGGGCCCAGAGATGCCAATTACGACAACCTCACCTGTTTTCCTGGTTTCGAATCAATTTTTCAGTTAGTATCAAATCAAGCGCCCTCTACTGTTGCTGACAATAAAATCTGCGGATCAAAATTATTGTAGAAATGAATTATCTACATTAAAAGTCTTTCCTTCATCACAATATTTTAATGGTTCAAACTCAACTCCAAAGTACAACAAGCTAATTAATTCCGGGAATCCGTGTCTCCCGCTGAAGGAAAAAAGGGGAGGGTGCTCAGATTGGGGGTTGACCCCCCCCCACCTCTTCCCTGGATTTGCAGAATTATTAAAGTATTTCCATCAGTACATTAAAGCTTGTTTTGTCTGTAAAAATATTTATTTATATGTAATAAAAGATAAAGGATTAATCAATAACTAATCAATACTAAATTAAATTCAGAATTAACATAACGTTAAAATATGAAAGGTCAAAATTTATTCAAATACTATGAATCTGTGTTTCATTGAAAAAAGTGTTACAATTTAGGTAAATTATGACAATGTTTACATGAACATTTATTGCCAATCAATTAAAAATTGAAAACGCGGATAAACATGTTTTATTTTCAGTGAATTGTTGATTACATCGTGATTCTGAGACGTACGAAATAATGACGTCGCACTAACGTTATATAACGTCTTAATGAAATTATATACGTTTGTTACAAATTTGTAAAACTTTAAAGTTTTTTTGCGAGAAAATGAGCGAGAACACATATTAATTTTTTTTAATAGATCGATTCTAAATTTATCTTAGTTTCATTGTGTTGAGTAATATAAAATTCGTCTGCGCCGTTTTTATATTACAAGCATGGTTTTGAATTGCGTTTACCGATGAGAAAGGCGCATTTACTATATATTTCATTGTAATAGCGTCACCAGTTCTCATCAACATTAGTGCCTTTGAAATACGATAACAATATAACCACGCAGACAAATCTCACAAAAATTTTAGAGAGTAAAATTTTAAACGAGAGGATTCAGTTGAAAAATTTTCAGAGTATGTTTTCAGGCAGACAGTAAACCCGCGATCTACCTTAATACAAAATATTTATCATATATATTTATAAATGATAGTTTGTACACGTCATGCGTCATAAATTCTTCATTCCAGATGCTAAATACTATCATTTAGTAATTGATAAAAAAAAAAAAAACTCAGTCGGGATTAGAATCAGGTGGCTTTCGCATGCAAAGCGAGAATCTTTCTCCTTGGCCATCGACGAACTTGACATGGCGAAGACATGTTTAAATCATGTTAAAATTTTAAAAAACAACAACAACAAAAAGAAAAAAAAAAACAAGTGTGTCTAGATAAGCCTCTACCAAACATTTTGTTAGGGGGTTATGGTATAAAATTTACCAAACATTTTGTTAGGGAGTTATGGTATAAAATTTAATTGCAAAAACTCAAAAGCATCTTGAGATATCGCCCGAAAATGAAAGTTTTATACACATAAAATGCATGAATTTACGACCTTGACCTTCGACCTTTTGACTTCAAATTTAATAGGAATCTTTTCAAGCCATATAGGAGTTATGATGTAAAATATCATTGTAAAAGCTCAAAGGTTTATTGAGATATCGTGCGAAAACGAAACTGATAGAATACAGATTTTTTAAATTAATGATTTTGATCTTTTCACCTGAAAATCAATAGGGGTCTTCCTCAGCCATGGATAGTTTTTGTGTAAAATTTCATTGCAAAACCTCTAAGGCTTCTCGAGATATCGTGTGGAAACGAATTCAAAGCATTATGCACAAACAGTACAACAGACGGACGGACAGAAGGACGGACGGACAGACAGACCGAAATTAATATCCCCCACTTGCAGCGCGGGACAAAAACAAATTGCATATTGTTTTTCAAAGTGCGTTGGCACTATGCATACCTTGGGAAATAAAAAAATGTTTCTGAATGAACATGGTGTTATTTCAAGATTTTTGTAAAAAAAAGTCTTGTATAAAAGACAAATAAAAATCAAATGAAATTAATCTTTTGTATTAGCTTTGTAAAAATTATAGTAAAGTACTAAAGAGCTATATGATATTCTTGAGAAAACAATCAATAACTCAATAAGCGGTCTGTATTGATTCAGCGGCTTCAGTTTAGTCAGGTTATTATTTTTTCTTGTCAATTTCAAGTTTGCAATCCCTCAAATGTTTCTAATATATTTTTGATTGATTTAGTTAGATTTAATTCATAATCAGGTCTTACAATTGCAATGTAAAACGCAACCCATGTTAAATGAAAAAA